CATGTCATCGGCGGAAGTCCGAAGACAAAGTCGAGACTCATCGACTTCCAGCAGTCTGCTGGGACCGGCAGGCTCTGCAATGGTGCCGAGGCGTGACCGGCAGGCTTCACGCGCTGGCACGTCTCGCACGTACCGACGTAGGTGGCGACCCACTTGTACATGTGACGCCACCAAAACATCTGCGAGACAGACGCGTACGTCTTCTCACGGCCGAGATGGCCACTGGATGGAGCGTCGTGCACCTCCATCAGGATGTCGTACTTGAGATCCTCGTCGTTGCGCACGACAATACGGGGAGGATCCTCGGGCTCGACTCTATAGTGGAGCAAACCGTCAGCCCACTCATAGCGGTGCAGCCTTGCACGTTGTCGGGGCGTGAGCCACTCGGCCTATGCTTCCGAGCCAGCGGCCAAGAACCGCACAAGAGGTTCGAGACTGGCATCGTCTCGGTACCCCGGCCTGATGCGATCATACAGATCCGTCGTGACCCGACTAATATGAGCAAGCTCGTAGTCGGGTCGGCGCGACAGCGCGTCGGTAAGCACGTTCAACTTGCCCGGCTTGTACTCGACACGGAAGTTGTATTCCGCGAAGAATGACAGCCAATGCACCATCCGCTGTGAGAGATGCGGCGTGTTGACGGCAGTCCGCAAGGACGCGTGGTCTGTATAAACGACAAAGGGCGTCGAGCCCAGGAGGTGCACTCGGAACTTGACAAGAGCGTACTTCATGGCAAGTAGCTCCTTGTCGTGGACTGGATAGTTCCGTTCGGCTGCCTTGAGCTGCCTGGACTGGAACAAGATGACCCGTTCGCGGCCTTCATCGTCGGCCTGCAATAGCGCACAGCCAATTGCGTAGTCAGACGCATCACAGACTACGCTGAAAGGCTTCGTCTCGTCCGGCAATGCCAGGACTGGCGCGTGCTGTAAGCTCGCTTTGATGTCGTTAAAAGCATCTTGATGGCGACGCTCCCAGCGCCAGTCGACATCCTTCTTCAGGAGATCCGACAAGGGCCGTGCCAGCTTGGCGTAGCCTGCACTATACTTGTGCAGGTAGTTGGCGGCCCAACCACTGTCGTAGGTCCTTCTGCGACCGAGGTGGCGGCCAAGCCGCGATGGTTTTCACCTTCTCCGGGTCCGGCCGGACCCCGGCGCTGCTGACGAAGCAGCCCAGGACCTTGATCTCCTCAGCTGCGAACACACACTTGTCTATGTTGGCGTACAGCTTGTTCGCCCGCATGACTTCGAACACACGTCGAAGGTGCTGGAGATGCACCTCCATGGCCGTCTGGCCTGCCTCGGCACGGCTGTGGACGAAGATGTCGTCAAAGTACGTCTGTGTGAACGCACGCAAAGGTCGGAACAGTTGTGTGACCAAGCGATTGAACGTTGCCGGGGCGTTAGAAAGCCCCTGAGGCATGACCAGCCACTCCCAGAGCATACCGCTCGGCGTGCTCACAGCCGTAAGTGGGATGTCGCTCTCGGGCATCAGGATCTGGTAGTATCTGTCCACCAGGTCCAGCGCGCTATACAGCGTGCAGCCGGCCATGTTGTTGAGCAACACGTCCTTGCGCGGGATCGATGTCTGCGCAGGCACTGTCGCGCTGTTCAGCTTGTTATAAGCCTGAACCAGACGCCACTTTCCGTTCGGTTTGCGAACACAGAAGGTAGGCGTCGAGTGCGGGGACTTCAACTCCCGCACCATGCCTGCCTTCGCCTTGGCGGCAAAGAAGGCATCAATGACTTCACACTGCTCCCGGGGAAGAGGCCATTGCCTCGTGACACAGTACTTCGTGCCCGGCACGAGATCGATCTCGTGCCTGATTCCCCTGTCCGGAGGGAGATTGGACGGTAGATCCTTGGACACCACGTCCTCAAACTCCTTCACCAAGGGGTACACCGGGTCCCGGGGGTTCTTAAGAATCTCAGAGCCCATGCGCGACGCGCGCTGTCTCTGGAACTCCTCCAGGACTGCCTGGTCCATGACCGAGGACGAGTTCAACTCGGCCGACGTGGACTCCGGTCGGAGGAGAACCAACTCTGCGATCTCCCGGGCCTTTAGCTCGGCCAAGAAGTCCTCCATGGCGAGCTCCTCAAGGTTCAGCAACTCTGAAACCTCGGGCAGAGCTGTAAGCTCGACAGCTCCTGTCTTGACCCGACTACCGGTCACGCCGTCGAAGATGTGATAACACTTTCTGCGGCTGGAGCCTTGGCTGGAGACTCGGAGTCTCTGGCGACTGGCGTCGTCGGCCACACAACTAGGCCCGGCTTACGACGTGACCGTCGGGTGTCTTCGTCTCGAGGCGCCGCCTTGACGGCACCACCGATCTTCTCGATCTCGTGCGGAACTACGTTACCCGCCTTGTTCTTGAGCGGAACTTGGTTACCCGCCTTGCTGGGTGGAACTATGTTACCCACCTCGCCGTGTGGAACTTGGTTACCCACACCAGGAGCGCTTCCAGCGACTCCCGCATCAGTTATGGTCTGAGTGACCTCCTGTGGAACTATGTTACCCACATCGGAAGCGCTTGTAGTGCCTTCCTCATCAGTTACGGTCTGAGTGACCTCGCGTGGAACTTGGTTACCCACCCCAACGCTAGCGGCGCCTTCTCCAGCTGCCCTTGCTGCCTGCGGTACTTCGTTACGCGCGTGTGGACCTACGTTACCCACCTGGTAGGTGCTGTCCGGCACCTCCACTCTCAGGCCTTGTCCGGCCCAGTCGGAGTCGTCGTCAGTCTCGACGGACCCCAAGAACTCATTAGACGCTGCTGCGCCCTGGCGGCCCTCGCGGGCGCCCCAGCTGCTGCCAGAGGTGGGAACATGACTCACCAAAGCTCTGTCAGAGCGTGGGGGACGGCTGGTCCCGATGGGCTTGCCGCGCCAGTCGATCCAAGGCTCGTGTTTCTCCGGCCACGGCATGCCAAGGATCAAGTCGTACTTGTCCATGTCTAGGACCAAGAACGACTCCGTGCTGTCGAAGTCCTCGAACTTGACAGTGAGGTCCATGTGGACCCGAGGTACTTCTACCACCGTACCGTCGGCCAGTCTTACCGAGACCAGCCCGTTGCCTTTGCTGCCTCGTAGCGCATCGGCGTACTTGTCGCGATTGCTTGCGACAGTCTGGCGGCGCGCAAAGTTCTTGGACGCCCCAGAGTCGATCAAGATTCTCAGGGGATGACCGTATCCCGGTACACTCGCGTGCGCCCACCGCTGCCCTTCTCCGCTTCGAGAGTACAGAGACTCTCAGGGGCTAAGTCCCCCACCCGCACGCCCCTCATGAAGACTTAGTGTTTCCCCAGTAGGGCGCCCCGCCCCTACTGGTGTCCGGCGTTCCCCTGGTTCCTGGGGCGCGGCTTCTGCCAGCGACCCCTAGAGCCAAAGGGCTTCGAAGAGAACTTCTTCTTCAGTCCTCCCGCGGGACAAGCACGTTTCATGGGAACCGGCCCGTTGATCGCTCCATTGCCGGAGTTACCATTAGGCGCACCGCCAGAGGCAGGGTTGCTCTGCCATACCGTGGCGGGGGTACGAGCCTGCTTGTGGCTGTACTCCTCCTGGAGGGCGATCTGAATCGCCTCCTCCATAGTGTTTGCTTGCACGCGGAACAGTTGCGTGCGGGCAGGACCGACACGCAGACCGTCCATGAACACGGTCACCTTGATGTGTTCAGGCAGGGGGTTCCCCACCAAAGAGGCAGTGAGCACTCGCATCTCCTGGATGTACTCATGCAGCTCGCGCCTTCCTTGTTTGCAGGCGAGGAAGCGCGAACGCTGGCGGTACTCGTAGTTTGCCGGAAGAAACGCGGCCTGCAGCTGCTCGCACAGCTGGGACCATGATGCGAAGCATCCAGGCATCGTCGCTTCACGCGTATACGCCCAACTCTTAGCGCGACCACTAAGGTTGGAGAGCGCAAAGGCGACACGGAGTCGCTCGTCCGAGACGAGAGCCGCGTCCATCGCGAGCTCAACCTCTCGAACCCAGAAGTGAAGGTTTTCTCCTTCCTTCCCTTCGAAGGGGTGAACCTTCAGCCGCAGGGGCTTCGGTTGCACCGGCTTCGGCGCGGCCGCAGTGGCCTGCAGCCCTTGAACGTGGGCGATGAGCCCTCGCTCGTAGGTGTCGAACGCGTTGATACGCTCAACCTGCTCAGCCGGCGTCGCCGCCGCTAAGCTACGCAGGGCATCTGTCCCAAAGATGCCTGCCATCTTACGAACGGACTCGTACTGCGAGTCATTCAGATGGGGAAACTCCGTACGATCCATCTTGACTCACTCGATGAGACCACAGAGGATTCAGGTAGTCCAATCTACCCGCGTAGGCGTAGGATTGACTACAAGTGCTATCAAGTGTGACGGGGCACACAGCACTTCTTAACAGAGGAAGCAGGAGTATACAAACTCCAAGTGAACAGCCGTTCACGTGTCCCTGGTCTGAAGGGGACGACTTGACTTGAAAAGCGGTAGATCTAAGACTGAATGTATTTATAGGTTGGTACAGATTTGGCCTGCATACAAATCCTAAGTTCCCTATAGTTTGTGTCATACAAAATGTATCTGTTGGCTCTGAGGCCACTTGGGTCACTATCCAGGGGAGTGACCGATGTAGCCATCCCGGAATAGTGACAGGGGCACTATTCCATGTAACCCCGTTACAGCCCCAGTAGGAGATTAAGGAGTTTGGGTTTTGCCGTGAAGGGCTCGAGAAGATTCACCTTGACGGCAAGATGGACAACGAAGAACTGAGCAGCAGCTACCGTAGTATATGTTCGAGAACGAGGGTCGGGGAGCCTGGCGGGGGCTGTGCTACCGCAGGAGTTCGAGGCGCCGCTAGCCTGTTGGGCAGCTCGATCAGTTTGCAAGTTTCCGCCATCCAAGCAAGCACCCACCTCACCTCACCCTGTATTACTACACTATAGTTTAGATAGAGTTTCAACATATCCCCTGCGGGGATCACATTAAAGGCCTACACCGCGGCCTACCCTGCAATGATATCGACCGGTTGCCCCCATTACGAGTGAGTACCAAGGATGTAATGATCTGCACGTGCAAGAGCAGAACACAACCACATCATCAGTTGAGTCCGCACGCAGAGAGCCTAAATCGTCGTCTGCATACTCACCGGTTGCGCAAGATCCTGCTCCGGCACGCCTCAGCCAACCACTTCATGTTTAGGATCGAGCGCCATGAGGGTGCCCTCGGGTAGATGGATAGCAGCAAACAGACAAAGACATCAATTCAGTTTCCATTTTACTCGCAACACAACAAGCACAACCAGAACCTTACACTTGGTAGCACTTGCGAAGCCGACGCGCGCTTCAGTCCAGTTCCGGTTCCAGTTCCAGTGCCGCCACGCGTCGCCGGTGTGCACGCCGTCCAGCCTAGTCCGTCCCGCGTTGCCGTTGCGCACGCCGTCTTCCTCGCATCCGTTCTTCGGTGTGCTGCACCTGTACCTCTCGCCGTTCAACTTCTCCGGGTGCGCCGCGTGCGTGACCTTGTCCGCAGCCTCGTCCGCTCGTCGCCGACGGGGCCTCCATTTTCGCCGAGCTCGCTCCTTTTCTTTCTGGGGGAGGAGTGGCGACGCACATTGTCACACTTCACTTCGTGTCGACATCTCATTGGTGCATTTAGCCCAATCACTTCCGCGTGTCCATACGCGGCACCCACCTCGATCTTCCGCTTGTCGCCTCGGCTGTCACTTGCAAACAGTGCGCAGCCGAGTGTAACATCTGCGTCGGTGGCCGTTACGAGTTTAGTAGTAGGAGTCTTTGTGCTCCGAGGCGGGCTCGAGCTAGCGCCGGACGGAATTGCACCAGTTGCTTCCTTCGGGGCACTGGAGCAAGTGGTTGGTACTTGTCGGAAGCAGATCTCCAGGTCGAGCGTCTGTGACTTCGTTGGGGGACATTGTCGGAAGCAGCGCTCCAGGGAGTGCCTGCGACTTCAAACTTTGATTGATTTGGCTGAGGAGCTTGCGCGCCCCAGCCATCTATTGACGACGTGGCTAGCGTAGGCGCAAACATGAATGAAGCAGCGATGCAGCACGCGGACAGCGTGCAGCAGATGTTCGCCTCGCTCGTGGCGATGATGCGCGAGCAACAGCAGTTCATGGCGCAGACAGCGGAGCTGTAGCGCCAGATGGCGGCGACACTGCAACTGCAACAGCAGCAGCAGCAACCACCGTCGCCCGACTCTACTTCTCAAGACACGCGCGAGTACCGTGCCGAGGGCATCTCCATGCCGAAGTTCTCCGGCACCAAGGACGACGACGTCGCGGACTACCTCTTCAGTGCCAAACTGTACTTTGAGTCGAAGAACATCAAGTACGGCGCCGACTCACCGCAGCAACGCCCCCTGTCACTCTTGGTGGCGAACTTGAAGGGGCCAGCAGCAGCGTGGTACCGCGAGTACGTCTCCCACGACGGGAACTTCCTGCACTTGGTCTCGCAGTTCGAGGAGCTGCTGACCAGCGAGTTCATGACCCCCGATCGCCAAGAGCACCTGCGCGACCAGCTCCTACGCCTACGCCAGAACAACTTCGCCTGCCTCGAAGATTATGTGTCGGCCTTCCGGCACATCATCTGCAAGGTAGAGGACATGAGCGATATCGACAAGGTCATGCATTTTCAGAAGGGGTTGGTCGTAGAGATCAGGCAAGAGGTCAGGCTGCGCCAGTTCCGAAACACGACGGACGCGATTTCATTTGCACTGATGTACGACCGAACGCACGCTGTAGGATCGCGTCGAACCCATGCGAACCGCGGAGGTCAAGGTGGCCAACGCTTTCAACAGTCGTTACATCGCATCGAGGAGCCGACACCGATGGAGATTGGAAGCTCGCGCTTCGTTTCTCGCGACGAGTGTCTGCGCAGTAATGTGTGCTTCTACTGCAAGGAACCCGGGCATCGCCTGGCCACGTGTCCAAAGAGGCCAGCGCGCAACAACCCCCGGGGTGTATCTCGTCCTCCACAAGGGCGCGGGTCCTTCCGCGCTAACCAGGGCTCGTTCCGCCGCATTGTCGAAGACGACGTATCCGACGAAGACGAAGACGACGTATCCGACGAAGACGAAGACGACTACGTACACAGCCGTGACGACCACGTCGAGGTCATTGACAGCTTGCAGTTAAACATGGTGTCCATCGCCACCGAGCCGTCACCCAATCGTGAACTGTTGCGATTCGAGGGGGCGATGAACGGGTGGGCAGTGCGAATCTTGATCGACAGCGGTGCAGAGCGCAACATTGTGCGCCCTGGCCTCGCCCAAAACTGTGTTGAGTCCACCAAGGTCACGGCGGAGCGCTTTGACGGTACGACAACGCCGGCCCGTACGGCGCAACAATGTTTGGAGACTATCAGCTTTGCTGGCAGAGACTTCAACGGAGTTTCCCTCATTGAGTGGGAAGTGTCGACAAATCAAGACGTGATCCTCGGGCTTCCATGGCTGGTGCAGTTCAACCCGGTTATCGCATGGCAAACCGGAGTGATGCGGTTCCCCAACAAGCGCTTAGTGCATGATTTAGTTCGGTGAACGACAGTCTCGAGGTAGCGGGACCGTCAGTGGCTTCAGTGGAAGTGAAACCTGAGTTCCTTAAGCACCCCCTGCCCCCGGATCTGCGGCAGCAGCTTGACGCTCGTGTAAAGGCAGGCTACTTCAGTATGCATTTGGGGCCAAGCTCGATAACAGCACTAGAATGTCAGCCATTGCCACGCATCTTTGACAACGAAGGCGATGACGACACGGAGGCATCGTCGTCGTGTGTCCTCTCGGCGGCAGAGTTTGAGACAAAGGTGAGTACGCCGAACTGTATAATGTCACGGTGAAGACGTCGCCCAAGGTGAAGTCCGTGCCGTCGCAGCTTCAAGCAGTACTTGACGAGTTCGCAGATGTCTTTCCGTCAGAGTTGCCGCCTGGATTACCACCGAGCCGCTCAATCGAGCACGAAGTGGTCTTGAAGCCAGGTGCGACGCCCAGCAACCGCGCCCCCTTCCGTCTCTCGAAGGTTGAGCAGGAGGCATTGGACATATTTGTGGCAGAGCTGCTGAAGAAGAACTGTATCGAAGTGTCGGACTCTCCATGGGTATCAAACATCTTTGGCGTGCCCAAAAAGGATCCCGCGACTGGCAAATTCCCATCACGCTTGGAGTGGCTACATTCGAACAATCCGCACATGCCCATTCGATGGGTCATTGACTATCGCTTGGTGAATGCGGCCTCAGAGGTTGCCAAGATACCGCTGCCGCACATCGAGCAGCTCTTTGATCGGAAGGTGGGAGCAGTGATCTTCTCGATTCTCGACCTCGCCAGTGGATACCACCAGATGCGTATGTCTCCGACGTCCAAGCAGTACACGGCATTCAGGACAAACCATGATATATATCATTGGAACGTGGCGCCTATCGGCCTGGCCGGCATGCCGGGCACGTGGACGCGCCTGATGCGCAAGCTGCTGAGCCATCTACTGTTCGCGGTCGTTTATCTGGACGGCATCTGCATCTTCTCGCGGTCGATGGCCGATCACGTCGAGCACTTACGGCAAGTCTGTGAAATCCTTCGGGCTCACAAGCTTTACGCTCGTCCGGACAAGTGCGACTTCGGTCAAGCTTCGGTCGACTTCCTTGGCCACACCATCTCAGCTGATGGCTTGCACGTGGACGCTCGCAAGACTCGAGCCATCGCCGAGTGGACAGAGCCTAGCAACATCAAGGATCTACAGCGCTTCTTGGGCCTCGCCGGATATTATCGTGGCTTCATTCATCAGTTTGCGACACTGGTACTTCCGCTGAGCTCTTTGGTCAAGAAAAATGTGGCGTGGGTATGGGATGACGGTCAGCGCCAGGCTCTCAATGCCATCAAGCTTGCGCTCCAGCACGCACCGGTACTACGTCTGCCAGACTTCGACAAGCCGTTCATTGTGACAACGGATGCTAGTCACGCGTGCATTGGTGGGGTCCTCTCTCAGCTGCATGGCGGCAATGATCTCCCCGTGGCATTTTTTAGCAAGAAGCTTGGTCCGCATGAGCTGAACTGGCCTGTTCACGAGAAGGAACTCTTTGCGATCAAACAAGCACTCACCCGTTGGCGCCATTACCTCCATGGAGTCTCGTTTGAAGTGTACACGGACAACTCGGCGTGTAAGTGGTTTCTACAGCATCCCCGCCTGTCTGGTCGCCTGGCTCGCTGGCTGGACTTTTTTGCGTCCTTCCAGTTCACGCTGCATCATCGTCCAGGCGCTTTGAATGTCGTCGCCGACGCGTTATCGCGCCCCCCTGATGTTTCTTCAAGTCCGGGGGAGGAACCGGAGGCTGGTGAAACCGAACCCGAGCCGCTGGCAGTGTGTACGGCGTGTTTGACGTCGCCGACATGCACGAATATTCGCGACGCGGCATCGCGTCGTACCAAGGCTACGGAGAAGCTCCAAAGCATACCGACTCGCGATCAAGCCGTGATGCTTGCCGTCAAGCAGCCAGCCGCAAGGGCACATGGTGTAGGCACGGCACAGTGGCGTATGAGATTGAACGCAGCATCGATGGAGGACAGCACGGTGATAAGCTCACTCCAACTGGATAACCAAACGATGCGGGCGTTTCAGAAGGCATACAGCAAAGATTCAGTCTACAAGCCGCTGTGGAAGTCCGGTCGCCCGTCGGAAGAGTACGAAATCAATCGCGGGGTGATCTATTTGAAGAGCAACGATAGCCTACGCCGCCTCTGTGTGCCAAACAACCGGAAACTTCGGCTCGATGTCAACAACGCGCATGATGCGGCGATCATGGCGCACCCAGGCATCCGTCGCACTCAGCTTGCTGCGGCACAGTGGTACTTCTGGTCGAGTATGGATCTGGACATCAAAGCCTACGTTCAGAGGTGTGAGTCCTGCATGAGGTACAAGTCAAGCACCGGACGAAGAGCAGGAAAGCTTCAGCCGATCCCGTTGCCCGCTGCGTGTTGGGATGTTGTCTCGACTGACTTCATCACGCATTTGCCTGTGTCCTACGGCTTTGATGCGATCATGGTCGTGGTGGACAAGTTGTCAAAGCGTCCAGTCTACATCCCGACGCACACCACGGCGACTGCGGAAGACATTGCGAAGCTGTTCTTCAACAACGTCATCCGGTACTATGGTATCCCATCGACCATCATCTCCGACCGGGACCCGAAGTTCACGTCGAAGTTCTGGAAAGCACTGGTACAGCTGATGAAGATCAGGACAGCGATGACGACTGCCCACCGAGCGCAGGCCGATGGCCAAACTGAGCGTCAGAATCGGACTCTCGAGGACTCGTTGCGATGCTCTGTTTCGTACCATGGCAACGACTGGAATGAGCACCTGCCCATGATTGGTGTCCAGCTCGTCGAAGCTGTCGCCCTTCTTCGTCGACACCGGTCGTCACCCTAAGAACCCATTGGGTAGTGTGGAGAGCGATCAGCCGGTGGCGAGGTCTCGTGTGGAGTACGCGTCACGATTTGTTCAGCATCGTCAAGAGGTGATCGAACGTGCTCGAAAGAATCTGTTGGATGCGCAAGAGGCTCAAAAGAAGTTCTACGACCGGCGTCGTGCAACAAACCCATTCAAGGTCGGTGATCTAGCCTTGCTGTCGACGCAGGACCTGAACATCTCGCACGCCACCGCGGAAACGACGCTTCGCTCACGGAAGTTCATCCCGCGCTTCATCGGTCCGTACCCGATCCTGGAACTTCACGGCAACGTCGCGCTGCTGGATCTACCGGCCAACTTGAAGCACATCAGCCCACGCTTCAACATCGACAAGCTCAAGGTATACAACAGAAACCCTGATCGCTTCGTCGGCCGTGTGATCCCGAAGTCGACTCCCGTGATTTTCGACGACGCTGGCGAGCCACTACACGTTGTCGAAGCTCTGATCAAGAAGCGCATCTTCAACCGCCAACCTGAGTACTTGGTCAAGTGGCACGGGCTCCCTCACCATGGGAACACGTGGGAACGCGAGCGCGACATCAAACACGTCAGCCACTGGCAAGCGCTGCTAAAAGATCTTCGCCAACGCAATCGAGTGGCACGGGCCTAGTGGAATTCTCTTGAACAGAGTTTTCACGGTACTGTTCCTTACATAAAGGGTCTACGGTACTACCAACTTCAACTTCGGCGACTTCAACGTTTAAGGTGCCGGGACTCGCTCAAATCGGGGGGAGTGTAATGATCTGCACGTGCAAGAGCAGAAAACAACCACATCATCAGTTGAGTCCGCACGCAGAGAGCCCAAGTCGTCGTCTGCATACTCACCGGTTGCGCAAGCTCCTGCTCCGGCACGCCTCAGCCAGCCACTTCATGTTTAGGACCGAACGCCATGAGGGCGCCCTCGGGTAGATGGATAGCAGCAAACAGACAAAGACATCAATTCAGTTTCCATTTTGCTCGCAACACAACAAGCACAACCAGAACCTTACAAAGGAGATGCCCTATCATATGGATACCGTGCGTGCAGCACGTTATTCACATTCGTGAATGCCATCACAACACGCAACGCCTTTAGAGTGGAGACGATGCTTGCAAGTTGATGCAGCGAGCTCGAAGGAAGTTGTCTGTACTCGAAAGTCCGATCATAATACTCGGTACTCGGAAATCAGCGAATTGTAAGGACGATCCGAAATAAGTAGTGTTCCTTTGGCGGTATTGCAGCACATAAACTTCAACTAACGGGGTTCAACTCGGTAGAACTTCACCAAGTTGAAGCCGTTAGGTTGTTGTAGCACGAGACGTTTCTGCCACGGTTGGTGGGCCTTCGTGCGTCTTCTCGGAAAGTCGCCAAGTTGGCGACACCGAGTTGCAGCGGCTAGGCAAGCGATTCGCCCAACTTCAGTTTGCAAAAGGTGGGCAAGCTCATTTCCCGCCCGTTTTGCTGTGTTTCGGAGACATGGACGATTTCCTCATGCGTCCATCTCACCGGCCTAAGGGGGGCAAAATGAATATATTTTGCCTCGACTTGAATTCGAGGGCGTGGCGAGCGGCCCCAATGCCTTGATTTGCGAGTCCGCGCTGGAATGGTGGCGAGGCTAGATCATTCGCTTGGCGAGGTCCCTCGTTGATCTGGCTGATTGCACTGGATACTCTTCGAAACACCGCGACATCCACCGGCTCAGTAGTTTGATCGCGAGGCCATCCGCTTTTCCAGCGAGCAGAGCGCTGGCACCTCCGCTTCTCAAGGAGTGTGTCGAGTAGTTGGACTCGGGTACTCCAGCCTTTCGTGCCGTTCGCTTGATCGCTGTTGCTACTGTTTTCGTGTCGAGCTCCGCGCATAGATACTTGTGTTGGACAGCATTCAGGTCACGACGCGCTCGGAGAATGTGTTTTAAGGCTCGGACCGGGCATAGTGATCGATCGCCAGATTGGTGCATGGTGCGCCATGATCCCCGCCCGTACTGGTCGTTCTTGGCTCCTCGTAGGCCGATTGTGGTTGCGCTTGCGCTTGACGCGGTGGCTTGGTTACCATTCGAGTCAGCGAAGAAAACATCTTTGGTCTGGAGACAATAGAATGATCGCCGCTTGCCGATGGCGAGATATTCAGATCTCCTCAACAGAAAGGAATACCCGATAAGGACGCTGCCCCTCAAAAGGCGATCCCTCGGCTGTGTGAAGTTGAGAGAGCGCCGCAGCAGACGGAGGAATGCGGGCGTAACGGGTTGTTTCTTGCGGACTGGGTCGGACATCCTCTTGATGCCTTGGAGCAGGATGGTCATTTGGGGCGACCGACGAAGCTGCAGGCCACAATAGCGACGGTGATACCAGATGACGCTGGACAACTTCGACTGGATCGTGTTGTGCTGGTTGCCGCGGCGTGCAATGTTTCCACCATATTTCCAGAGATAAATTGCGAAATAAATCAGCTTGTTGGAACTTGCCCGACCGGAGTCTGGTAGCCAGGTGTGCCAGCCCATCAGTTTACAGAGGCGGCGCCATTGCTTCCAGTTTGCGTTGTATTTCATGTTTGACGATCTTGCCGGGGCGTGGCTGCACAGAATCGCTCCCACACGCTTGAGAGATTGTCGAAGGGAGGTACGACGTTCACCTGCGTCCACGCACAAGGAAGATCAGACCACGTTGCCCATAATGGATGAGATTCAGTCCACGCCCGTGACCCCGCATCCGCCATTGTGTTAAGCTTGCCAGGAATGTGGATGGCAGTGAAGAATAGGCCATACTTGAGCTCAACCATAGAGATCAGTCGATTGTAGAGCTGCGCCGTAGGGTGGCGGCTGTACCGACGACTCGCCCACGAAACAGCGCTCATATTGTCGATGTGAAACTGGACGTGGGTGGCTGTGTCGGAGATGCATTCTGCCAGTGCGGTCCCCACAAGAGTGCGGCGAGCACAGCACTCTGAAGTTCGCGTACGTTGATCGAATTCTGGTACGACCCACTCTGGAGCTCTGCGCATTCTTCGCCACTGTATTGCAGTCGGATATACTCACGCCGGCTGGTGTCCAAAGCACACAGACCTGTGTTGGAAGCATCCATCTCCACGATTATGCCCGGGGGCGTAGTTGCAGCAAACTGTGATACTGGAATCCCATTAAACCGGTCTTGGTTGAGCATGACCGCTCTGAACCACCGCAAATCTTCGATGGTATCGGTGTCAAGGGCGCGGGCTCCGTAAGGCAGCATTGCCACGGTTGCCGTGTGAGCCCTCTGGTAAAAGGCCCTAGCGGATGGAAAGCACGAGGCCACGTGGCGAAACACACCGAGAAGCTTCTGGAGGTCGGATTTGGAGGCACGTCCGGCATTGAGAACTTGGTCGACTTTGGTGGTAGCCCTCTGTAGTTTTTCCGCTGGGATGGATACGGTGCCGTCGGCGGCGTCCCACATTAAGCCAGGCGCAACATTCTTGGAGCGCCACGGGGTAAACTTCCGGTCATTGATTGCTGTCGGCCCTAAGACAGTGGCCATTGCTTTTCGTAACGCAACATTGGCATCGTGGCATCTTCCACCCTCATCAATCTCAACACACGTGTGATCATCACACCATACATTCCCACGAAAGGAGGACGCATTGTGGGTCGAGGAGTCCGACGGGCGCGAACCCTCATAAATATCATTGATGGCAGACCCCGCTAAAGAGTAAAAGGCTGGCGACCCACACCAGCCAAAGCCACAGGCCAAATCGATGACTACGTAGTCGTCGATGGCAAAAGCAAACATGTGCACGGCATCGTCGTGGACAGGCACGTGACGAAAGGCACCGGAGACGTCTCCGAGCATCAATAACACGTCAGCATCAGGCTAGGCCGTGCGTAAATCGTGGATCCGGCGCGCAATATCGCGGGGAGGGTTGTAGGAGACTGGCGGGAAGTTGGAGCGATCCGTAAAGTCGTTCACCGATGCCCCATCAGGATATGAGTAGTCGTTAATCATCCGTGTCTCGTTGCCGGCCTTGTCAACCACTCCAACCGGGCTGAGGAATATCTCAGACCACAAGTCGAGCACACTCGCGTTGAGTACGAGATAGCGGCCATCTCGCTGACCCTTCCTGATGTGTTTGAGGACTTCGGCAGCATGAACAATGGCGCTCTTGTGATTGGAGGGCCGAATTACTTGCCGATCCGGCTTCGTCATCGTCCAACGTGGACGTACTCCTTCCCTGACAACGCCATTCCACTGGCAAAATAGGTATGGGTTTGCTGCTGACTTGTTGGACAACTCATACAAGGCTTTGTTGGGCCTACCATCCTCCTTGGTCTGCCCGCGTATCAGACGCACGAACATGGGCAGCGACAGATTTGACCGATACGCCAACATGGTGAGGAACTCGACGGAGTCTGTATCAATCTTGGCGTCCACATGACTGGTAGGAGGGGGTGTCAACCCCAGTGCGGATGCATATTCGGCCAGGTTGGAGAGTCTGTCCCGCTCGGAAATATCAGCGTGGCGATGTAGTAGATGCAAAGTACTTGATAGATCTCGAACATCTCGAGTCCTTGTACACGAGCGCGGTTTTTCACGAACATCAATACTTGATGCAGCTTGATCTGCACAAGCGGGCACAGCACGCAAACACGGGGCACCACTGACATCACTGGAACAGCAGATGATAGTCATTGTTGCGACTGTTCTGCTAGTCCTTTGTACTTTTCGGTGATGTAGGCTTTCACGATTTCAGGAAGGAGCTTGGGTTGAAAGTGCGCGCGCTTGCTGTCAAAGCAGTTCCCATTCCCGTCGCCGGGGCAGCCGACGACCGAGATTGCCTTCATACACAGGCGCTTGTCAGCTTGACGCGGTAGTGCAGATAGCACGGCAGCTGGGATCGATGACGTGCGGGGCTGTCTGTAGACACGGCGGGTGTCATCCTGACCGTGGCGGGCCCGCGGATGGGCATGCTCGAGCTCGCGCTGAGCTCGTCGGACCTGTTCCAGTTCCAATAGATCCTCGTCCTTTCGAGTAAACTCTTGCTTACCGATACTCCGGGCCGCGTCAACGTCGCGCGAGACAATCATACTCCGAAACTTGCTAAACTTGCTCGTGATCCAGAACGCCATAAGCTTCCAGCCGACACTGTCGGAGTCGGACAGGCCTTGGTAAGAGTCGATAAAGCTGATCGCATCGTCAACAAGGTTCACAACCGTCTGAGTGTAAAAGCGCTCAGCAAATTCGCGAAGGGACCGCAATGATCTGCTGACATCGGTGCGCGACCTTGCCGTTTGAGCTGGGCGCAGCGTGTTGCGTTCCGAGAAGTCCGTAAAGCTGACAGTCGAATCATGGGCATTTACGCGAGTCATCAAGTCTGCCGGATGGCAGTGCATCAGTGAGAGTCCATGGACGCCAAATCCAAAGTCGAGTAGGCCATGGCACACGGGTGGCACGGCGAGGAAGGGGGCGTGGACTCGTTGCTGCATACGTTCGAAAATGTAGTTGCACGACTTACCTCGAAATCGCGGGTGTAAAATTGTCCGGCTTACGCGCTGCTGGGTCGCTGATGGTCGAAACGCACCCCGACTGGGCTCATTGTCATCGTCGTTTGAGCTAGGCTCGTCGTCCTCGGTACCATAACCAACTCCATAGTAAAGAAGATCGTCGTGTGCCGATGCACCATCCCGTTCCGGGGCTCTTGATCGCTTACCAAGCATACGATTCTGATTGCGGAACGCCTGGATATCATCATCCGTTGCCTTGCTTGTGATACTCAGTAGGTCATCAGGCATGTGAGATGACATGGGTCGCTGTGGTGCAGCTCCGGAGTCTGATCGATCGGCACGTGGCAGTTGCGGGTCGTTGTAAATGGCTAGAGCGTTCTTTTTGCGCTGACCCATGAGGCAATCGAGAACGTGCTGCCGTCGTACTTGCACCGTTGCCAGATCGTGGGGGCGGATGAGAGGCACGATTATCTCGCCCCAACTTGAAGGGCGTACGTTATCGGGTCGGCCTTGATGATGCGAAGGGGTTCACACAGTGGTACCGTAGTAACTTCCTGCCCGACTTGCACGCTGAGCGATCGGCCGGCGGCCAACATCTCGTAGCGGATCACGACTCCATATGCCCACTGGCCTGTTGAAGGACCGCTGGGTTGAACGAACGCGACGGGTTGTCCCACGTAATCTCCGGGCCAGAGTTCAGCCTCGGCGGCATCGACGACGCGGAGGTCTATCGCAGCGACTGGGAGCTGGAGTTCGTGGCCATCCTTCCCGGCATCAGGGCCCACAACGCGCACCGTCGCGCTATCTCCTTCAACGTGGAGCACCCGAACGTAGCAGAACTCGGTGAGCGTAGGAGCGTGAGCGGGGCCAATGAAGGCGAGCGAGTTGGCGGAAACGGCATACGGGGACATGGTCGCTGGCGTAGATGCAATGGCTGGAGACTAAAGGCGCGGGCTGCTCGAAGAGAAGTCGACTGAAGGGACACGTTGGAAACCGCTGAAAAGCTATTTCAGCACCTCAAGGAAGAATTCAAAGTGAGATCTAGACTGCGGCATTCGCCGGCTCCCCACTAATAGCTACATCAGCCTTAGGTTCTTACCGCCTATCGGAAAACTAGTCATCCTCACGGACTGACCCTCACAGCAGTTGGGATACACCTCGGCGAGGGTACGGCGGAGCCACCCGCCCCCAACATCTACGAGCAGTTCCGCGTTATTGCTCGGATGCGCCAATTCGTCGTTGACTGGGAGCTCAAGGTGCAAGAGTTTGAGCAAGCGGCGGGGGTTGAGCTTGCCGCCCCGATCAAGTCGGCTATATTTGCGGACGCGCTGCCGAGAGTGGCGGCCACTCATGCTCAGTTGGCTGGGTGCCCGGCCTTTCGTGCCATTCGCCGAGCTCGCGGGTAGGCTGGTGCTGGAGGACGACAACGCGCGAGAGAGGCAGGGGCGCAATAGGAACCCGCCGCGCGCGCCGCATGAAATGGGGGTTGCCCAGTTCTACCCTCTTCCGTTCGAGGGCTACCGCGAGAGGGACATCCTAGATGTGGAGCGCCGCGAAGCGCATGGGTCGCGTCGCGAACGGAAGCGGGGACGTCAAGAAGACCAGCGCCACTACCAGTCGCGCACCCCATTCCAGCGCTCGCAGAGTATCCACCCCGAAGGAAGACGGCGTAGTCCGTCTCGAGGACGATCGGTGTTGTCGCAGGGAGCTGCGGACCGCCGTTATCGGGCGGTGCGATCGCGAAGCTCTGCGCGTCGCGAACAACCAGCCTTTGGCTTCCCTCCGCAGAAGCAGCAGCGGGGTCTCTCCTTCGAGAGATACCTGAGTTCACGGCTGTAGGAGCTGTGGCAGCGTGGGTGTGTTCAGCTGCGTGTGCTTGTCTAGCGTTTGTTGTGCTGTTTGCCAGGTCTCCCGTCGTATTCCGTTGAGTCATCCCGTTTCAGTCGAAGACCAAAGGGAGGGGGCCGTCCGAGGCGACTGATCTCGTGCAGAACGCGGCAAGCAGCAAGCAAGAAGGTGGCGAAAAAGAAGGACAAGACGGTGGGCTGCCGCAGACAAGTGAGATTCAAACCACATGAATGGATTTTATGGAGATGTTCACCGGTTAACCAGCATTTTCATCGATGCGTCTTCCTTCGTTCTTCTTCTCTGTTATTTGTCAAAGCAGTCGTCTCCGCCGCTAGGTCCAACGAAAAGTGACGACGCTGGAAGCGCAGGTACGAAGAGCCCCCTTTGACGCCGATTCTTACGGCTACGGAGCGAGAAGTTGGGCGACATTTGCATTTGCACCATAGGCTGGGTTCAACGGCACAAGCACGCTCTCTTGCTGCGGGATGATCTCGTGTACCGTGTATCGCTGGAAGTGCGGCTCTAGTAAAAGGCGAAAGATTGATGCGGACGGCCGGGGCTGCAGCTACAACAACATACAAAGGATCGACCGAGACGCTTCTGGGATCGAACGAACCTGCTCTTGTTTCCTCGCCCAAGCCGCACGGAATGATCACAATGCGTTGGACCTCTATTCGAGTCCGGCGCAATGTATGGGATTCTTGACGCTAGTTGATCGTAGATGCAGCACCATTTTGCCGGAGAACTTGGTGCTGACTAACTAAGTGAGGAGGCTCCATGCCATCCGACCGCCGGCGCCAAACCGCAAATTGCTGCTGATCGATCGAGCACCTGCCCAGGCCGCAGTCGAGAACTTAATAAGCACTTCGGCACCGCAACTTGCGGTGATAAATCCGCAAGGCACGAACAGTTGAGTTCAAACGACATGAAATGCATTTTCGTCCGCATGAGCTGTCTTCGATACAAGTTCGACAAAGCGCGGCTACATTATCGACGTGTTTTCCTTCTACGTGCGCAGAAGATGCCGCCTTTGCTGGGTCCAGTGGAAGCTGTCTTCTTGCAGCGACTCTGGGGGGAGTTGGGTCTTGTAAGTAGCTCTTATCACAGCTAGTCTTCGTGTACTGTAGTACGAACGGACATCGACAGCGGCGCTTGCTTGACGTCGTCGACAACTGCTGCTACGAAATACGAAAAAGTGAGAAACGAGCGCTCTCTACAGCACGAAGTATTTGTTGCGCTCTTCCTCGCTAGCAGCCGACGACGTCGCGCCCCGGTTGTCTTGGGTGCCAGGATACCAGTGAGAACCCTCCACGCTGTTGTTACCTGACCGGCGGTTTGTCAACCCATCTTCGCTCGTCTTGCGACTGCGGTGCGAGTTCCGGTTACCGTAGCGGTACCACGACGTGGTGCCAGCTGGACGATTGCCGTCGCCAACGTCATGTACCACGCGCGAGCTCAAATTCTTGGTGAACTGTTGCAATGCCAACGCGCTGTCCTGCATTTGCTTGGGTTCTACGGCAGCGGCACCGATCGTGTCAGTGTTTCGGCGTGGCGCGGTTCCACGACGGCGGCTCTTGGTCATCGACACCATGTCGGGCTTCTCAACAGGGACGGCCTCCTCCTCCTCCTCGGGCTTCTCAACCTTGTGAACCATCTCGTAGAAGAGACCGCCCTTCTGCACCAGAGCATCGTAGCGGCCCTCTTCCGCAACACGTCCAGCGTTCAGCACCAAAATCTGGTCAGCGTTCAGGGCCGTGGACAAGCGGTGCGTCACCGAGATAATCGTCATGTTCATCTTGCTCGAGAGACGCTCCAACGTTGACACAATTGACGCCTCAGTCTCCGGGTCCAAGGCACTAGTGGCTTCATCGAGAAGAAGAATACTGGGACGACGGCACAGAGCACGAGCCAAACAGATACGCTGGGCCTGACCACCACTGAGATTGCACGTGGCGTGCTGACCCACAACCGTCTCGAATCCGTCCTTGAGGTTGGCAATAAAGTGGCACTCTGCAAGACGCGCAGCCTCTTCGCAGTCCGCATTGGAAGCGTTGATGTTACCGTAGCGAATGTTGTCGAAGATAGTACCATTGAGGATGCCTCCATCCTGGAACACGACGGCGGTCTGGTCCATGAACGACTTCTTGGAGAAGTTGAAAATGTCGTGGCCATCCAGACGGATGCAGCCGCCGTCGGCGTCCTGGAACTGCATCAGACACGCAAGCAGCGTACTCTTACCACAACCAGAGGGGCCAACCACGCACGTGTACGAGCCGCGCGGGATGGTGGCAGTGAGCTCATTCAGGATGTAGTTCTCCGAGGCCTTATCGTACTTGAACACGAGCTTCTCCACGCGGAGGTCCTGCTCCATCTTGGGGAGTGGTGGCATGTCCTTGTCCCCGTCCTCCTCGTTGCTGGACGATCCCAGGCCCACAATAATGTCGTCGACACGCTGCAGACTACTGGCATTACCGATAGCCACACGCATGAAGCCACCCAGCACCGTCACAGGGTTCGAAACACGACTCAGCAACGTGATGAAGCCGAAAAACTCGCCCGAAGACAGCTCCTTGTGCCACACCTTCATCGCCAGCGACGCCGTCATGATAGCCACAAAAATGTACATGGCCGACTCAATGTAAATCTGCACAATGCTCGACCAAAAATCCTTCGAGAACTGACTCTTGCTCAGCGCCGAGCACGTCTTCTTGAAGCGCGTCATCAGCGGGTCCTGAATGGCGTACGCGCGCACAACCTTCTCGCAACCCACGGCGTTCTGGAACTCGGCGGCGACGTACGCGTTCCGAGAGCCGAACTCCTTCGAGCGCTGCGCTGCGAAACCCTGCGGGCCACTGGAGAGCAGCACGGCCGTAAACCCGAACGACATGACTCCGATGCTGACGTCCATGTACAAGGCGTAACCAAAACCGAACACGACAGCCACGAGCGGGTTCAACAGGTTCCAGAAGACGGCCTGCCACAGCGAGTTCACGCGGGCCACATCACTGGAGAACAGGTTGTTCAGGTCACCCTCGGACCGCTCGGCGAAGAACTGCGTGTCCTGGCGCAGGATGATGTTGAGCAGCGCCGACTGCATGGACTCCGTGGCCTTGGAAATCATCTTGGACTGGAAGTAGCCGACCGCGTAGTCGCCCAGTACGAAGGGCACACACAGGGCCAGCACGCCCACGACGCCGAACTTGAGCGTGGACTCGTTCGGGTTGCCCGAGTCGAGCGTGTCGAAGGCGTCCGAGAGCTTGGCCAGGAAGATGGCGAGCGCCGGACTCACGGACGCGTTGATGCAGACCACGAAGAAGCAGAAGATGAGGTCGGCCATCTGGTTGGACCAGTGCCACAGCGTACTGCGCACCACGTCCATGATGCCGTAGGCCAGCGTGGACGAGGACGCGTCGATGTCGCGCAGGTGCGACAGGAACTCGGTGGCCGAGAGGTTGGGCGGGCGGTAGTGCAGCGCGCGCTCGAGGAAGTTCATGAGCTCGTCGCGCGTCATGTCGCCCTCGTCGCGGCCGCAGATGATGACGAGGTCCGTCTCCATCATCTCGATGGACATGGCCGAGATGCCCGGGATGCGGGCCAGCGAGGCCCGGAGCGACTCGATGCTCACGCGGATGTGGTCGCCGTTGGTGCGGAACTTGTGCAGCTTCTTGGAGAAGGTGCGCGCGCGCGGCTTGAGGATCAGGCGCAGCGCCACGATGGTCAGGTAGCCGAGGCACAGCCAGTACTCCTTCTCGCCCATGACGAAGCGCGCGCCGAGGATCACGACCATGGCCAGCAGACACAGCAGGTCGGCGATGTTCGAGTGCGAGCGGAAGAGCGCGAGCCGCAGCCCGAGCACGCGGATGACCATGTCGATGAAGTAGCAGAGCATGAGCCCTGCCGAGAAGAGGCGCGAGGCCTTGGCCGCCACCTCGTCGTGGAACGTGGCCTTCTGCGTGAACGAGATGGTCAGCACCTGCACGAAGAAGTCCAGGAACAGCGCGAACGTCTCCGAGTAGTGCCACTTGCGCGAGTCGATCACGCGCAGGTAGAACAGGCGGTGGCCGTTACCCGGCGCGCTGGTCGCGCCCTTGATGGTGCGCGGGTCCGACGCGTCCGGCAGCGGGCCGCCGATCTTGACGAAGCCGCCGCTGCTGTCGGGCGGCACGCGCTCGAAGTCTGTGGCCTCGCTGCTCATGTCCAGCGCGGAGTGGACGGGGGTCTGCGTGGGCTCGAAGGCGGCGGCCTTGCGCTGCATGCACTGGCGGCCGGGAGGTCAAGCAAGTGGCCCGTGAGCGAGAGAGCGAGAGAGAGCAAGACGAATGCAGGAATGCCTCGACGCCCTATCAGGTCCGCTCACTTGCGCCTCGTATGGGAACTGACTTATGCAGGAAATTTTAGCCGCCAAACGCGAGGTTTCCTAACTTGTCAGGTTTTAGGTAATTCAGGGGCAATTCGGCACCACATGGCGAAACCGTCACGAACTGGATCTTCCCTGACTCGATTTGTGGACCCAAATTCGGCGCTCGACTGGGCTTCAGCTGCAGGAACTAGCCGAGCGCCGCCGCTACGCGGCGGGGATTTTTAGTTAGTTGGCGCTTCACTCGCTATGCTCGCTCCGCTATTGGAGCAGACTGTCTACGCTTCGCTACGGCAGTGGCGGACCCGTTCCGCTCGCCTCGTCGGCTCGCTGCACTACTCTCAATGTCAGGTTAGTACTACAGAGGCTGGTGCGGGGCCGCAGGACCCGCAATATCGTATGAGGGTCGCCTTCGGCGACGGGGCCGCCTTCGCTGCGCTCGGCAGCTACTCGTACTTAGTAGGATCCGTACTTAGTGAATAAGCGTGACGATTTTGTGACGGACGGACAGCGCGTCTTTCTGATTGATTCTTTAGATGATTTAAAGGCCAAGGATCGCTGCAGCAGCGCTTTACTGGAAAGAAACTCGTTGCAACCTGCTAGTAGTATTTTTTTCAGGTCGTTGAGGCTTGCTAGTACTGTACAGCCAACGCTTATGTGAGTGTAAGCAATTTCGACTCAATCGATCTCCCCGTCGCCATGCACTCAAGTCATAGAGCCGCGACCACCTTGGTAACGCACGCCGTGCACAACTACTTCGAAGTACAAAGTAGCTGCTTAATGAATACCATCCACAACTTGCAGCGGATGGCCGCTCGTTCGAACGGCATGCAGCGCTAGCCAAGGTGTCGAGGGTGAGCGCGGGCGCCAGCACCCCGAAATTGGGCTCTAAATTTTGAAAATGGGTCTCCCCCGTCTATGCGCCCGTTAACATGTCAGGTTTGCACCCATGTTGTGGGGCCGCTAGTGGGGGCCTGGTCTCTGCGGGCTCCACTGGGAAGTTCATGCCATTGTTGTGCGGGATCGTTGCCGGCAACACCACGCAAGAAGTGCTGGCACCGCTTTGCCGAGCAGCAGCGGCTTGGGAGGCGGCAAGAGAGCGCGAATATCCGCCCAGGGTCGATCGCTCGCGGGGTCGCCGGCCGCCAGCAGCCTGTCGCCGACTGCTCACAAAGGGGTCCGGAACGGGCTGCTCCGCTTCTTGCAGCAGCAACGGCGCCATTGCTCTGCCGTTTGCACTCTGCGCATTGCGCGACGCCCTTTGAGGACGACCCGTGGGCGCAATTAAGATAACGCAGGGAATAGCCTCGCGGCTGGAGGACGTGAGCAACGGCTCGAGGGGCGAGTTTGGCTCCAGCAACATTGTTTTCCGCCGACGCACTACGGTATACTACGTAGCGATGACGATCTCTCTACGCGAGCGAACACCGACGCAAACAGAGCCCATTCGGGTGTTCAGCGGCAACAACAAGTTGCCTTTTTTGCGGCTCCGTGGCGCCAAGCAATGTCCAAGTGTACCGGTCGGATGGTACAAGTGTGAATTTGGCGCCAAAAGCCCACGACCAATCACAGCACGCGGCTGGTAGTCCCACGCGTCTTCTTCCATTCCTTCGCACTCGCACCATGAGCTACCACCGGCGCGACTACGGCGGGTCCTCCTCGCGCTACGCCAACGGCGGCGCCTTCTCCATCCCGGACTCGGACTTCCAGCGGGACTCGACGCTCAAGCGCCGGCGCCAGCTGTCGCCGCCACGCCCCGTGCACCCGCAGCCGTCGCGCCGCGCCCCGCCGCCTCCGCCTGCTGCGGACGGGGCCATCACCATGCGCGCGCGGTCCAAGTCCAAGTCCCGCGCGCGCGTCATGGCCCGCAAGACGCCGGGCCAGGAGTTCATCGCGCTGGGCAGCAACCGCGTGGGCAGCGCCTCGACGCTCAACACGAACAAGGCCAGCTACTACCGGCCGCCCGTGGCCGAGTCCTACCAGCCCCCTCCTCCGCCGCCTGCTGCTGCAAGCAGTAGAGCGCGCTCTCGCTCGCCCAACGTGCGCGCGAGTCGGTGGGATGCGGCTGCGCCTCAGGCTGCGGCCACGGGACGGCGCAACCCGTCGCCTATTTCCACTCGCACGCGCTCCAAATCCGTCACTAGGGAGAAGGAGGACACGGTCGCGGCCATCCGACGCAGCCAGCGGGAGCGCTCCAAGTCGGCGGCGAGACGCAGCGGCGGCACGCCCTTGATGTCGCGTAAGGAGGCGGCCTACAGCAGCAGCAACGGCCGAGACGTGGAGAGCAGCGAGTCCCGTCGCTCCGGGAAGAAGCGCGAGCGCTCCAAGTCCAAGACACGCGAGCGCTCCAAGTCCAAAGCACGCGAGCGAGAGCGCGGCAGGGACCGCCAGCGGTCTCCGAGTCGGGATCGCCGCTCGCGTCGCTCGAAGACGGCGGATTCCAGTGACGACGAAGAGAAACGGGCGAGACCCTCGTCCTCACGCGGTAGGAAGTCGAGCCTGCAGGAGATCGAGGACGCCATTGCAGACACGGAGCGCGAGCTTCGGCCGAGGAAGAAGGAGCTCGATGAGTTGCAGGAGCAGTTAGAGAAGCTGAAGAAGCGCTTCGAAGCTAAGGAGCTGGAGGTCTACGACCTTCAGGTCGAGCTCAATGCGCTGCGAATGCGTCGGGAGCGGCGTCTTCCCTCGCACCGGAGCGAGAGCAGCCGGAAAGAGAGTCGAGAAGAAAAGTCCTCGAGAAGATCCAGGAGCACAAGCAAGCGACGTGAAAGTCGGCGGTCGAGTAGCCGCACGCGCGCCTCCAAGCGCCCGTGCATCGTGGATGAAGAAGACGAGGATAGTGATGATGACGAGGTTGTTATTATGGATCCTAGCGAGGTGAAGAAAGAGCTGGAGAGCAGTGCCACCACAGCGAAGAGCACGGTGGTGCCGGTTGAGGAAACGATGCCCGACAACTTTTGGGGTCGCTCACACACACCCAAGCTGCTCGCAAATCACCGCTTCCGCGCCATCCCGGACGGCAGCATTCGCAAGGGCCGCCACCTGGCGTTTAACCCGATCCAGCCCCAGATTTTCGCCACGAGTCCTGATGAGGGTGGCCTTATCCTGTGGAGTTACCAGCGCCAAGACCAAGACATCGCAAAGGTGGTGACTCTGATGCCAGCATCTTTCCGCCGGGAGAATCCCTGTGCGGAGGCCATCTCGTGGAGTCCCGATGGAAACCGCATGGCTATGGCGTTCCGGGATCCTGTCGATGGAAAGGGTGAGTTTTGCATTGTGCAGCTCCATCAGTTAAAACTCGAAGACAGCGATACGCCGCAGCCGTTGCCGCGTGATCGTCTTACCTCGAAACGCACTACCCTGCATCAACGAGGTGTTTCTGCGATCGACTGGCTGCCGACTGGGTTTGGACCGGAGACCACAAGCCGCCAAGTGATTACAACCGGTAGCTCCGACCACGCCGTTGTGCTGTGGGAAGAACACGAAGATGCCAGGAAGGGTGGACTGGACTTGAAGTGGAACGTGCTGCACCGCGACCACCGCAGTGAAGTCCGATCGCTCTGCGTGCACTCGAAGCGCGACTGTTTGTACACGGGTGGCCTGGATGGCCTAATGATTCGATATGATCTGAACAAGGGCCGCGCCCAAACCGTTATCGAGCGCCGCAAGCCGAACATCTCCAAGATCAACGCGGTGCTGGAGCACCCGCACAACCCGAACCTGCTTTTGGTCAGCTGTGTGGAGCAGAGCAACCACAACTTGTTGCTGCATGATCTCCGCCAGCGCTACGACCCCAACGGGATGTCGCTGACGTGGCAGGGTGGTGCCATGAGTCAGTACGTTGTGCCGAGGTGGTCGCCTGCAGGCTATCACGTGTCGTGCGGCAGCAAGACGGGTGTGGTGAACATCTGGGACGTGCGCATGCGCGGCGAAAACTACCCTGCAGTGCTGCCGCAGCAGTCTCTTCGCGTCCACCGTAAGTGTCTGCATTCGGGGCCCTATGTGCCGTTCGTTTTTGCTTACCATTTTTGCGTGTCGTTTCCTCTTCTCCTGCACAGACAAAACGGTTCTCCACGCGACTTGGCACCCACGCTACGACGCCATGTTCAGCGTTTCGCACGACCGCACGCTGGGGTTGCTCACATTCCGATAAGCAGGGAAGGCGTTAGGCGGAACAACGCATTAGTTTGATTTAGTTAGTTAGGGACTGCGGATCACAGCGCCTTCGGGTTGCCAGAGCGAAGTTTTGTGCGCTCGGCGTTCGCTCGGCGTTCGCTCGGCGCCCCAAACCAAAAACAAGGCCGCTGTATGTTTTAGCGAGTAGAAGCGGATGGGATTCAGCACTGAATGCCATCCAGAGCCTTGGTCCAACTGTTGCATGCAAGCGTAGTCATCAATGACAAAGAGTTGCCGCCGAAATGCAAGCTGATGTATCCATTAAGCGTGAGGTTTTGCTGCATCCCCACCAGCAAGGACCTGGATGTGCCCATGGGAATGACGCCGGTCTGTCGCCTGCCAAGTGAACCATGACATCACTTTTCACTTGAGGTGAGTATGCAGGATCGTGGCGGATACCCTCGATCGTGCACGATTGTTTGTCTTAGATTGCTCCGAAAATGGCGATCCTCGCACACCCAACGTGGGGCCAGCAGCCAGCGCTTCTCAACACGAAGCACGAGGTGAGCTCCATTCACAGTTTTGACCCTTAGCCAGCAGAAGCGGAAGCAGAGATGGCGTCGGAGCTGCTGCAGAGTTACTACGAGTGGGCGAATGCCACCGAGATCAAGGTGCTCGACTGGGTGGACCCCGAAGGCGGCTGGAAGGTCCACCCCATGGCGGACTACCCGCTCGCCAACTTCGCCAGCGTGTTCGCCATCTGCGTCGGCTACCTGCTCTTCGTCATCTTCGGCACGGTGCGTGCTTGCTGGCTGTCTGCCTGGCTGGCCGTCTGTAGTCCTAGTAAATCACTAACTTGACTGTTGCTGTCGCTGTCGCCGCCTGCAGGCCCTGATGAAGATGGGCATCCCCGCCATCAAGACGAGCCCCATCCAGTTCATCTACAACCCCATCCAGGTCATCGCCTGCTCCTACATGTTCGTGGAGACCGCCATCCAGGCCTACCGCAATGGGTACTCGCCAGCTCCGTGCAACGCCTTCAAGACGGACGCGCCCGTCATGGGCAACGTGCTCTACCTGTTCTACCTGTCCAAGATGCTGGACCTGTGCGACACCTTCTTCATCGTCGTGGGCAAGAAATGGCGCCAGCTCTCGTTCCTGCACGTGTACCACCACCTCTCGGTGCTGCTCATGTACTACATCGTCTTCCGCGTGGCGCAGGACGGCGACTCGTACGCGTCCGTCGTGCTCAACGGCTTCGTGCACACCATCATGTACACGTACTACTTCGTGAGCGCGCACACGCGGGACATTTGGTGGAAGCGCTACCTGACGCTCATTCAGTTGGTGCAGTTCGTGACCATGAACGTGCAGGGCTACCTCATGTACTCGCGCCAGTGCCCAGGCATGCCGCCCAAGATCCCGCTCATCTATCTGGCCTACGTGCAGTCGCTCTTCTGGCTGTTCGTCAACTTCTACGTGCGCTCGTACGTGCTCGCCCCCAAGAAGACCAAGGCGTCCCCGGCCAAGAAGAACCTCTAAGGCGGGCGCCGCTTCTTGTACGAGCTCATACAGTCGTAGTAGTAGGCGCATGCAATGAAAGATGTCCAATTAATGCAGCGTGTTCAACGTGCTATCTTAACGCCATACAAGCAGCGATACAGTGTACAAGTAGTCTATTGGTCCATAGCTGGCCACGGTGCGTCCGCAGATGTCCTCCGCCATCGCCGTGAGCGCCACGCACGTTGCTGCAGCGCCACGCGCCAAGCCGCCACCACCAGCAGCACCGGTGGCCACCACCAGAACCCGCTGTCCCATGTTAAACAGCGCTTGCTTCCTTGGTGGCCCCGCAGCAAGCTTCGATGTTGTTGAGATAGGCGGCGCGTGCCGCCATATCCATCGGCCGTCTGCCTGTCCTCTGCATGGTTGGGTGGCCCCGGTCGCTTTAACATGGGCGCTGCGTCATCGCGGGGCGCAAACGGCTGAGCCTGCCGCTTCAAGATGGCGATGACAGCGGCGCGCTCGGGCCAGAGATGGCGCATGACATCATAACTCGGCGTCGAAATTCATCGACTTTCCCTGTCAAAGGCGATTCACTCGGTCCCAGTATGCTCGACGATGGGTACGTAGACCGACCACCGCAAACGATGGTGCTTCGAGCTTGACACGCAAAGCGAAGCGAAATGCTGACCCCACGCTGTTGGCGGCGCAGGAAGCTCATTCGCGCTTTTGCCGGTTCGCCTCCAGACTCCCAGACACACGAAGCACTCGCGAGCACCATGTCGGCCGACCTGCTGCAGAGCTACTACGACTGGACCAACGCCACCGAGGCCAAGCTGCTCGACTGGGTGGACCCCGAAGGCGGCTGGAAGGTCCACCCCATGGCCGACTACCCGCTCGCCAACTTCGCCAGCGTCTACGCCATCTGCGTCGGCTACCTGCTCTTCGTCATCTTCGGCACGGTGCGTGCTTGCTGGCTGTCTGCCTGGCTGGCCGTCTGTAGTCCTAGTAAATCACTAACTTGACTGTTGCTGTCGCTGTCGCCGCCTGCAGGCCCTGATGAAGATGGGCATCCCCGCCATCAAGACGAGCCCCATCCAGTTCATCTACAACCCCATCCAGGTCATCGCCTGCTCCTACATGTGCGTGGAGGCCGCCATCCAGGCCTACCGCAACGGCTACAGCGCGGCGCCCTGCAACGCCTTCAAGGCGGACGCGCCCGTCATGGGCAACGTGCTCTACCTGTTCTACCTGTCCAAGATGCTGGACCTGTGCGACACGGTCTTCATCATCCTCGGCAAGAAGTGGAAGCAGCTCTCCATCCTGCACGTGTACCACCACCTGACCGTGCTCTTCGTCTACTACGTGACGTTCCGCGCCGCCCAGGACGGCGACTCGTACGCCACCATCGTGCTCAACGGCTTCGTGCACACCATCATGTACACGTACTACTTCGTGAGCGCGCACACGCGCAACATTTGGTGGAAGAAGTACCTCACGCGCATCCAGCTCATCCAGTTCGTGACCATGAACGTGCAGGGCTACCTGACGTACTCGCGCCAGTGCCCGGGCATGCCCCCCAAGGTGCCGCTCATGTACCTCGTGTACGTGCAGTCGCTCTTCTGGCTCTTCATGAACTTCTACATCCGCGCGTACGTCTTCGGCCCCAAGAAGCCCGCCGTCGAGGACGCCAAGAAGAAGCTCTAAGCGGTGGGCGCGCAGTAAAGTAGTCCCCCCGCCCCCAAATGTAGTAGTTTCCTCCCTCCATCCTCTTCCAGCTCGCTTTGCAAAGGATATAAGTAGCGACGGCCCCAAACGCAGTGCGGGGCGCCCTCAAATACATCCCGGCTGAAAGCTTTAGTAGCGTACTGTGTGCTGTAGCTGGTGGTGCTGTCCAGCACGTTGAAGTGGACAGCTGGGTGTTTCGCTTTTCGTAGTGTTCGTGTGGTGTGCACAGCAGTGATTTAGACAAATCACTACATGTTGACTGAAACACGGCGTTTTACAAACGTATCCGCTCATCTAATCGACAGCATTTCAGTTTCCATGCAAGCATGACGCTCTGCTGGTCGGCAGCACTCTTCCCTTGCAGCGCCTGGCCAGTTATCCCGCCATTATCGAAACCGCCCTCCCTCCCCCAAGTCCACGCCTCTTCTCCCTTGCTGTTACAGTCATGGCCGCCGCTCCGCCGCCCGCGCAGGACGAGAACGAGATGGAGACGCCGTACAAGGCCACCACGCCCGTGTGGAACGTCAAGGCCACCATCGTCAAGTACCGCGTGGCGCTGGCCGCCGTGCTGGTCGTGCTCGTCGCGGTGGTCGTCCTGGCCGCGTGCGGCGTCTTCTCCTCTTCTTCCTCTTCGGACGACTCCTCGTCGGCCTCCGCCGCCTCCAACGGCAACGTGACCATCTACCACGCCGGCTCGCTGGTCGGTCTCATGGACGACAAGCTGGCGCCGGCCTTCACGGCCGCCACGGGCGTCGCCACGTCGCTGCTGGCCAAGGGCTCCGTCAAGCTGGCCAACCTCATCGTCAACGGCAGCCAGGCCGACGTGTTCATCAGCGCCGACGCGTCCGTCAACTCGGAGCTGCTCATGGGCGACGCCAACGACAACCTCATCTCGTGGTACATCACCTTCGGCGAGACGTCCATCGGCCTCGGTTACTACCCGGAGTCCCCGTACGCCGACGTCTTCGCGGCGGTGGAGAACGGCTCGCTGCTCTGGTACGAGGCGCTGCTGCAGAACCCCGGCATGAAGCTCGGCCGCACCGACCCCGATGCCGACCCCAAGGGCTACCGCACCGTCATGATGTTCGAGCTGGCCGAGCAATACTACAACACCACTGGCCTGGTGTCGGGGATCTTGGGCAGCGCGACCAACAGAGACCAGATCTTCTCGGAGGAGAACCTGGAGACGTATCTGTCGTCCGGGGACCTGGACGTCGGCTTCTTCTACGCCGTGGAGGCCGGCAGCTTGAGCGGCATCAACTTCATCACACTGCCGGAGGAGATCAACATGGGCAACCCAGCTCACGACGACGAGTACGCCACCGTGTCCTACACCAACTCGGAGACGGGGACGGTCTACAACGGATCGGCGTCCATCTACACGGTGACGATCCTCAACAACGCCACGCACATGTCGGAGGCGGAGGAGTTCGTGGCCTACTTGCTGTCCTCTGACGGGCAGACAATCTTGACGGAGCAAGGAATGCAGGCGGCTAACCTCACTGCCTATGGGGACGCCTCGGCCATCCCCTCGACGATTGCAACGTACCTGTCGTGATGAAAATACGGAGACTCTTGCAACGCGGAAAGATTAAGCATGTTGCACCGGCCTCGTTGTAAAACTGAAATCAAGTATTACTGTGGTTCAACTTTTCGTGTTCTTTGGGGATTTACGCTTTGTGGTTCTCGTTATCGGCACAACATGTATACTACAGTGTAGATCATGCTTGGAGCTGAAGAGCTGGTATCCTGATGAGCCTCTTCCTAGGTGGGAAGGTTATCTAGCTATGCGCTAGATCTGTTTCGGACCACGGTGTCGCTGCTGGCTATTGGCAGAGAAGTTCGACTCACTTCTTTCGGACATGTTGGTGGTGATCCGATTCGGAGATATGGGGGTGGGGGGGGGGGGGGGTCTCGACTGCAACGATGAATCATCGGAGATAAATTCCTCCAGTGAGAGTCTTCGTGGCGCTCGAATTGTTTGTTAGCAACTTTCCAGTCATAACTTGGATGATGACATGCGTTGGCTGGAGGAGGAGACTCATGGCCGTTGTTCGAATGTGGCATACTTCTTCAGCAATGGGTGGTGCCCTCCTGTTCGGACGCTGCTCTGATTTTCGTGCCAGATTCACCTTGTGCCGGAACGCGAAGAGGGCGATCTCATCTAGCCAAGCTTCGTCGTCTTGAGGTTGTGGGGAGTACGGATGTGGAGGTTCAAGCGATTCAGGCGCGCGAGCAGCAACGGTGAGGTCGGTAGCGGCGTAGTCTCGGTCTTCGAATTCGGACGGCCTCGACCAAAACTCGCTGATGTCACTGTAGATGGAGTTTTTGTCGCTGAAGTCGTCGTTGGTGCTGATACAACTCCCGCCATCTTCACACTCGGGCTCGTCGTGGGATGTCAGCGAACTGGTGTTGTTTGGTGGAGTGGCAAAGTAGTCAAGACTGCCCCATGTCCGCCAGCTCGCGAGAATGTCGAGTTCGGTTAGGGACGATGGGCCTCCAGCCTCTAGCATGGGAACCTCTTCAATTGACACGCTGTCACGTTCTACCTCCGACACCGTCTCGAGCGTAGTTGTGTGCTTGGATTGTGTGGTATGGTGTCTTGCCGAACGGACTGGAGCAAGAGGTACCTGGTGTGTCGGCGCGTCCACAACCGCGAATTTGAGCGGGGTGAAAGCGTCCTGGAGCGCCGCCCACCATGTTCCGTACACGGCACTTGTCGGAGCACGCAGCGTCACGCGTTGGCGCGACGAACCGTAGTAGATACCGAGTTGGTAGTGGCGGGCCTCTTTCTCCGACACAGAGGCGAGACTGCATAACTGGTATTTATGGTTCAAAGGGATTCGCAATTTACCCCCGAAGAGCTTTGGGCGAGCGATGGTCAAGAGTCCTCCCTGATAAGGATCAAGCGTGAGCGACACAATTACCCTGTGCCTAGCGTTGCCGAAAGAACAGACAACAATGGTGAGTGGTGCCCATGAGCTGTTTGATCTCAGTTTTGATCAAAATGCTAGTTACTCACCAGAAAAGTCCACACGTCCGTATCTCCATCACACAACGAAGAGTTTGCGAAGCACTCATGTTGTGCTTGCTGTGCTTAGTGCGGTAAGCTGTTGTTGCTCGAGTGCTTTTCGATCTTGTATTGTGCTGAGTGCTATGGCGCAAATCAACAAATGAAGAGAGGTGAAGACTGCCGCACTTCTGACTCGTGGCAGGTTTATCGGGGTTTAGAAAAGTAGGCTAAGTATTAAATAAAAGTTCGGTAGCACTGCTGCGCTGCTGAAATCCAGTGATGACTGCACACAGCGAAGTTTAACAGACCTTTTAAATAGCAGAATTGAGGACCAGCACCAGTTTTGGTGTTTCCTTGCTGCGGATTTTTCAGCTTTTGTACATATCACGAGCGATTGCATGTAGTTGAAGATGCATGTGAGCATCGAGCGCTGTGCTTGAGCTGGTCAATTGATGTAGTTGTGAGCCACAGCACAAATGTGTGAATGTATATCGCTAGTTGAGCTGCACTATTAGACAGCACTTGGTAAAGACGACACCTCTGGGACAGGGCGATGGACAGATATTTTCTGCCCGCAACGCGGTTGCAGCTGTGCTCTGACGCGTTCGCGTTGCCCCGTGCGCGGAGTCCTGGCTAGTTGCCCTGCTGGAGCTTGAGTCTAAAGGGAGGCGGCAGGCTCGACTACAGTTGAAATAGATCTTGAAAGGACGCGAGAGAGGAATGGATACCTTGAACTGTTTATGTTCGTCTACACATGATATGTAGACGAGGTGTAACGGGCATTTCGGTGGTACAGTTCAGCAAAAGTGAGAATTGAAGTGCAACAAAACTGTACGCGGCAGTCAGAGACACAGGGTGCATAGCTCACTCAGGTTTGTTTGATCGTCCACCACAGCCTTGAGCCCGTTTAGCCTTCGTGAAGACGTAGTGGCTAAATGGGCTCAAAGAGAGTCGACGGCTCCGCAATCTTTCGATCTTTAGCGCGCATGGCCACGGTCTCTACAAACCAAAACAGCTGCGGTCTCTGCTTGTGCGTCATCTTGACTTACACGCCGCACTGAAGCGAAAGATTCAGTCGGCTGCCTTTTGTATGGCTCAGTGGACGCATTGGCGGTAGTTTTACAGTCCTCTTCGTCATTCTCCGATTTGCGTCGCAGTAGAATAATAGGACAGCACTAACTTACAGCCAGTGCGGGCCCTAGCAACATGACCGTTTTACCTGATCTTCGTTGTGTTATGAAGATCCGTACTTGCGGGCCTTTCTGGTGCGGTTTGCTTGTGATGGTCTTTCCTGAGGGTTTGTCTCGCTAGAGCCTTCATTCGTGCTGACGAGCCATTGCGCTGTGTGTCCCTGCTTCTTGTTCTGCTTGCCTCGCAGGCACAAGGCCGCCGTCTCGCTCTCGTACCCGAGAGACAAAGCGCACCAAGGCCTGCTAACCATCGACCGCCCCAAGGCCATCGGAGGAGCCTTGGAGATCCCCCTGGACCGCTGTGATCGCATGCCCACACTCGTCTTCGCGTCGGAGAAAGACCAGTACCGCCGACAGTTCTCCGTTTGCTACGGCGTCTGGCGCCGCTGTGTGACTCTGCGTGTAGCCACTGACGCGATCTACAGGGCGTGGTGGGCGGCACTAGAGACTGCGTACATGTCGCTCCATCTGAAGCAAATCACACGGACTCTCGCGACGAATTGCAACGAAGTGGAACTGGAGGAAACGCCCAAGGTGGACGCCGTGATGAATAATTTCCCTCTACTGGAGGTGTCGACTCCGACGTCCGCTGTTGAGATCAACTGCCGCGATGGTTGGCAGCTTGGTGAAGACCCCGACGAACTTGTTGTCGTTGGATCAGCTGGAGAGCTCAAGGTCGACGCGACGCCGGTCGTCTGTCCAAATGACGAGCACAGTATTAGCAGTCAGGCCGTGCTCGGAGTCGCAGCTAGCTACGGCTACCATAGCGACCGCGACGGTGCCAGTAGCTGCATCGGCAGCGACGTCCTGGACTTCCTCCCCGGTGATCTCCGCGATATCATGGAAAACTACTCCAGTGATAGCGCAAATAGCTACAGTACCACCAGTAGCCTCACCAGCAGTGTCCGCGACCATCTCCCGAGTGGAGTCCTCGATCTTCTCGACAATTGCCCCATTCGAACGAATCAAGCCCAGAACAACCAAAGCTGTGGTTTCGATTTGTTTGACGGCGGCCACACTCGACGCAGGGAGAACCTGTTGTACCGTGGATACCACCGCGAAAGCAAGAGCGCGAAGCTTAGCAGCGGCGGCAGCGACGCATCTGTTGGCGGGAGCATGGCACAAACGGAAGATACCACGACTGTGTCGGCCATCACTTCGAGCACCGGCCGCGACGCGCTCGATGATGCGCTATCCGCAATTGGAGCAGGTGAGAGTACGACGGACGATTCACTCGTACTGCCTGGTGGCAGTGTATCCACACCTTTCCAGCGCCTGCTCCTGCGTCAGCAATGGCGAGCAAGGATGAACGCGCGGGGAACCGTTGATGCCGATACGAGTCGCTCTCCCAGTACTTATGGCGTCAGTACCACTGGACTTGACAGGACCTCCGCGCCCAAACCTCACCCTGCAGATAGTGAGCGGCCCAAAAGTCTCACCATAGGTCGGATCGACAAAGCTCGCGTCGAGGAAATTGAGGAATTCGCGTCGCGTCGCGTGTCGGGTTCCGCCCGTGCTTTCAAGAAAACGATCGTGGTTGAGCGTATCACCAAGGCCTGGACGGATGTTGCGCGCTTTGCGTTCCGTCCGGACGCCGATTATGCCCAAACTACAAACCGCGCGAAGAAGACGCACAGCTCGACCGCACACGGCTACAATTAACCAGAGAGAGCGTGGTGCGAGACATCTCCAATGAAAATCTACCGTAAACTCCGTCCGAATATCAAGGGCCACCACCAGCGCCGGCAGTTCGGAGACCGCGTAGACTCATATCGTGCCTATATTTCAGTTCTCGAATTTTGTCAACTTTTCGTGTTTTATTTGCTCGGTAATCTGCTACCACTATTCTCAATGAGAATTTATCATATTCGCATCGGGTCACCGTATGTATTTGAATTTCCATTCGCAAGACATCTGCGAGTAGCCACGCCGAGTTCGTCTATCTGCTACACGATTTTCATGGGGCAAAGCAATTCATTCGCAGGTTAGGAGCCGATTGCCTTACAAGTCGTAGGCTTGTTTGAGGCGCCCTGGGTTGTGGTCGAGGTGGGTAGCTCGCGAGAGTCGTTCCCCGAACGCGAAAATCTGCGAATGACTGTCCGAATAGTACACTGCCTACGGTAATTAGTCTGCTAGACTAGTTTTGATCGAATGGTTCATTGCTCTTAGACAATAAATAGTCTGACCTAGACTATATTTTTGCTAAGACTACTTATGAAGCAACACACACGAAAGAGTCTTACTCGGAGTTTTCATCGACCGACTTACTTAAGTACCTTCGCGGTGTTTCGCAATACAGTAATATCTTGAAGATGCGGGTAGAGCTGGCCAACCGACCAGGTACCATCGATTCCAAGTGAAAGTCCGCATTGAATCATCGCCTTGCGCGCATAGGACATGCCATTTTTGTCCTTTTGAAGGTGACGGCTTTCACCGCCTCTGCAGCAAGCTGGAGGAAAACCTTTTCCCTGGATTTTGAACCACAAACAACAACAAAACTTGCAAAGGCGAAAAAGGTGTGATGGGTCAGTCGTGGTGATTAGAGCCTTGCACCCTTACCCGCATAACACAGGAGAGACTAATTTTGAAGTTGAAGTGGTCAGACTAATTATGAATTCTACAATTTGACCAGTACAATAAATAGTCTGACCAAGACTATTTTCGAACATAGACTATTTCCGCACACAGACTAATTACCGTTGGCAGTGTTACTAGGTACTCCAGTAATCCTATCCTATCACTACACTGTTCTCTATCCTATTCGGTCAATCATAATTTGGTCGTTCCTGGTTCCGATGGTCCAGGGCAGAGACTTGCCGCTACAGTTCATAGGTGTACTGGCGGAATCACTCAGGGAAAACCAATCGAAATTCTGAATAATATGTTGATGATTCTCTTTGTCTTCGATAAAGTTGAAATTTTTTAGATATGTTCGGCGCTTTAAAAGCGCTGACGTGCACCGAGTTCTTTCATTGATCTGCGAGTCCAGATTCTTCGAGACCACAGGAACTCACTGAATGCGGAGCATATATACTGTTTATTGAGTAAATAAACATGTTCCATGGTACATGTAAGAGCATCTCCAACGGTAGTGCAAAACTCAAGGAATTGCACGATATTTGCAAAATTGCAAAGAAATCATCCCCAACGGGGAAGTGATAGGGGTTCAGAAGTAGTGCTGAAGTAACACGTTGAAATCGATAGTGCAATTCCCGGATGGCGTAGTGATTATCGACCTGCTATTCACTACGACCTGCCAGCTATTGCACGCAAAGTGCAAGGCGAAAATACGCATTTATGGACGCCTTCAGCGCGTGCACCCGTCCGAAAGAGGTACACAACGCTCTCACAATACATATACTACTAGTTTCATAGGTACACCGGATGAATAGAAGCTCCCGGGCTTACCGGTAGTTGCTACAGTATGTCGGGCAAATGACTTGCTGTCCCAAATGCATGCTGCAAACAACGGGGGGCCGTTATCGACCTGAAGTGCTCTATAGCTGCCTAGTGCTGGCTATTGTGGTGCCTTTGCCGCGGATAACTTAAGCTACGCTACCCTTTATCGGCCATTGCGGAGGGAGGGCTACCCGCTTTGACTACGCAATTTTGCAATACCGTTGGGGAAGCTGAACTATTGCAAAAAAATTCAAGCGTGATCGTCTTGTTTATGTTGCTAATCGGCCATTCACTTTGCCTTATCACTTTTGCAATTTGCACTACCGTTGGAGATGCTCTAATTGAAGCTTTGAAATGTATATCGGGTCTTTGAATGCGCTACGAAGTCTTTACCTTTCTCCGCAGGCATGGCTCGGTTCAGACTCCGCGCTCTTCTCAGGACCACAGCAACTCATGGAATGCGGAGCAGACATACTGTTGGTAGAGTAAGTAAACATGTACCGCATATCAGTTGGGCGAGTACAGAATGCTCAAGGTTCTTGCAGGTCTGGAAACAACGAAGTAGTCTATCCAGTCTTGCTGGCATAATGCTGCATCTTCCCCACCATTAGCTCGGTTTTCCCAGGCACGAAGCATGATGCAGGTGTGATTGCAGTTTGCCTTTCGCATCCGAGTGCAATGTGATCCTGCCCCAATTCGTCATGTGAATATGAAGCTATTGGCCGGACCCCGGGGTCCCGCATCATGTACCGATGGCGACCGGAATTATTTAATGGGTATCATCACAGCTGGGTACAGGGGTCATGACCCGAGTCACTATCAGATTTGGGACCTAACTATGATACTTTTCTTTTTTTACCTGAACTCATTCGGGACAACACAGAAGGTCGCAATATGGGGTGGAAGTCTGGCATCTCGATCCGCTCCTATGCGGCAGCAACGGCAGCTTCGCGGCAGGGGCAGCAGGCTGATGACAGTGTGGTACAGATGCAGATAGAAGCGAGCGAACGGGCTACCCTACAGGCAACTCTAGATACGCGTCCGATCAACACGAAGAGAAAGTATGAAAGCTATCAGACTGAGTTTCAGAGTTGGTGCAGTGAAAAGCATTTCTGCGATGGAGCTACGGTCACAAAAGGGAAGCTTCACCTTTTCCTGACGGAGCAGGTGGTAGGTCGAGAATCCAAGAAGAAGAAGGGCACGTTCGTTGGCGGTTCGACGGTTTGCGGCTACGTGAATGCCATCGTCGATCTCTACAACCAACAAGTCGCGCTGAAGATTAACTCGAATGTCCATCCCCGGTCTGCTCAAGTCAAGCAGCTGATAAAGAATGTACAAGCCCAAACAACGGAAACACGGAAAAAGAACTGCCAAGATCGTGGTGTTGGTTCGTTGCTCGATAGGTATCACTCTGAGGAGCAATTCCGACAGATTTGTGACACCTTTTTTCCTTTGGGCGATCTGCGTGGGCGGGCGGCGTTTCTGGTATCGCACTTTGGGTTGCTACGCGGGGAGAACGCGCGTGACCTCGAGCTGGCCGACATGTTCTCTGAGGTGCTGGATGGAGAAGGATTTCAGACCTGTATCGCTCTGGTGATACTAATCCAGCACGGAAAGACAAACACGTACGGGAAGCTCCAGCACGTCGGCTATATTCGCAACAAAGATGTTCACGTATGCCCTGTTGGTGCAGTTGCGTTTTACCTATTCGAGCGCTTTCATATCGATTTGGAGCCCTTTCCTTTCTTTCGTACAGCAAAAGATTGGTATGACGTCACGTTTTTGCGTGGTCGCACTCGTCCGAAGTCAATTTCGTACAACACCCACAAGAAACGTTACGAGAGTGTGTTCAATCGTCTCGGATTAACTTTTAACAAGAAGACGCACATCAATAGACAGCAGGGCGTTCGGCAGCTTGAACGCTGCGATGTGGACAGCTCCCAAACTCGAAGACATGGCAGATGGGGGCAAGACACAATGGAGGGTGTATACTCAGCTCCGCTCGCACGGGAAGCTATGCGCGCCTTGTCAGGGCACCCCGCACGTTCGCGGCTGTACTATCTGGAGCGAGCCTGTGTGGATCCTCCCAAAGACCTGCAACGGAAGATTTTCCCTGATCTTGAAACATACAAGAAGAAAATATTGGATGGAGACTGGGAACAAAATTTGGCAGCACGTGGATTTATCGAGTTGCTGGAGTACTTACGGATCGTCGTGCTTGAGGACGCTGCGTTCCTGTATGAGCTCCTGCCCACTACTATTCAACAGCATGAAATGTTTGGTGAACAGTTCCAGCAATACCGCTCTGAGGCACTTGCCAGGGCTAACTCAACTGAGCACCCCGTGGAGATGCAACTTCAAGTTGCAATGCCTTTACTCGCGCAGCAACTAAGTACACAGCACTCCACAGTCATGGATACGATATCATCAGGCCACCGGCAACTAGTCAACTTGGTGGAACACTCGCAGCAGCAACTTACCTCGTTTCTCCAGGGCGAGGTTACTTTCCGGTTGCAACCTGTGCCGGACTCCTCAGGCAGACTCCACAGCCAGACGACAGTACGAGGTGGTGACGGAGTTGAACAATCAGCTGACACCCAACAGCAGCAACAACTGACCCCGCCTCTCAGCTCATCGGCTGTACCACAATACAGTATGAGTCATCAAACATCAACGGTAAAAGAGCTGTGGGTTGAATGGCATGAAGGCTTGGCCAACCGACCTTCTATTGAATGTCTAGAGTCGACATTTGGGACAAAATGGAGATCATCAGCAAAGGAAACGGAGTATTTCTCGAGACGGTTGTATGTCATCAAGTACGTACGCAAGTTGGTTGAGGGGGGATGACAGCCGATGTAGCCATCGCCAAGGCTGACTCTGAACGGGGGCGTCGAAGCATAGATGGATTCTCGAAGTTACTGCGCAGCAAACAAGTTAATTAGTACCCTTCGTGTAGCATTGTAGCATAACATCATACTAATAAAACAACTGCTTACCTGACTGGAGGCTTGAGTGTCTAGATTGAAGGGTCAATGGCTTCTCATCTTCTGGTGTCCATGTCACCGAATCCGATAATGCGTTGGTTAGCCTCCAATTAAAATTCACCGACACTAGAGGCCACCCACTTACATGCTGTGCTGCTGTGTTGCGCGCTGGGCCTGGTAAGTCGAAGTCCAGCGACTCGGGCTCAGGTAGGCTCAGCACAACAAGATAGGTGTGCTTATACAAGAGTAGTTTGCTCTAGTGCACGTCCAGCCTCATGCTCGTGGATACATGCACACCTAGTGAGCTTGTTCTGCAGGTCGAGCGGAAGCGAGCCAAAGCTGCAGCAGCACCTGCACGAACACCTGCACGAAGTGCTATGTAAGCTTTCCCTCACATACAGCAACTGAAACGTGATGGGGCACGACGATCACCTTCTTGTGGGGCTGCCGCAGCCGCTTGGTGGCTATTGGCCACGCGTCGGCGCTCGTGATGTAGAGGACGGTCCCGCTAGCAAAGCAAAATGAGGTAGGTTAGATTCATCACCACGGCTACGAAGAGAGAGCCGAAAAGAGTATGCATGCACAGCAACTCACCGTCCATAACGGACGTCGTACGCGGCGGCAGCGTCGCGGGGTCGACTGGTTCTGGAAGAGTTGTTGAGAAAACGCGAATGTTGAGCCAATAGGAACACAGCAATTAGGTCATGACCTGATTTTGATATTTGCCAGGTGACACGGGGTTAATGTGGTGATACAGTCAAACCTGTTTATATGATCCTCTCTATTTGAGCCATGCCGTTTATTTGATGCAGGCTTTGTCGCTACCAAATATTTCACTTAGTTTTTGTATGATCTCTGTTTATATGCATACAAGGTATATGAGTCACATTTTTGGGAACCAAATTAGGTCTCACCTGTTTATTTGATTCACACTGCTCACGGCCACACACTCTTCAAAGCACCACTGCTCAACACTCAACGCCTACCGCAAGCCTTCTTCGCTCGCCATGTCTCCTCGCACCTGTCTGACGCTAGAACAAAAGCTCCAAGTGCACCTAAAGCTCAAGCAGAATCCTGGCATGAACAACCCCATGCTCGCCGAGTGGATCTACGCAACTTTCAAGGCCCGGGTCAGCCGTGCCACACTCGCCCGACTGCGCAACCTGCCTTCTTCCTACTTCAGCCACGTCGACCTGAGTGCGACCAAGCGGCGCCGAGTGAAATTCCCTCAGTTCGAGCGGGAACTGAGGGAATTTTTCTTTCAGAACGAAGCTAAAACGGCGATGGCGGACGACGTGCTCCTGCTGAAGGCGCATGAGCTGGCGGAGCGCTTAGGAGGAAGAGGAACCCGCAGTTCAACCTGCCATTGCTCTGAGACACTGCATGGAGCTGGCTGCATTTCTGCTGCAATGCGGAGAGCAGACTGACAGAGAACGAAGAGCTTTACAGACCGTGGCCGCTTTGGTTCGAGAGACTACGGTGAAGGCAAAGCGGCAGCGAACTATGCACGATTTCTTTACGTGCACCACATAATTTTTTTAACTGAGTCCATTTTATATGAGTCATTGTAGTAGATGGTCACCAACAGGGCCTCATATAAACAGGTTTGACTGTACCTACGAATACCATGTGTCTAGGTCATGACCTAGTCGTGACTTGGCCTCTGATACTTATTTTTATCGGCGGGGCAGTGATAATATATATAGGTTGTGACATAATTTTTCGAGTTTAGCTAGAGCTCATTTCACCTTCAAGCATCTGCCGCGCGTGGTCTCCTCTTCGCCAACCAAGTATGAAGTCTAGGCGAACTGGAGGTGCAAAGGTTCCTCGGCGCAAACGTGATACTTAAGTATTGAAATCGTCGTGACCACAAAGCTGCTGCATTCGTTCGTTCTGTTAAGCGTCTTGGTGAAAATACGACCAAGCAGATTCAAGCTGACTGCTAGAAGCTAGCGCCTACTACAGCAGCAGCGGCGTCGGGCACGCAAAGTTGCGAACTCTGCAGCTCTGTGCAACTCGAGAGTCGATACTACAAGAGGTACATAGCATAGATACATACATGCAGCACTTGGATTTACCGAATATACCGGCTGCTTATGACAGCTGGCGGGGCCAAACGCTTCATAACATATTATGTGCTTACGACAAGTTCCCTTAATCACACGCGCTGTTGTGGGCTTGTTGAGGCCACCCCAACGACGGTAGGGGAGCAATGTTGCCAACTGTGTCTGTAGCATGTGCACACCAATCCTTCAATGTTTTGCATTTTAATGGCCTTACCTGCGCAGCGCTACAATTACGGTATCACCAGCCTTATTGTGCATGCTGACGCTTGTACGATGGTCGCTTAAGATGCGAACCTGCGCTGGTTTTGGCAACAATTCGCGAATCCCCCACGTTCGTTTCGAAAAGTACGTGCGCCAAAATGCTTATCTGTCGAGAAACGTTGACGAAAAGCTGACATGTGAGTTTGTACTTTAGTAGACTTTAGCGATAAATACGCACTTACAGACGGACGATGTGCACATCGCTCAGCTGGTGTGGACGAATCTGTCCCCTCGGCACGAGAAGCAGATGACTCCTCGAGTGAGGCGATCGCCACACCCGACTTTCCATCCACATTGGGCCTTTGCCTGAGCAGCCAGAAGTGCTGTCGCCGCTGCCACTTGGGAAGCAAAACAATGATTTGAGTTGCAACATCGCACCCCCGTGTTTCCCAGCAAGGGGAGACCGCACCCAAACAGCCGAAAACTGTGCTGTCCGTATGCATGTTACAGTCGAGCACCGAGAAGTTAATCTCCTCCTGCCTTGTCACTCGTTAATCTTCCTTCAAGCACTCGAAACGATGCAGATCATCGCCCCACTCGTGGCTCTCGCCGGCCTTGCAACAGGAGCGCTCGCCGACTCGACATGCAGCGGCCCCAACGTGCGGACCCAGCCGCCTGCAGGTGCCATCGTTGTCGACGCCACGGGCTCCTACAAGAACAGCTTCAAGACTGTATCGGAGGGCGTGGCACGGCTAGACCCCAACACGACGTCGGAGCAGACGATTTTCCTGCGCCCGGGTGTCTACAACGAGCAGGTGCTCATCTCGCCGCTGTCGGGCCCGCTGGTGCTGCAGGGCTTCACTTGCGACGCCTCGACCTACACCAAGAACGAGGTGACCATCACCCAGGCCAAGGCCCAGAAAGACATCCCCGCCGAAGTCAAGGGCGAGGCCCGTAACGACATGACCAGCACGGTGCGCTTCAAGTCGGACAAGGTCAAGGTGTACAACCTCAACATCGCCAACACGGCCGGCAACGTCGGCCAGGCCCTGGCCGTCAACGTGAACGCCACGGACTACGGGTTCTACGCCTGCAACCTGACTGGATACCAGGACACCGTCCTGGCCGACAAGGGAAAGGAGCTGTACGCCAAGACGTACATCAACGGCGCCACCGACTTCGTCTTCGGCCGCTACGCGCAGGCCTGGTTCGAGTCGTGCGACATCGAGACCATCGGCACGGGTTACATCACGGCGAGCGGCCGCGAAGCCGCCAACAGCTCGGCCACGTACGTCTTCAACCGCGCGCGCGTGTTCGGCAAGAGCGGCGTCAACTCGACCGTCCTGGGCCGCCCGTGGCGCCCGTACGCCAAGGTCATCTGGCAGAACAGCGAGCTGGGCGACGTGGTCAAGCCCCAGGGCTGGGCCACTTGGGACGCCACCTCCAGCACTGCCAACGTCGTCTTCAAGGAGTTCAACAACTCGGGCCCCGGCGCCGTCAAGGGCAGCCGAGTGGCGTTCAGCGGCCAGATCGACAAGCCCGTGGCCATCAACGAAGTCCTCGGCGAAGGCTACGAGACCGAGTGGTGGGTCGACACCACATACCTGTCTTAGACGAACAAGTATAGAACACGCGTAAGCATCCATGTTAGTCCAACAACTCTAACCAAGCAATTGAATGATTCTCTACAGCAAAAAAAACTGAAGTTGCCGGCAACTTCAACGTGTTTGTGTGTGGTGCACATCAACGACACCATTTTGGGCCTATCGGCGGCCTTTGACACCGTGGCCTCACCGCGGCACTTCACTTCAGAATTTCCCGAGCCGACATGATGCTGGCCGTGCTGCGGAAGCCGTGGACGCTGCTGCTGCCGCGCCTGGACTGGCTGCTGACGCCCGACGCGCTGCTGCAGCTGCTGATCCTGTGGCCGCTGGAGCTGTACGAAGCTGTGGCCATCCTGCCCGTGAGCTTCCTGCGGCGCCACGTGCCCGTGCTGGGCGGCGCGCTCGTGGTGCTCATGGCGCTGCACGGCATCCTGCTGCGGCTGTTCCTGGAGCTGCTGCGCGCCATCTTCGCGCGCGTCACGTACTCGCGCGACCCGGAGCTGACGTTCCGCAGCTTCTGGCGCGCCGTGCAGGACCACTACGCGTCGCTCGAGCCGCGGCGCGTGGACTGGCAGCTCGTGCGCCAGCTCTTCGGAGACGCCATCCAGCCCGCCACCAGCGACGATGACCTGTGGATCGCGCTGCAGGAGAGCGTCTCGCTGTGCGACGACCCGTCGCTGGCGGTCTCGCGGGCCGCGGGCGCTGCGGCGGGCGCGTCGGCCGGCCCCCGGACGCTCACGGTGCGCGGCCACAAGCTGCCCACTGCGGCGGCGCTCAAGTTCCAGCAGCAGACGCTGGCCGCGATTGAGAGAGAGCACCTCACACAGGGAGGCCGCAGGATCGCCAACGACCGCTTCGTCTGCGGCATCCTGAACGCCGAGACGTGTCCTGGCTGGAGGATCGGGTACATTTGTCTTACGGCCATGCAGGGCTTCGTCAAGTTCCCGCTGCCCCGAGTGGACGCCCTCATGCCGTCGTGGACGAGAGGGGGTCCTGGGTTGAAGGGTGCAGGTGCAGGTGCAGGGCAGACGCTGCTGGAGGTGGACGGCAAGGCTGGAGCTGGCAAGGGCGGAGCTCTGGCCGGCAGTTCCGCCGTGGCTGTGCCTGAGATCTATGACCTGGAGTCGATGCGCTGGTCGTTGGAAGCGATCTTGCTGGGACTGGGAGATGTGGATGGGCTCATCTTGGACTTGCGCTTCAATCAAGGTGGAGGCTCACACGTGGCTGCATTGACGGTAGCGTCGTTCTTTGCCAGTGAGAACAAAGCGGCGCTGGCCTTTTCGAAGGACGAGAAACTACCAGGCGCCAGTCCGAGATTCTCCAAGCGGAAGAAATACTACATCCCGTACACTTCGCGCTGCTCGCGATATCGCGGCCCTCTCGCTGTGCTCCAGAGCCAATACACACGTGGGTAAGGATGCGCTGTAACTCAAACCGTGTCGTGGATGAATGATCGAGTCTAACGAATTTGTTTGCTGTTGCTTTCATTGGAACAGCACGGCGGAGCTACTGTGTCTATCGCTGATGAAGCGCCCGCTTACATGCCGCATTGGCGCTACCACTGCGGGAAGCTTGTCACCCACACGCCAGCTCCGTTTGCCGAACTACTGGACCGTTGAGATTCCGCACCAGCGGATCTTCAGTCCGGACAACACGCTGTACGAGGGCGTGGGTATTCCCCCTACCAAGGTCGTCCCCGACATGGAAGTATACCCGGCTCAAATGAGCAACGGCAGCTCTCCTAAGAAGCAGAAAACCGCAGCTGCTGCCTCAAGTGCCGCCTTCGACCCCTGTATCAGGAAGGCGATCGACCACATCATGGATGTTTGAGGCAGCGCTGGCCAAGTTGCAGCACAGTCTGATACGATTCCATTATTCCCCGATGATATTTAGCTCATATTTTCAACCTCGTGGGCGATTCCTGTTGTTCTGAATGGTCTATCTCCATTTGACCACAAAAAGCTTTGCACATTCAAGACAACGCACTCATCGAAGCAACGCTATATCAGTACCTTCAATACGGCGTGCTCGATTGCTGCAGTCCGTCGGCCCCGGTAGCCCCTGCAGAACTCGCTCCGGGAGAGTAGAGGTAATGGTACATTTGGTCGTGCAACCGGACATGGTTCCGTGACACGATCGAAGTCCCGTCCAAGCGAACTGCCAAAAGAGAACAAGCGTCAGTCATGTCAGATGCAAACTTGAGCTAATGGCGTTGTAGACAAAGATCGCACCTTCGATGTCGATGTCGTAGCTGAATTTCTTGTTGGCCACAAAGTGAAGATTGCCGCTCACACTCTGCGACGCGTTGACCGCGACTGGGGTGGTGAGCAGCAGTCGGCACTGGTACCAGTGCGTTCCAGCATCGTGAGGTGCGGTGCTCAACACTACGCGCGCGTCGGAGCCCAAGAAGTCCACAGTGAACCAGCAGCCGAGGCCGTGCATGATCGCAGTCCTCTCCACCACAAAGTGGAAGGGGAAGTCGAAGGTGTCGAGCTGCTCCTTGGTCACATCTGCAAAGTCCAGCACATGCTCAGCCGGGCGAGAGCTCAGCAGAATCTCCGGCGGGAAGTAGCCGACCACGGGCTGCGAAAAGTGGTTGTCCATGGCTCGGGCCCGCAGACTCGAGAGGTTTAGCCCGTAGAAGTCCTGCTGCTGCCAGAACGCCACCTTGGTCATTTGCTCCCGGTAGATGCTGTCGTCCGAGAAGGGCGACACGAACATGGTGCCCGTGGACGGGAACATCTTGAAGCTCGGCGTCGGCCGCCGCCACTTCTTGCCGGCCGCCACGAAGGTCTCGAGCATGCGCTCGTGCACGAGGAAGAAGCCCATGGGCTCGGACACCACCACGTCCACCTGCTCGGGCAGCTCCACGTCCTCCATCTTGCCCTTGATGACCGTGATGCGGTCGCTCAGGCCGTTGGCCGCCACCAGCTCGCGCGCGCACTCGGCCATGTTGCTCAGCTCCACGGCGTACACTTTGCGCGCGCCGGCCTTGACGGCGAAGAAGGCCAGGATGCCCGAGCCCGTGCCCACGTCCAGCACCACCTTGTCGCGGAAGTCCGACGGGTTGGAGAGCATCGCGCGCTCGTACGTGCCCGTGCGCACGTGGTCCTGCAGCATGTTCTGCTGGTGCAGCAGCATGCCGTAGTACTGCGAGAACGGGTTGTCCTCGTCCGGCTCGTCGCCGTCCTTGGTAGCGAGTTTGCTGCTGGTATTGGACTCTGCAGCTGCAGGCGTCTGGGCGCCGCCGGTCTTCCGCCACGCCTCCGTGTCCTCGGGAGACGCCATGGTCCGCTGCTCCGCCATTTCCTGGTCGCGCTGATGGATCTCGCAGCGAGCGATTGGCTAACACTAAGTACGAAGGTTTGGTGCTGTATGTTGAAGTGGTTGGGTTGAGACTCTCGACTTGAGAGTCTCACTTGCCTTGATGCGAGCGAATGTACCCTGCAGAACTGTTGAACGTCTGATGCAGGCAAAATCGCTGTCTTCTGTCGTCGCTGCTAACACCATTAGGTGCTGATGCTTAGCTTGGTAGCGTGTGCCGAGTGCACTACGTACATTCTCTTCTCATCGGCCCTGTTCCGGCTTACCAGGAGAGTCGTTCTCTTGTTGTAGTCACCGAGCCATTTGAGGGCCTGAACTAAAAAGCGACCAACGACTTGCTGCCACTGTCGAGCGTTTTTGTGGTTTTTGCAGACGGAAGCTCTTCTGTTCTCGAGCGTTCGCGTGAAGCTCGCCATCGCTCCATCGGAGTTTGATGCCAACACAGCGAGCACAATCACCTGCGAGTTTCGCTGACGAGAGTCGCAAAGGGATTTTTCACTGAATAATTTTCTGCTCGTTTCGACGAGTGTGACATTGTCTGTGTGGCGTTGTTGGGCACACGTGGTGATCGAAAGGATGGCCGATCCCTCTCGACCGCCGGCACCGCAAATGCTTGAGCTGTCTGCATTCGAACTGCAAAAAGCTCCATCAGCTGACATGGCCAACGGGGTTCTCTACAGTGGTGACGGCTTCGTGGCAGCCTGGGAGCGCTTGGCCGCAAACGATATGCGAGACGCTGAATGGCAATGAGTGGTAACAAGAATCCTGGTGTAAGATGTTGCGGCGTTCCCATGGCGTGGCATCGCACGGCCGCAACATTCAGTTCGCACACACAATAGCGGCAAAGCCAATTCCCCTTTCCGGGCCAACCAGATGCCGCGCATGCCATGCCAATCGCCTGTGCAGAGCTTCTTGCCCGCTGTGCGCTGCTGCGACGTGATCCGCTGCTGCTTCATGCTGCCTCTGTCACTTTCCATTTCTTCAGCGAGGCGTTAACTCCTCTGCGAAGACTTACCCCAGCTGACCTCGACATCGTAGTATCTTCGTCATGAAGCTCTTCCTCCCTACCCTCGTCGCCTCCGTGGCGCTCATGCTCAACGGCGGTGCCAACGCCCTCAACGTCAAGATGCCCGGCGTCAACTACAACTCGCGCAAGGGTCCGGACTGGGCCCCCGACAGCTCCAAGTGCAAGACCGCGGCCGAGGTGCAGAAGGACATGTTCGCGCTCAAGGGCGTCGCCGACAAGGTGCGCATCTACTCGCTGGTGGACTGCAACCAGGCTGAGCTGGTGCTGCCGGCCGCCAAGAACGCCGGCCTGAAGGTTCACCTTGGTATCTGGACGACGGCCAGTCACGACTACCTACTGCAGGAGAAGGCCAAGCTCGCTAGCCTGATCGATTCGGGTCTCTATGACGACAATGTCATCGGCCTGCACGTTGGCAGTGAGACCATCTACCGCGAGGAGATCAACGCGGACACCGCCATCAGCTACATGAAGGAGATCCGTGACTACATCCGCAGCCGTGGCAAGAACACGTGGGTCTCCATTGCCGACGTTATTGACGTCTACAACGCCAACCCGCAGCTTGTTGACGCCGTGGACTACGTTTCCGTGAACCAGTTCTCCTTTTGGGAGCGCTCTGATGTGAACGAAGGTGCGGCCATCACCCTCGACCGTCTTAAGAGCCTGCGTGTTGCGGCGGCCAAGAAGGGCAAGAAGATCGTTATCTCCGAGACGGGCTGGAGCTCGGGCGGCTCGGATCCCGCTGCGGGTGTGGCGTCTCCCGCCAACCAGGCCAAGTTCTTCTCGGACTTCTATCAGATGGCCCGCTCGCACAACTTCGACTACTACTGGTACGTCGCGTTCGACTCCAAGTGGCGCGTGACGAACGGCGGCAAGGAAGTGGAGGCGGACTTCGGCATCTTCCAGGAGGACGACACCATGAAGAGCAACTTCCAGGGCCTGACCATCGGCTGGAAGGACCCCAAGGCGATCCGCAATGCTGGTACCAACCTTCTGCTGTCGGAGAACGGTGGCAACGTCTACATGTCGGGCAAGTCGAACGAGTGGCTGGTGCAGGAGCAGCAGGTGTGGTTCTTCGACTCGGCCACGCAGCAGGTGCGCTCCAAGAGCAGCGACCGCTGCCTGGACGCCTACCAGGCCTGGGACGGCGGCATTGTTCACGTGTACCGCTGCATGGACAACGAGAACAACCAGAAGTGGACGTATGACGCGACGACTGGCCAGTTGAAGCACGCCAAGCACCAGGGCTTCTGCCTCGACACGGACCCTGCGCAGAACAACAAGCTGCAGCTGTACGGGTGCTCGCCCAACAACGCCAATCAGCAGTGGGGTGTCATGGACCCCAGTGCCATATCCGACAACTGGGTCTTCTCAGACGGCTCGGTTCGCTTCTACACGATGGAGTCGTCGAAGCCCTTTGCGCAGGTCGTTCGCAGCGGCGACAACGTCGCCATTGGCTTTGGCGGCAGCAACGTGGCTGGCTCCCAGTGGTTCTACGACCCCAGCACGCACCTCGTCAAGGCGAAGGATAGCAGCATGTGTCTCGACGCTTACCAGCCTTGGGATGGCGGCATCGTGCACGTGTACGCGTGCAACGTCAACGAGGTCAACCAGCGCTGGAACTTGGACCCAGCCACAAACCAGTTGAAGCACCTGACCCACGCGGGCTTCTGCCTCGACGCCGATCTCTCGGCCAACAACGGCGCCGGCAAGCTGCAGCTTTGGGGGTGCCTCCTGAACAACAACAACCAGGTGTGGCGCATGATCCCGGCGTCTGCTACAGCCGCGACGGTGCACAGCTCCAGCTCCAGCGACGCTTATCTGCAGCCGACCTCGACGGACACGGTCGTGGGAGCTGCATCGACCGGGAAGTCCGAGCAGAACTGGTTCTGGGACGCCAACTCGAACCGCTTGATTTCCAAGATCAACGCGCAGTGCCTGGACGCTTACGAAGCCTGGCAGGGCGGCCGCGTGCACACTTACGCCTGCATCGCCACCGAGGGCAACCAGAAGTGGAGCTATGATGCCACCAACCAAATGGTCAAGCACGTCAAGCACTTGGGCTTCTGTCTGGCGTTCGACAACCTCAACAACAAGCTTCTGCAGCTCAAGAGCTGCAATGCCGGTGACAACACGCAGCGCATCCGCATTGAGGCCGCATAAGCCGTCGGTGAGCCGAATTGTGCTTCCGTCTGCAGTTTTGAACTAAGGAGTTGATAGACGCCCACATGGCGCGATGTAAATGTCCATTTTAATGCCACAAACCCGCACAGTACTATCAGGTCGATCGATTACACGCTATCTCGCTTTCTCGTATTGCCAGGCAGCTTGGGGAAGAACGGAACCTGCAGCTTCGTGTCCAGCGGTGCGAGCTTGGGGAGCTTGTCGCCCTCCTCCGTGTTGGCGGCTGAATTTGACGCAATGCTCAGCCATGCCAGACTCAGGTACGAGTGCATCACATCGGGGACTGTGTCGGGATACTTGCACAGCCCGCCGAAGGGGAACTGGCACGTGTAGATGAACTGCTTGCAGCTGGGGATGTCCACTAGCGAGTGCTTGCCTAGCAGGTCGAGCGTCGCTCCGTTCCAGAACGCGTAGCACGAGTCCGGGCTCTTGTTGCAGCGGCCCTGGAAGCCGCCCTGCTGTCGGAAGACCAGCCATCGCACCAGCTCCGACTGCTCGCAGTTGAGCTGCATCATCCGTCCGGACAGGAACAGCGACGCGATGGCTGTAAACATCGCTCCTCCGTGCGATTCAGCGCCAGGGCTGAGGCCGATGCCTCCATCGTAGTTCTGCCAGCCAAGCAGCTCTTGGTAAGCAACGAACAAGCAGCCCCCTACGGAAACCGGTACGTACCAGACACGAGTTGACGAAGCGCACCATCGCCGCCAGATCAACGCCCGACCAGTCGTCCAGGACGTACGAGATCGCGCACGCGCAGTAGACGAAGCGCATGTCCTCCTCCGAGCCTACGTTCACGGACGAGAAGCTGCAAAGAGCAGAGCAAAATCCCCCACCATCAGCCTATCTATCCATCTACAGTTGCTAGCCAGCCATTGTCGCTGCCAGTATCTGTACTGTACCACCCCGTCTTCTTGTTCTGCAGGTGCTTGAGGGAGCTGGTGATGGCCGCCTTGTTCACGCGACTGAGGTCGTCCCCGAGCGTGCGCAGGATGCAGAGCGCCGCGTACGTGGACGCGATGCTGCTCGAGTCGTAGATCTCGCTCTGGTACTCGGCGGGCGGGCAGCCGAACGCGTTCCCCATGAAGGTGCCGCCTCGGAAGCCGCAGTCGCCCGCGTTGAGGCTCGCGTCGTGGCAGTCGGGCGGCACCTGCAGACTGAGCACCCAGTCCACGATCTGGCGCTTGTCCAGGCGCTCCAGCTCCCCCAGCAGCGCCAGCCCGTGCACGCAGAAGAAGGCCAGCACCACGCGCTGCGAGTCCTGCGACGCGTACGGCGCCGGCAGCGACCGCAGGTTCTTGAGGAAGTAGCGCGCGTGCAGCTCGCGGTCGAACTGCGGCGTCGCCATCGCGGCGGCGGCTGATGATGAAATTGTAGATTGAAGCATTTCAGCCAATGGCCGCGGTGGAATGATTGAATCGGATGAACACGATACTTGGTAAGTTACATGTAGTTGGACTTTTCACTTTGAGATTCGAGGCGAGTGCACGATGGATTCCGTTTCGGCAACACTGTGGTGCCAACGTAGACGAGCTCGACTTCGCTGCACTTTGTGGGAATTCTGCCGACTGGGCAGGTGTGGTCGTGAGAAAGAGTTTGGATAAGCTCGATGAGGGCTGCATCCTGCAGTTGTGTGGGAATCCTGCACTGTGGGCTGGCGAACTTGTAAAGACGAAGCTCGGCATCGCTAGCGACAGCAAGCCCGACGTCCCTCAGCAGGTTGCGTTGTGTGGGAACCCCGGAGACTGGGCTGGCGAGATCGTGGCCGCGATCAGGAAGCCCTCGAGAGGAGGTTTGCTCACAGCCGAGTGCGTCGAGGCACTGTGCGAATTGGGCCAAGGAGGCCATATTCGGAATGGAAAACCAGTTGACTATAACGTCAGCGTGTGTGGTTGCAGCGTGTGGGAACCCCGCTCGCTGGGCGCGCACGATTGTGCTTCGAGGTAGAAGCTCAGGTCTCAACAACGCTCAGTGTAATGAGGCGTTGTGCGCGAATGAAGCGGAGTGGGCGAGCACGGTTATCCGACGCAACGTCATCTGCCGCGAGCGCTATCTCAAAAGGTTGTGCTTGAACCCAGCTCCGTGGGCCTCGGCGGCTCTAAAGAATCTCCGCCACATCCTGATCCGTAACCACACGCGAGACTTGTGCGAGAACTCGGGTGAGTGGGCGAAGGAGATCTTGACACAAGAGCTTAAGCGAGGCAACGAGGTCAAAGACGTTTTGGATTGACCGGTTGTGTGGGAACTCGGCGGAGTGGGCTGGCATTATGGTAGATTCGATGTGCGATAGCCCCGAGTTGCTGGACTTCCACCGCCTTTCGATGAACCCTGCTCTGTGGGCGATCAAGAAGCTGCTCGAGCACTCGGACAAGATCGATTTCCAGGCCATATCGACAAATAGATTCCCACTGGAGCCAAGCTTGAACGAACCCGAAGCGGAGCTAGACCCTACCAGTAACGAAACGAGCGCCGGGATAGCTTACCACAAGATCGTGACGTACAACGCTATCGAGCAGAAGCTGCTAGTCGGCTACTTTGGTACAGCCACAAAGCCGAGCAACGAGACCTTCGAGCTCCTGGACGCAGCGATATGCGCTAACCCAACGCTCGCGGAGGGTTTGTTGGGCGAAACCTCTCTGGGGAAGCTGCACACTCTGCGCGAGGAGCGGAACCGCTTGGTTCACGCAGTCACTGCGACTGCCGAAGACGGTAACACCGCCCTCGATGCTCAAGCGGAAGAAGATGAGGAGAAAGAGGACGAGAAAGCGGTCAGCCTGGCAGAGCGGTGCCATCAGTTGGAGGAAGAAGCTGCCAAGTTGCGGTCGACTATCAATGACTGGAGGGATCCCTTGCTGTCCTTGCAGCCAAGATCGGAAGGAAGAAAGAGGCGGAAGCGGTCAACAGGGTCCGTTTGCAGCAAATGCGCATGCTGATGGACGAGGAAGCGGAGGAGGAGCGCCACTTCCAGGAGCTCCAAGAGGAGGCCGAGAGGCAGCAGCGCAAGATCCTGGAGGATATGGAGCGCAAGCGCCGCGACTGGAGCAGAATCGAGCCGCTCGCCACGCGAAGGCGGTGGCGGCGCCGACCGTCGGCCCTGCCATCACGGCTCGCTATGCAATGCAATGCAATGATTTACGTGTTCGCGTAGCCAAATTACACCTGCGCTAGTCTCAGTTTAGCTAGTCGGCGGCATAGTGTGGTGCCCGCATACGTCGAGTCTCCTTTGGCTGGCAGTGAGTCAGCAATGGTAGTCATGAGGGCCTTCCATTTACGTCGGTCTTGGGCAAGCAGTCGAAGTCTCTCCAAGTCTGAGCTGGTGCGGAGGCGGTACCCACACCCACTAGCATCAAGGTCCTGATCAAGGACAAGGGGCAGTGTGGTACGGGGTCTACCTCTCCACTTGCTGCTGTCTGAGGAAGAGAAATACGCCTTCATCTGGATAAACGCCGGGATATCTTGTGGTCGCCGTAGAATGTGCCCGAGAAGCCCCCACCTCGCAGATGTGATCCGGTGACGGAGCGGCCGCTCGTCACACGTTGCGTAGAGATCAGCGTTGGAGATGTGGTACGGGTAACGCACATTGAGGACAGACCGTAGCTGGCGACGGTAAAAGCTTTCGAGTCGGTGAAGCTCCGTTGGTGTAAGCGCCCAGGTCCCGCAGTAGTAGAGTAGTATCGGCAGTACGTAGCAGTTGTAGAGGCGAATTCGTGTCGTGTCTGTAATACGGTGCGATCTCAGCCAGACCGTCCAGAGCCGCCGAAGAGCAGCCGCAGCGAGTATTTTCCGACGCGATACGTCATCGGCATCTCCGAGCAACGAGCCAAGCTTCCGCGTAGACCTCCATGCTTCTTCCTCTGCGCGAGCGTGGGGGTCGGCACTGGCAGGTGTCAGGCAGCGGCGGAGAATTGTGTGCTCCGTCTTTGCCGCGTTCATTTGAAGCGACCAGCGCGCGAATATTTCCGGGGCATGGGTCTGGATGAGCTCGACGAGGGCGGGGTCCCGACAGATAAAGTCGGCATCGTCCGCATACACGATCATTTGCTGGAGCAGGTCCGGCGGCATTGCAGGGTGACTAGCTAGATCGCTAAGTGCTGCTTCTAGGTAGATAACAAATAATACTGGTGAGAGTGAGTCGCCCTGTGGCGTACCTGTGTTGCTGCCGAATGGTTGCAGGATCTGGTGGCCGATGCGGAGTGAAAGCGTTGTGTCGGATAGTAAGAGTCGAATCAGCCGGATTTCGTCGTCGTGTAGAAACTGCTGTAGAACTTTGAGGAGTTTGGCACGGTCGATCGTGTCGAACGCGCGCGAGAAGTCGATACCCAGTACATGAACGATTTCGCGATACTTTTGTACCCGTGCGCACAGCCACTTGCGGGCACACACCGCGTCAGCCGTACTGCGGCTCTTACGGAAGCCACTTTGGTGGCCTGAGAGAAACTTGTCGACCGCGGGTGTGATGCGGCGGAGAACGATGAGTGACACCGCTTTGCGAATAGTGTTCAGGAGAACTATCGGGCGTAGGCTTTAGCACTGCCCTCGTGGCTTGTTCGGCTTCTGGAGACACAGCAGGATACCTTGGCCCAGTGGGATGGGTTCACCGCGTTCGAAGCTGCGGTTTAGTGGATGTGCGAGTCGTGGAGCAACGTCAGCAGCGGCATACTTGAGTAGTTCACCAGGAATAGCATCGGGGCCAGCAGCACGACCGTTGTTCAGTCGAAGGAGGGCACCACGGACTTCGTCCGGCGTGATTGGGCATGAGCTGTTGGGTCTGGCGATATTTAAGCTTGATCTGGATTTAGAAATTGTTCTTGGAAGTGATCTCGGACAATTTTGTTAGCTGTGTGTTCTGTGAAGTATATACTTACCTGGTGAGTCTTGAATTAGAAGCTGCTGTGTCGGTTTGCGGGCGAGATCGCGGACGGCAACGAACATTTTGTGAGAGTCGCTTGAAGCCTCGATGCGTGAAACCTTTTCGTCGAGGGCCATGTTAGCGAGGTCACAGCAGCGAGTGCGGATCTGGTGTAGGATCTTGTTTCGCTGAGAGCGCAGCAGCGCTGTGTTGGCCGATGTGTCGTTGTAAATGCGGAGCCGGAGCTGGCGTTGTTGCTCGGACAGCGCGGCGAGCAGCGGATCGTCGTAGCTGCGGCAGCGTCGTTGATCCGGCGAAGAAAACCCGATGGTCTGCGATGCTGCTTCGGGTAGCTTCGCAAAAGTGTCCTCCCATTGCAGGTTGATAGTGGATCCATCGTCAGCGTCTGCGGGGGGGGGTAGGATCCGTTTAACGGCTGATGCGTAAGCGGTTCTGGAGTCGTTGTTGTGAACTAACTCGCTGCGTGCGAGGTGAACAGTTGTGCCGCTTGTGCGACGCGACGGAAACCGGAGGCGACGGATGTGCTTGAGCTCAAAGTCCGCGGTGACGATCTTGTGGTCGGACGGGGTGATGGCCCCACCCCAGGACTGGGCATCTAGACAGAACCGTCTACAACTCTGAGGGCAGAGTACGTAGTCGATTTGATTGTAGACACAGTGTGTCCGCTTGCGCTGGCTCCAGGTGGTCTTGTTTTTCGCTCGCTTGGGAAAGGCTGTATTGGTAGCAAAGAGTTGATAAGTATCACAAAAGGCAGCCATGAGGTGGCCATTCCGGTTACGCGTGCCTCGTGCATGAGGCCCGATAAACGTTTCTCCGGTTGTTTTCTGCTCGAGTTTTGCGTTAAAGTCTCCGGTAATCATGGTGATATCTCTGCGGGGGAATTGGTCCATGGCTGCTCGAAGGTCTGCGTAGAAAGCATCTACTTCAGTTAGTGGGCGCCCGCTGTGTGGAGCGTAGGCCGTGACGATGTTGATGGGTCCTGTGTTAGGTAGCCGCATCTGCAAGATGCCGATACGGTCGCTGTGAGCCCAGCACCGACGGAGGTAAGGAGTAACGCGAGGAGAGATGGCAAATCCAACTCCGTAGCGCTCTTCCTGTGTTGGCAACGTTAGTAGTAAGTAGTCTCCGACCTCAAAGCGCCCCAGCTCATACAGCTTGGTCTCTTGGAGGCCAAGGATATCGATCTGGTAGCGGCGCAGGTCTTGGGGAAGCGTTTCAAACTGCTTGTTTAGCGAACCTAGGGACTGCACATTGAACGAGCCTATTCTAAGGCGGTTAGTGCGGTCAGTGCGGTTAGAACGATACGGAAGGGGGGTTGTGACGGGTATTACTGCTGGTGAAGGTGGCTGCCAAAGGGAGAGACTCGCAAGGGACTTGCAGACGCCCGAGAGCGCCTGCCGGAAGCCCGTGAGCGGCATTCGCCGCCGTCCACGCGTTCCGGGGGAGGGCGTCACCCCAACCCCAACCAAAATCTCGCTATGCAGGCTTTATAAATTGGTTTGTCGTCCAGCTCACTTTGCCAGCTCAGTGGAGCTGGATCGCTCGCTCGATGCACCACAGACGGTAGGCGGCCTTGAAGGCGTTGATGACCAGGCCCTCGCTGACCGGGCGCAAGCTGACCAGCTCGAGTTGGCGCTGTCCGCGCTCCATGAACGGGAAACGAAGGGCCAGGCGCTCCAGATACTGGCCGACGAGCGTCTCCACGTGGCGGCGAGTGTGGGAGTTTCTCGAAACGGGGATAAAGAACAGGAACACAACACCGTCGCTCCCGGCGTAGGCTCGATACTGTTGACCCAACTCCAGCATGCGTGCTTGGACGTTGTGGCTCTCGCCATACTTGCACACCCAGAACCCGGGGCGGCTGTCGGGCAGGAAGCGCTCACGGACTGCGATAATGCAGAAGTACATACCTGGAGCCGCTCGCAACTCCGCCAGCAGCGGCTCCGGCAGCGGCGGCAGCCTCGGGATGAAGGTCGCGCGTGGAGCACGGCGCATGGCTCGCTCCGTCGCGCGCACGAGTATAGCGCGCATGTGCGGGATGCGTATTAGCTGCGCCAGCGCCACGTACAGACGGTAGCGACGGGGTTCGGCGGCGCCCCAGGCACCTCCAGGCCCGTGGCATGTGAAAACGTCCACACGTCGAGGGCGTTCTCGGCGATGACGCCAAGTTGCGAGCCGCGGCGGTACGCACGGCGGTGCAGGTCCACGATGAAGCTGCTACACGAGGACGACCAGACCTCGGTAAGTACACGGACTCTCCGCGGCCGACGAGCATGGCCGCAAAGCGTCGCATGTCCACCTCGTCATTCCGGAGGAAATTCATGGTTGGGGGGGATTCTCGGGCTGCTGCCAGCAGGCGGTCGAGTCGGGCGATAGCTTGGCGGGCAGTGCGCATTCAGTCGGTTGCCTCACGGGGAGCAGCGAGGTGCTCAGCGGCGAGGAGGCCGGAGTGGTGTCGGAGTTCGGCTCGGTGGACGACGGCGAGTCGGAAAGCAGCAGCTTCCCCAGCGGCGAGTTCTCGGGCGACAGTGGCGAAGTCCCCGGCGGCGAGGTCGTTGGTGGTGGGGTCGAGCAGGTTGGTGTGCGCTTGAGCCGGTGAATTGGCAAGTCTGGTTACTAGTGGTCTGTGCGCTGGTCGGGTTTGCTTGCCCCCTGTAGGTCCCCGTAGCGAGCGAGCGTAGCGTCCAAGGGCGTCCGAGCCCAAGCGAGCCGACTTCAACGAGCCCGAGCCGGCTCGCCGAAAAGGTGGCCAAGTTCGCGGCCACCTTTTCGGCAAGATCGCAGTTATTTGCCAATGAAAACGATCAACAATGGACACAAAAGTATCCGCCCCTCCCTCCAGATAAGAATGCACCTTGCGTACCCGCTCATCACAGTGTGATGACCGAGCGAAACGATCTACTCGGATTCGACGCCCGAATGTTCGACTCCAGGATTACGAAGTGGAGATTCCTGCGAGTTTAGTGATTGAGGCTGTGAATGTACTCATGGAGCCGCAGAGTGTTGACGAGGCCCTGCAAGGCCCCGACGCTGAGAAGTGGATAGAGGCGTTGGAGAAGGAGTACTATGATTTGATGCGCAACAATGCGTGGGTGTTGGTGGAGCGTCCCAAAGGCAAGAAGATTCTGGATAGAAAATGGGTCTTTGTGCGGAAGCGAAACCACAAGGGCGAAGTGGTTCGACAGGAGTTCGGTGTGAACTTCTGGGAGACTTATGCTCCGGTGGTCTCGCATGAATCTGTGAAGTTGGTGCTGCTCTTGGCGCTCCACTACGGGTTGCCGTGCGAGCACGTCGACTTTGTGACGGCGTTTCTGAACGGTCCGATTGGAGAAGACGTGGAGATCTACATGGAGATGCCCGACTACTTCAACGACGGGTCTGGTCGCGTCTGTAGGCTGTTACGAAGTTTGTATGGGTTAAAACAAGCGCCATTGATCTGGTACTGGATGCTGGACAAGTACTTGCGATCTTGTGGCTTTAAGAGATCAAAGATGGACAATGGAGTCTACTGGCGTGTAGTGGGAGGAAGTCCCATCTTTCTTACGGTCTACGTAGATGATGTGATCATTGCTGCGAATGCCGAGAACATCAAGCTGATCGTTGGTGAGCTTGAACGAAAGTTCAACATCAAGGACTTGGCGTCTGTGAGCTTGTTGTTGGGCATGGAGATCAAGTACATCCCAGGCCAGGCGATGTGGATCTCGCAGCGCGGGCAGATTGAGAAGATTTTGACACGGTTTCAGATGGACAAGTGTCGTGCGGTGGCTACGCCACAGGCGCTGGGACCACTGCCGCTGCCCGCCACATCGGACGAGGAGGATGTGAACGACACGAACGTGCCGTACCGCGCCATTGTTGGCTGCCTACAGTATCTTGTGCAGTGTACGCGTCCTGACCTGGCGAACGCGGTGCGTGCGTTGGGCAAGTACTTGAACAAGTACACGCACGAGAACTACACCATGGTGAAGCGGGTACTGCGGTACTTGCGAGGGACCTCGGACTTCGGTCTCGTGTGGGAGAAGAAGGAGTCGCCCGACTTGCGCTTTGTGGCGTACGCAGACGCCGATCTCGGAAACGAGAAGGACGACAGACACTCGATCACGGGCTACGTGTTGCAGTTGAACGGCTGCACGTATGCGTACAAATCCCGCAAGCAGCGGATTGTGACGGATGACACGTGCTGTGCCGAGTTTGTCGCTGCGAGTGAGTGCTCCACGATGATAGTGTGGACGCACAACTTGTGCAAGGAGTTGAACCTGGCACGGTACCACCCGACGGTGCTGTACCAGGACAACCAGGCTACGATCACCGTGCTGACTGAGATCAAGGGCAACTACAAGACGAAGAGCGTGGACCTGAAGTACCACAAGGTGCGCGACTTCCACGAGCGCGGAGAGTTTAAAGTGGTCTACTGTCCGTCGAGCGAGAACCTCGCGGACATCTTTACGAAGGCACTGGGTCCGACGCTGTTTTGCAAGTTTCGGGAGCAGCTGAACGTGATGCCGCTACCGACTGCCATTGAGGATGGAAATGCAGATGGTTGCAGCTAGCTTGCGAGCTAGAAGGACGAGGGCTGAGAGCATGGCAGACTCGAAGTGGGAGTGTGAAGATGGCGTGTCGAGCTCCGCCAGCTCACAGCACTTTGAAGTTCAAGGGTGCCTGCGTTTAGTCCCTGTGTGCGACTGAGTACTTTGTATGCGACCGTTAGTTTCTGCCTTTTTGTATAACTGTAGAGGGGGTTGTCACCTGAGAGGTTTTCTCCCCCTCAATCCCATTCTTTCTCCGTGGGAAGCAAGTGTCTTTCGGTTGTTCCTCTCCGCTCGTACGCGGTCACTCCCTCTATATCTGCCTACAACTTAACAAGTGGTCTGTGTATTCACTACAATGCTCAGCCATTGGTCAAAAGTCGGTCGGGCCAATCGCATCGGCGCCACGATAAACCTCGCCCAACCAAAACGCGTCCTTGTTAAAAAGAGAGGGTGGCACGAAGTTAACACTTCGTAACTAAAAGGTGGCCGGCCGACCAGCTCGCCGACTGACCGGCGCTCAGTATGGGCTCCGCAAGCTGGTCGGCGCGCCGTCGTAAATCAGAAAAAAACCACTACGCCACCTTTGCGAGTGGCGCGTTAATCGGTCCTGCAACTGTCTACATACGGGACATATGTTGACTGTAGATTCACTACAGAACATTATGGCAATTCAACGAATTAGTGTTTGTTGAACTGCAAGCCAACACCCTTATCCTGCAACTGGTCTACACCGGATACCACCCAAATACAAGCCGCTTTTAGAAATGACCCGATCGCTTTAGAAACGTCAATCTTCCCCTCTTCAATCAACACTGCGCAAGGCGAGATGGCGGCCACGTACGACGTCAACTGCGAGCTGCGTGGGCACGAGGGCGCGGTGCGTGTCTCTCTTGCGTTAACCTCCTCTTAATCTGCATTGTCTTCTCTCTCTGCTCACGCTGTTCGCCTCTTCCGCCTCGCTCTGTGCCTCTCGCGATCCGCCTCCAGGTGCGCTGCATCGCGGCCCTCCCGAACGACCTCCTGGTGACCGGCGCCATGGACTCCGTGGCGCGCGTGTGGCTGCGCGACTCCAGCTCCGCCGTCGGCGGCTTCGTGGCCATGGAGAGTGCCACCATCTTCGACCACGAGCACTGGGTCACGGCCAGCGTGGCGCTGGACGGCGGCGGCTTCGCCACGGGCAGCATGGACAAGAACATCCGGCTCTTCGACGCGCAGGGCCAGCGCTACGCGCTGCTGCGCGGCCACGAGGGCGGCGTCATCTCGCTGACCACGTCGGCGGACGGGAAGCTGCTACTCTCGGGCAGCTGGGACGGCACGGCGCGCGTCTGGAGCCTCGAGACGCAGCAGTGTCTGCACGTGCTGAGCGGCCACGAGAACGGCGTGTGCGTGCTGGGCCTACCCGACGGCTCGCTGGTCACGGGCTCTACGGGGCAGCAGGTGGGCAACACTGTGGCGGACTTCAAGCTGCGGTTCTGGGCCAAAGAGACTTTCGCGCTGACCAAGACGCTGGCGGACCACCAAGGGCCCATTCGGCAGCTGGTCCTGGTGCCCGATATCGGCTTCGTGAGCTGCTCCAACGACGGGTCTATCAAGCTGCGGACGCTGGACGGAGCGGTGGTGGCCAGTATGGAGCACCCGCTGAACGCGGAGGGCAAGCCGGGCTTTGTGTTGGGCGTGGCCGTGCTGAGCAACGGGTTCGTGGTGTCGGCCAGTGAGGACTGCACGGCGCGCGTGTGGTCACCTGAAGGAGCGCTGCTGCAGACGGTGGAGCACCCCGGAGGCCTGTGGTGTGTCACTGCACTGCCGAATGGAGACTTTGCGACTGGATGCGACGACAAGGTGGTACGCGTGTTCACGCATGATGCGGTGCGTGTGGACGCCGACGCGATGGCGTCGTTCCAGGCAGCAGTGGAGGAGGCTCGGATTGCGAAGACGCGCGGACCCAGTGGCGTGGAGATCGAGGCCCTTCCTGACTACGACCAGCGTGCTAGTGTGAACGGAAACTCGGACGGCCAGGTTCAGATGTTCCGACGCGACACGAAAGCGTGGGCTTGCCAATGGAGTGGGCCTTCGAGAACTTGGATTGATGTACGCTACTCTGTTGCGGGATGTTTTGGCTCCTGGAGGTGATGTACTGACTTGAATGCATTATTGGCACAGATTGGTGAGGTTACCGGTACTGGCGGCGGCAGTGTGGTGGACGGCGAGGCCTATGATATGGTTATCCCCGTTGAGGTTGAGCTGCCCGGCGGTCTCAAGAAGCTTGAGATCGGCTACAACCAGGGCCAGAATCCGTTCACGGTAGCGCAGGAGTTCATCGACAAGCACATGCTGGACCAGGCATATCTGCGTGAAATTGCGGATTACATCACGCAGCGTGCTGGCGAGTATCGCCCTCCTGTTTTGGGAAACAACGACGGCGTGAACTCGGCTCCTAGTGGCGGCGTTCAGAGTGAGCCTGTTGCCACTGGACCGCAATGCAAATACTTCCCAGTGGTAAGCATGTTCAATTCTCGCCAAAAGCGCTCACATCGTGACTGACAAGATGCATGCTGTTATTGCTAGTCCGGATACAACACTTTTGAAACGATTAAGATCTCCAAACTCATGAGCACGCTGCGTCAGTTTAATGACAAGCTGAAGGAATCAAACGTACGTGCCATCGGTATGCACTGGAAGATATCGCAGGACCAACCGTGACGTTTTGTTGCTCACCTTTTGCAGGAGACTGCAACTCTTTCCGACTCGCAGCTGATTGCCCTGGAGCAGATTGTACACACAGTGCAGGGCACCGCTTTTTACCACTCGAGCAAATTTGCACCTCTTGAAGTTGCTACACTCAAGGGTGCACTTGACAAATGGCCTGCAAAATTCGCCTTCCCAGCTCTGGATCTTCTCCGACTTGTGCTGGTGCATCCTCAAGGCCCAATTGCACTCGAAGCTGGCTTAGATACACTTGTAAGCCAGGTTCTTAGCGTGGGACTGCACGCAGGTCCTGCGAAGGGTGAAGATGCCATTCCAGTAGCAACACGGATGCTGTCGCTGCGTGTGCTCGCCAATATGTTCCTGCACGACGCTGCGCGCATGGCCGTACTGGCTCACAAGACGGAGGTGCTGAGCAAGTTGCCGTCGTTCCAGGCATTCCACCACAAGCTCGTGGCCCTTAGCCTTTCGACTGTGCTGCTGAAGTAAGTTATGCTTTGCGTTGTGATGGTCCGATGGCACATTTTTCAAAGGAACAAGGGGTCTGACTGGCTTGTGGCTTTGTCGTCTAGCTTCGCGCGTGTACAGGCAGCCTCGCCCGGCTCCCTGACGCCTGATGACCAAGTCGTCGTGGTCTCATTGGCAGCAGACCTGCTCAACGGCTCGTACACTATCCAGGAGTTGGGCGAAGACACGATCCTGCGATCACTCGTGGCTATCGGCACGCTGGTACGTTTCGTGTGTCAGTTGCTTGTTTGCTTTTGCGATGGTCTGTTCTAACCTTCTTGGTGGCGTTTCCTACCCTCCCTGCAGGCGCTTAGTGGCGACGCAAAGGCCAAGGAAGCGGCGGGCATCCATGTAGCCATCTTCACAGCGGCGAAGGCTGGCGAGGTCACTTCGCCAGCGGTACAAGAATGCCTGGCAGAGCTGCAGCAGCTCCTAGGCTAAAGGCTGGCAGTATCCTACAGGTAGACTTAACCAGTTTGGCATTGTTGAACCGCAATTGAAAACGACGTGGCTTTTGCTCGTTTGTTTGTGGGGTGCATTGTCACCACCACGGCGTGTTTCCAGTGTTTTTTGTTTTACTGCTTTCTCTCATGCAAAATAGAGCAAAATAAATAGCCCATCGAGTGCACTGGTGGAAGACCACCGCATCTGCGGTGGGTGGGGCTTGGATGCCTCTTCTTGCTGGGGGTGGATAGATGGGGGTGGATAGATAGAGATGAGTAGACTGGATGGCAGACCGAAACTCCACTGCTAGGAGCTGCTGCCGCTTGCCTTTTTATGGTTGTGCCCCTGGACGATGAGGTTGTGTTTTTTTTCTGGGCTGAGTGAGGACTGGACTGGACGTGGGCGAATGGGGGCGTAGTGCGATGTTCTGTTGTGCTGAGCTGCGCTGGGGGCCGTTGCGTTGCACGCTGCATGATGCGATGTCAAGGGGTTTTGTGTGCTGGGAGTGAGGATGAGAAGGAACTAACCGAAGCTCGGTACGAAGTCGAGTCTTCACGAGCCCGTGTAACTCCCGGTCGATGAGCGCAGCACGAGGTCGCTGAAGTGCACGCGCAGTGGGGACGACACGTCGATACTGCGGCGACAGAAGAGGCCGAGGCCGCTGGCCCACGACTTGGAGGAAGACGACGACGAGCACGACTGGGAGCGCTCGCGTCCGCCGGAGCTGCAGGACACGGCGGCGTCTCCAGGCCAGTGGATGGGCTGGAAGCTCTCGGGGATGTTGATGGAGGCGGAGCGGTAGGGCGCGTTGCTCTTCTCCGTCTCGCTCTCCAGCTCGGGGATGGCCTCGTCCTCCTCATGCCGCTGGTCCCTCGTGCGGTGGAGCGACAGGTTGCCCATCAGACACGCGGGCGCTGTGACGGAGCGCTCGTAGGCGTTCGACTTGGGCCGCTTGGCCACGGGGCGGATCACGCGCGCGAGGCCCGTGGGCATGTCGAACGTCTTGCGCTTGCGGCTGGCGTTGGGTCGGAACACGGCGACGGGCTTCTCCTCCGCCAGGAGGTCGTCAGCGTCGAGCGCCTCGGGCTCCTCCAGCTCCTCCTCGTCGTCCTCACGGCTGCGCTTGCGGAGGGCCTCGCGACGCACCAGAACGGCGGCCATGGGGTTGGCCGGCCGCTCCACGTCCACGCCGTCAATCGAGTGGAAGATGCGCGAGCCGCCGCTGTGCAGTCGCGGGGAGAGCGAGGCGACGGCGACGGCGACGGCGACGGCGACGGCGGGGACGTCAACGTCCCTCTCCTCTTGCTGCTCCTCCTCGAAGGCGAACATGAGCTCCTCGTCCTCCCCCTCGCTGAAGTCGGCGGGCCGGGCGTCGAGGTTCATGGCGGTTGTGTGCGAAGGCTTGGGGCGACCCAGCGCTGAGCTGCTTGCGGCTGACTGCGCGTCTTGCGGAATGAGCTTCTCTTCTCGCTGGAAGCTCCAAGCGCAGGTGCTGCACCTGCTGCGCGTTTTGTGTCCAAGAAACCAAAATAGGGCACGTCAACATTAGCGCATACTGAGCCCGGGTCATATTTGAGTGGTACAAGGTACCAAATGCACAAAAAGTAGTCCGGGCGCGGACCAAAACACTGACCAGCGCCAAAAATGCGGCTCATAACGGCTGGGTGTGCGAAGGAGAGCGGCGATGGCGTAGGTCGCCGCTGAGCATTTTCCACAGCGCCCATGCTCCCATACTTCCGTACAGACCTTGGCCTCGGTAAACGGCGGCTTTTTGATATTTGGGGCGCCGTGCCAGCCCGAGGTGACACGTGAAAATACAAAGCCTGAAACATGCCTATCAAGTCGCGTCACCTCGAGACTCGCTCTCCAGGGCATAGCATATTTTTAAGGCTACATGGGGGTAATGGAGGTAGGGAGCGACCTTGATTGTCATGCGGTAAAGCATTGAGCAGCCCGTTACGATGGCAGATAGAGGATGGGACGGCCGCGAGCTCTTAGAGGTCATGGAGCTCTTCGGCTAAAAAGCCTACCAGACTGGTACTGGGTTCGGACGGGTTGGGGACCTTAAATTGAGACCGGAGCCGTCTCGAGTTGGTCACACGCTCCTGCAGAGTACAGCTTGCACCGACAACAATAGGCCCGATATTTTTGCTAGACAGCCGAGTTCTGGGCAGCGCTAGATGGCGTTGCTGTCTTATCGGCTCAATTGCATTGAAAAGCTCAAACCTTGGCGAATTGGTACTTGGTAAAGAGGCAAGCTAAATGCAGGCAGCATAAAGGGAGATAAATGCGGCCCAGAGTCGACTTGAAAGTAAGTAGTTGCCTGCACGCACGTATTCTTGGCCAAAATCTTGTCGTAGCCTGTCCATGCAAAAGCTCCTTTGAGCAGCTCCATCATGCTGCGAGGATCTCTGAAGAGTATGACGTAATGCACAGAAGATTGCCTCTTTGCCTCGCGGTTCCTTCTCAGGAGCTACAGTTTCTCGCCTGTCACGCGGTACTTGCAACGACCCCAACTTCGCGTTTCCGCAGTGGAATAAGCCTGCGTCTGAGAATTTCGTGGCAATTACTAGAGAAGGCGTTGTGATGTATAACCGTCGAACTGGATGATAATGGGGCATGGGACGTTGGGGCGGGGGGGGGGCCGAGTGGCCCCTCTACTTTCCATTGCGAACAAGTCAACTCAAACCCGGGCCGGGTAAGCAGTGGAATGAACAATGCGGGAAACCACCTTCCGGCTCGCTGCACCTACTTCCAGCTCATGCTACAAAAACTCTCCGACTGCTAGAGCACGGTGTGTCTGTCTGTACTCGCATGAAAGGCGCGAAGCCACAGCAACTGTAAGACTTTGGCAGAGCCTTTCAATTTCTCGCCACGTCAGATTGGTACCACGTTAGTGGTACAGCTATCAATTGTAGAACGTTCCCCAAATAGCGGGATCTGATTGGCTGGTACGAAAGGTCGCGACCCTTCGCGTGCATGACCGCACTTCCAGCAGTTGGCTGGGATCAAACGCCATGGCGGAGCTGCCGATCCAGATCTCCCGGCTGCCCGTGCAACCCGCAGCGGCGCCCAAGCCCGTGAATCCGACTGCAAATGCCACAGGCAGCGTCGGGTTCAAGCTGTCGCTGCTGACGCCTCGCAAGCCCTCGCTGCACTGCTGCCTCGTCTTCCGCAACTTCTACGTGGCCTGGCTGCGGATCGTGCAGGTCAACACCGATGGCTCGAGCACGGAGCTGGCCATGGCCTACCCGCTCATGCAGCATGTGCACTGCGAAGACGATGCGCAGACCTGGCAGATCATCAAGCTGGACCAGCTGCCCGTGAGCTGGAATCCACACGTCTTCGACAGCCTCTGCGTGTATCTGTCGCAGCCGTCGCCGCTGTGGGAGGCCTGGGAGCTGCGCAATGTCAAGTTGTACGTACTGCCTGAGGAACCGGACGGTGGAGGAGAGGAGCTTTCGTCGACACGGCTAGGATCGGTGAGTCTGTCGAGGCTGGAGAAAAAAGGCAGTCTTGGGCGGAGCGGGAGCGCCGCAGAGGACCGCCTCACGCAGCTGCTAGAACGGCGAACCTCTCGTTCAACTTTAGGGCAGGGCGGCGTTGGATTTGATGCCTCTGTAAATCCTGTCGAGGAGCAAGCCACTCGCTGTTTAGATTTAGTGCTGAGGCTACGCGAGCTGCTGCAGAACTAAACACCCATCAGAACAACTTTTACTGTGCAACACCTTGTCCAGCAACGAGATATCGAGTTATTTGCTCGGCTTTGGCCACCAAAATCACTAATCTTCTGTTGCAGGGCATGTGTCGCGTTTGGTTTGTTTGGCGATGGCTCGGAGCTGTGCGACTTGGCGCCTTCGCTGCTCATACACGGCGGACGGGACAATCTCCGACAGGAAAAGTGAGCTCTGATCTGTAGCTACCGCCTGCACAACGCTCTCGTAACGAAGCCCACGAACCATTCGAGGAGTCCACGCATCAGTAGGTAATGCAGCACTGACCGAAGTATTGGATGTGTTGGCAGAATGGCCGAGTTGTCCTCTTGCACCACGTCCCCACGAGAAAACCTTGCCCCGCTGGGTTACAGCTAGCGAGTGAGCACTTCCGCAGGCGAGGAGCTTCAATTCCACCCCTGCAAGAGCTGGAATTCGTGTCGGGTGCGCAACGAAGCTGTAGGTAGCATCGGTAAGAGCCTCATATCCGTCCTGGAAAAGAGGGGGCTCAGCATCTAGCGTATCGTTAGCGACATCAGCTCCCGGAACTTCCCCCAAGCCCAATCGTCCATTCTCAGCATCACCCCACGCATACGTCGTGCCCCCAACGCGCAATTCAAACTGCACCTCCGTTATAAGCTCGCATTTCTCAGAAGCACTAGCCGTCGATGGAGCTCCGGACAGCGACCACTGTTTAACGAGCGATTTAGGCAATTCCCTGGGAGGTTCCCCGAGGCTGGACAAGCGAGACGCAGCTCGCAGTCGCTGTCCGTGCTCATGCGGGATCAACCCCACAAGCTGATGCTTCTTAGCAAGATGAGTTGGCAGAGCCATACCAAGCGATCGTCGAAGTCTTGCCTGGGCGGGCTCCAACGATTTTTCGTTCTCCACGAACATCACGGCAGCCGCTCCATTCGCAAACGCCCCGCGAGCTCTAGCTGCGGCTGTGTCTATGCGGTAGAAGAACCGCGCCATAAGTGGCGGTGGTGGCTGCAACGCAAATGACGGCACGACAGACTGCATGGAGGGGCGACGCGGTGGGCTTGCACCACCTTGTTGCGGTGTAAGAGTGCTGGGCGAGGTGAGAACGTGATCCAGAAGTTCTTGAACGGTCCACAAGGTGCGACGCGTGGAATCCCCTTCGTCAGGCTCAGACACGGAGCTACCGTCTCCGTAAGAGCCTACGACGACGGCTTGGGCCTGTTTTGTGACCATGAAAACCGGGACAAACACCCCCGAGTCCTCGGCGAATTGCAGCGCGAACGCGTCGGCGTCAAACAAATCGAGAACAACGAGCACAGCGAGGGCCCCAGCCTCCTGGAGCTCCAGAACACGGTGCCCGATCTCACTGATAATGGTTTCAGCTTCCAGTTCCGCCTCGCTTTCGGTTCCGATGGGCCCCGATGAAGTTGGGTCATCACCCCCGGCCACAGCCGACGCCAATGGTGCCAGGACACTTTGGTCGATCTCCAGCACGAAAACGCTGTTCATCTCCGTCGGCGCCACCGTGGGCTTCTTCTTCGTCACTGACCGCGCGCGGAGTTGCTGCTGCTTGAGACGCTTGGCCGCTGCCTCCATCTCCGGATGAAATACGTGCGTGCTGAATCCACGACGTCCGACGGCGTGTTTTGCCGTGTTTGACCCGCACACTGCCAACTCAAGCACCACCCCAGCGGCCGATGTCTCACTGAGTACGTCGTCATCACCAGCTTCATCGATTCGAGTGTCTCCGCTACTCGTTCCAGGCCTAGAGGCTGGAGTATTGTTGTTGCTGTTGAAATTCAAGGGAAGGCGGAAGTGCATGTAGAACCCGGCAGGCTTGCCGCGCGGCATGGCAACCAGTCGGTTTGCCACTCGACCCCGTAGCCATTGATCAACACCCTGCGCGTACGTATTCGCGGCGTTGTTTGTACTCCCGGATGCACTGGCCAGTAGGCGCAATGAGCGAGGATCGAAATCTGCCAGTCGATCGAGACTCAAGGCGAATCGCTCAGCTCGTTTCTGCCACAGAGCGCCCATGTCAGTCTCCTTAGTGCTGGTGCCAGTTCCAGGGCGAGACGGTGATTCATCAAGAGCTTCTCCCTCTTCTTCTTCTTCTTTCCCATTGTCTTCATCAACGTCATCAGCATCGAGATCAACAACACAGCAGACCCACGTGGTGGCGTTGGCCCCGTCGGTTCCCACAAACTCGCTCTCAATAGCGTCGAGAGAGCTCGATGACCCCGCCAAAGGCTCCACGAAGAAACCAGTCTCCTCCTCTCCGTGCTCGAGAGCCTGGACGGGCCCGTTCGTGCGAGTTGCCAGCTTCATCCAGACACTTGCACCTTCCGCGAGCATGTGCTGGTCCCCGACTGCGACTTGCCGGAGACGCAGAGCCGAAACGCCGATCGTTTCTTCAGGCACGAAGGCGTGCTCTCTGTCTACACCGCGTCGCCTGCCCCAGTTCCCCCACTCAAAGAGCCTCGAACCAGATCGCTCGGTACTCAAAGCCACCGAGTGGTTACCCCGGCACGCGACTTGGGTGATCCGCACGTCGCTCAGAGCTAGCACTGGCTCGGGCTGTGCTAAGTAGGTGTACGCCGAGCTGATCATGTGCCGGTCAGCTAGCGCAACCTGGTAGAACTCGTGCGTCTCGCCATGGCCGAGTTGGCCTTCGGACGCTTCACCCCACGTGAAGACGTCTCCGGCGCGACTCAGTGCCATACAATAGTAGTCTCCGCTGCACACGTGCGCTACTGGAATGGGCTCTGCCTGCTGAGCAGCGCAACCTTCGAAGTACAGCAGTCTCGTTGGTGACGCCAGGTAGTCCTCGTCTTCGCCTGTGCGCTCGTCGTAGTACGACGTGTATCGTACGCGGCCGGACGTGCGCGCAGCCAGAGTCTCCGCTGATCCGTGGCCCAGTTGTCCGTGGTCGTTAAAGCCCCAGGAGAACACCATGCCGTCTTCAGTGAGTGCAAGCGCGTGCCGCAAGCCACAAGCCACTTCGACCACGCGCGCTGGTAGTCGAACCTGCAGTCGGCGCGGAGTTGCGTGAGTGAGGCAGACCATTTGACTCGCATTGTTGCTGCTGTCTTGATCAGCGTGCAGGCGGGGAAGGCATCGCCCCCACGCGAATATCGAGCGGCCATCGTCCTGCACGCCCAACGCAAATGTCGACGACGCAGCCAGCGTTGTGAGCTTCGCATTGAGAGTCACGAAAGCTCCGATGAGTCGAACGGGAGCTCCAGCATTGACGCCCTTCCTCTTGTCTGGACGAGTCTCCGCAGCTGCGATGCCAATGCTCGGGCCAGAGCCAGCAGCGAACACGCCGCCATTTAGCGCGGCTCGCTCGATCTCCGCTCGGACCTCGAGCTCTCGCGCAACGCGTCGGTGCTTGAAAAAATCCTGGAGTTGAGCTGCAGATTTGTGCCGCTGCGCCACTCGGTCTTGGGCGCGGCGTTGCGCGTCATACAGCGAACATCGGCGTCTCCACGTGGACTGGATCAGCAGCGCGGCGCTACCACGACGGCGTTCCTTGCGGCCCTCGAACGTCACGTAGCGACACAGTAGCGTCTCATACAGCTCCGTTTGGCGCGAGAAGTGAGACGGACAAGGCTCGAATGTGAGCGGATTGCGGAGCTCCTCGCCCGAGAAGAGCGCCAAGAACTGGTGCAGTGCCGGCGTAGCAGCCACGTACGCCTGCAATTCTTCGCTCGACACGCTCTTGGTTGCCGCCGCATCGGATGTCGACGCAGGCGTCTCCGAACGCGAGCTCACGATGCTCTGCATGCAGTGGAACGCACTCTGTCGGGCAAATGAAGCCACGCGGAGCTCGTGAGTCTGCCAGACTCGAGCCACGCCCTGCGTCGCTCGCCCCACGCCGTTCATGATACACAGCAGCATGCGCGCGACGTCCGTCTCCTTCAGGCGTTGAGCACTAGTGTACGCCATTGCCTTGCTGCTGGAAGAAGTCGCGGGGTCGTGGAACAACTCCAACAGCAGCGTCAGCTTCTCGTGGAAGTCCCAGATCGCGCGGGAGGTCACAACCATCGCGGCGAGGAACTCGAGCGCGTACAGGCGACGGCCTCGTCCGTCGGCGAACGTGAGGAAAATGTGCTGCATGTGCTTCTCCAAGATCGGCGGTGGGTCCTTCGCAGCGTGCTCGACGTCGCTGGAGTGACGTTCGTGCTGCTGGTTGCCCCGCACTGGAGGGGTCATGATATCGGAGACTTTCGGTCGCGAGGCTTTCGAGCCTCTGTCGGTTGGTCGTTTGCCTCCCCCAACGTCGAGCCACAGCAAGAACTCGTCCAACGTCAGCAAACCTGTCGACCCCGCCTTGCTGTGGAGACGCAGATGCAGACGTCGAGTATCTTGTGCCGTGAACCATTGGGCCAGAGGCTCCAGCTGCGGCCACAGCGCCAGGTCCTGCTTCGAGTAGTGCATCCCGCATTGCAGGCCTTGCCACGACAGCGACTTGGACGCGGAGCTGTGGCCCGAGGGCAACACGCGCGAGCTGGCCATCCCCATGGCGAGCAGCGGACGGACGGTCAGACAGACGATCTTGACTTGAAACGATCCGACAGAGTCTCCGATAAATTTATCGGCCTTGGCGTCACCTCACAGCGTCGACTGTCCTGCTGCACAATGGTGAGGGCCGATGCAGTTCCGTTGACTCGGTCTCCAGCCGAAATCTCGGCGCTCAACTCGCTGCGCAGTCTGCCGGAGCTTCTGCTCTACTCCCGCCGTCCCCAATCGGCCAATGCCAGCGATCGTGGGCGGAGCTTGGTCGTCACGTCCAGCGTGGCAGCGCTTCGCTCGCTTTGTAGCACTCATGGACGACGATCATCGATTACGGACGCTGCACCTCCGACTGAACTCGGATCGTTGGAGAGGTGGCTCGCGCTCGCCGAGATCTCGGCGAAACTTGACGACGACATGCAGAACCTCGAGCGGGAGATTCAAACGCATGAGCGCAAGCGCACCGCACTCGCATCGGTGAGAGGCGACGGGTCCAGCGCAACGAGACTGCCGCCACCTGAAGCTTGCGAGCTCGGACCCAAGCTGCAGTGTCTGCAGGAGGTGCTGGGGACGGCGCGCTTTCGAGCGTATTGCCGCGACTTGTTCGTCTTGGTGAGGAACCTCCGCCTCCGTCTAGAGCTCCATGGCGTTCGCATGCGCGACTTCGAGCGGCAGTTGTGTCGAGAGCGCTCCGTGTCCGTGGAGAAGCTTCTGTGGCTGTTGAACGAGACCAAGCGCTGTCTTCAGTCGAACGCTGAAGATGACGTGCCACCGATTGAACACGCCGACTACGCGCTATTGCTGCAGCACTGCAGTGACCCCAGCAATCCTGAAGCTGCCGTCGTCACGGAGGAGTTCACGGCGTTGCTACGCAGCCTCCCGCTAGAGAGGGCGACGCTCGTGAGGTACGTGTTCGAGCAGCTCGCTGACACTCGAAGAGGAGAGGGCTACCGACCTCCTCCAGATCACACCAAGATCCACCACATCCAAGCCGCCGTCAAACTACAGCGCAGTCACTGCTCCGCTGGAGAACTCCAAGCTGCTGAGGCCTGGCTCGAAGTCGTGGGGTCCGATGCCATCACGCTTCAGGACCTGGTCCAGTTTCACCTCACCGTCAACGACGCCAACGTCACCGAAGACGCCGAGTTCGTGCGCTTCGTGCAGCGGATGTGGGGCTTTGACCCCCTGGCTGTGAAGGACGCGGACCGAGGGGAAGCGATACAGCAACTGCTGGAGAACTACACAGCGAGGTGTCACCTGGTTGAGCTCGTCGCTCGTAAACGCGAGCTGCTCGCGAAAATCCCTGCTGCCCAGGCTCGGATACGCTCCGCTAGCGTGCTCCTAGAGTCTGAGTTACAACATCTCCGAGTGCTGCAGGCTCCAGCAGGACTGAGTCGCTGGCTGCAGTGCGGTGGGAGCATTAATCCACGACTAGGCAGCGTACTGGTACTGCTACGTGAGCTGACGCTCTCGGGGCAAGTGCTCACATCGATTCCGGAGTTTGTGGGCTCGTTGAAAGAGCTGCAGGTTCTGGATCTCCGCGATAACCGGATTGGAACCATCTCTCCGATGCTGGGGGCCATGAAAACCCTCCGGAGGTTGGATCTGTCGGATAATTTACTGCGTGATGTAAGTTTCACCCAAGCTGACGAGATGTGGAGTCAACTGGAAATCCTCGCAGACCTTAAGCTGAGCGGGAACAAGTTGACCTCTCTACCCAGTGCGCTTGTAGCCATTCCAAGTCTTACGACGCTCGATCTCTCTAGGAACTCACTGCGAGCAATTCGACGGGAAGTAGTTCAGCTCTGGAAGGGCCGAAGTCGCCTGGAGACTCTGGATCTGCACGCCAATTCTCTCACCGCATTGCCCGAAGAAATTCACGTTTTGTTCGGGACGTTGCGTCGACTAATTCTCCATCAAAACCACCTCGCCAGCTTGCCGAGCAGAATATCCGAGTTGATCAGGCTGGAAGAGTTATCGCTATCGCAGAACCAGCTCTCGGGTGAATCGGTGGCGTCCTATCCACTGCCGGAGGGGCTCCTGGCCATCTCGCTCGCGCAGAACCAACTTCGTGTGGCTCCTTGCCTCGTTGTCGTCCATACAGAAGGCAAAGGGCCTCCTCCCAATCGGAATAGCAGCGTCATAACCATTGACATGCGTGGCAATCGTCTACGAAGCGTAGTGGATTGGTCGCCGCTGGTGCTAACAACCTGCCAATCCCTCCATCTCCAGAATAATGCTCTGCGTGAGCTCCCTGACGGCTTCTTCGGCGCACTGCCGGCTTTGCGAGTGTGCGAATTGCAGTGCAACCAGCTTCGAAATCTCCCGGCGGGGATCACAGAGTGTACTCAGCTTCGAGTTCTTGACGTGCACGACAACTGTCTGCAGTCGCTACCCAAGGAGCTGGTGCAGTTGACGTCGCTCGAAGTTCTCAACGCAGCCGAGAACGACCTCACTGAGATTCCCCTCGAGTGGCACGCGTTCGAGACTCAAAACGATGGCGCGAGGGTGCTCCACTCTCTGATGCTGCGTCGAAATCCGCTGCATAACAAAATCCTCAAGGCCATTGTGGACGGCAGCACCGACGGCGCACCATCCACCTCCAGAGTCCATTCGACCGCTACATCCGATGACCCGGCGTGTGAAGGAGTCATCAAGAAACTGCTAGACTGTCTCCGGGATGCAAGCATCGTGCAGCGCGGCTTAGATACTGGAAGAGCGCGTGCCCGTAAGGCTTGGGTCGATAGTGACGAAGACGATGAGGATGGTCCAGCGGAGCGGGGTAACAGACCCAAGTGGCGCGGGGTAGCTCGTGACGTGAACCTCTACCTCGAGCAGCGTCTTCGAGCGATGCAGCGCCCACCTGCCAGCGGTAAATCGTCCTCGTTGGTGGTGGACGCGAAGAGCTTCGAGCGGATGATGCGGACGCTGCCGTTCACAAGCTCAAAGCCCGAGCTGGCACACCTTGTAAGACGCTTTCGGGTGAAGCACGAGGACGAAGAAGATCGGGGCAAAAGTACCAAGCAGGTCGACGGCCTCGCGTTCCTGCAGGCGATCGAGCGATTCGGGCGGTGGCGATCGATTTCAATGCCGTCGAAGCGACAGATGAGCTCGGTTGCCAAGCCCACGATCGACTCGGCAGGACCGATTGTTCAGTATCTCGCAGTGCTGCACCGCCGCATGCAGGAGGAGGAGCAGGAGCGTCGAGACCGAGACAACCCGCAGTCTCTAAGCCCCAAAGCGAGACCACAGTCACGCGTAACACTCCGCTCCAAGCAGAAGCAGCGGGTGAAGGAGACGCCTCGATCGAAGGATGCGAAGACTGCGAAGCGCAAGCCGCCGCCCAGGTCCAACCAAGAGCAGGACCCGCCACCGTTCGACAAGCCCAGCAAAACTCGGGCCGACGTGATTGCGGACCGCCAGCGACAGCGCATCCAGGTGCTCGAACAGCAGCTCGTTGACCAGAAGCTGCTCCTGCTAGCGCATCAGAAGCCCGCTGCAAGTACAAGTAGCAAGGGCCCAGCCATCGCCCCAGCCGATCTCCACACAGTATCGGAAGAGGAGAATCTCCTTGAGAGCGACGAGAGGAGGGGGAAGGCAAGCGCAGCTAATGGTGACGACGACGGCAGTGAGCGGTTCGTCATCGTCAGTGTTAAATGCCTGCATCTGCCCGGGACAGACGAGGTCGGCGGGCACCACGCGGTGCCAAAAGCCCCGGCGCGCGTGGAGTTGCGTCTTCGGCCAGATGATTCTGTGCTGCGTTTGAAGCAGCAGCTTGAAACCCGCACTGGGGTGCCAGTAGATCACCAAATAATCGTCGCCAACAGCGCGAGCCGAGGGGCGCCCGCCATCCGGCTGCGGAACGGTGCTGCGCTGCGCGAGTACTCGGAGCATGTGGGTGGCGTGAGCAGATGGTCGCTGTCGCTGCTCATCGGGCAGAGCCTGCCGCTGGCACGTGGGGACTCTGCCACCGGAGGGATGACGGCCTTGTGATTTCCAAGCTGCGGCCACGAAATAAAGCCGAGAGAGACGAGAAGCATCCGCCACCATGCAAGCTACACAGTCAACGTTGACATGATGCTATAATACGTATCCGCGGAAAGCGTCTCCACAAACTCAATGGCAATTGCAAGCAGACGCAGCTTCCTATACCACTGCAGTCGCTGCGTCCGGCCCTGGACACCGTAGAGTCAACGCTGTCAGCACTTCAAGCAAAGCGAAGGTCCGCCTCGACGATCGTCGGCACGTTGTTGCTGCGTCAGCTCAGCGCTTTCGTCACGTTGCCCACGCGCGTCTTTGCCTCGTGACGAGTGCTCGGACTCGCATAAGAAAACACCGACGCCACGTTCAAATGGACGTGCATGCATACTGGTGTTGGCTGCACGATCTCAGGCCGAGCACCTCGGACGGACGGCTTCACACGCTGTGTTGTTCTTCTGGAGCAGATGAGTTCGCCGGGCGGCGGCTCTCATTTGAGGCGACTCACAGCTCCCCAGGAAGGCATTCAGCGGATACTTTTGCCTGCTCCTATTAATACGTTGCAGCCGGAGTCGCACCTACCGCCTGTTAGCTTTTCACGCGTCACAGATGCTGACTACTTGGTTCCATACAAATGTCAAGCCTAAATTCTGACTAGTCTGTAGCCATGTCTGCGAAGGCAGAAGAGCTTGGAAATATTAGAGCTCAAGGGCCGGTACGAGACCGCCAGCCGCCCCGAGTCTGGCACAGGTCTCGACGCCCAGAAGGTGCGTGCGTGGATGAAGAGCTACTTTGGCGAGACCACAGGGCCAAGAACACCGGCCAGCCGGAGCCCCAACTGACAAAAAACTGCAGCCGAAAGCTCCGGGGGTAGGCCGTGTTTGCTCCGGCTCCTCTCGGGCGCTGGTCATCGTCGCCATCTCCATGCGTCACTCGACAAAACGCTCTCTTTCGCGTCCGTCTCGACGGTTGTCCCCCTGCACTTTTACTCTTGACTCCGGTCGAGTATTTTCGTCGTGGGCTAGTGATTCCACACACGCAGTGAAGTTGCGTACAGCTCGGCACTTTGTACTATCGATCCACAACACACACACAATGGCCACTCGTACGCGTCGCCCGCGCGGTCTTTCAGCGAACCACGTGAATGAGGAGGAGCGGCTTCAGATGATCATGAACGACAAGTCCACTCTGTCGTCGGTGCGGCTGCTGGGCAAGGAGAACTGGGTCAAGATGGAGGAGCGCCCCAACTGCTTCTACTGCGCGCGCAAGTTCCGCCCGTTCTCCATTAAGCGCCACTGTCGCTCTTGCGGCGAGGTCGTCTGCTCCAACTGCTACCGGCGACGGAAGGTGAGCGTGACCCCGACGCTGGAAGTCACGGTGCGTCTGTGCTTCGACTGCATCGACAAAGCCATGCTGCTAGCCGAGAGCGAGATCATCAACGCCAGCACCCCCGTGATCGAAGTCTCGCAGTCCAACAGAGTGGAGGTGGAAGTCCCGGAAGAAATAGTCGAAGAAAAGAGCAAGGCCCCGGATACCAAGAGGACGTTCCGGGACAGTGTGCAGACGACCAGCACCAGCACGTCGCTATGCAGTCGCTTCTCGGACTTCTCGTGCTGCGATAACTGGAGTGACGTTAGTAGTGACAGGAGCGACACCAGTAGTCTCGGTGGCAGTGGCGGCCCCATCCCGGCCAGTCAGCGCGGCAGTCGGCGCGGAGGTCCCGTGATCCCGGCCACGGACGTGATCGAGTTCCTGCCGGAAGAGGAGCAGTTTGAGATCTACGAAGGCCGCCGCCACGAAATCCTCGCGAAGTTCAAGGTGCTCGACACCGAGCCAGAGAAGGAATACGACGCGCTGTGCGAACTCGTCCGTCAAGTAATGGAGTGCAGCGTGGCGGCGGTGGCGTTCATGGACCAGACTCGGCAATGGTACAAGGCGCGATACGGCATCGCTCAGGCGGAGCTGCCGCGAGAGATTTCGTTCTGCTCGCAGCTCCTGCAGACGCCGCTGCCCACCATCATCATGGACGCGTCCAAGGACCCGCGTTTTAGCGAGAACCCTCTCGTCAAGGGCTCGGCCAACATCAGATTCTACGCGTCGACCCCAATCTGCGACCCTGACACGGGGATTGTCATCGGCTCGGTGTTCGTCATGGACCCGATTCCAAAGCCCAAGCTGCCACTGCGCGCCATGGAGGTGTTATCCTACGTGTCTTCAGCAGCTGAGAAGCTTCTGCAAGGCAAAGACCCCTCGCCCGTCCCGTCATCCGTGAAGCAGAAGAGGAACTCGTCAGCGAGTCGCCGTGAGTCGACGCCGCCATTCCCGGAAATCCGTGCTGCATCGCTGCAAAGTGTACCGGAAGAGGTCGAAGACGGAGACTTCCGCGTCACGCAGCCGAGATCGAACGCCTCCAGCGTGTCTTCAACCGGCAGCCTGCGCAACAGCCAACGCGGCAGCTTACGCCGATCAGGCCCGAAGCCTCCGCTGCCAACCCCAACGTCTTCTGGGTCGAGCAAGTCTTCGACCATGTCCACTTCGAAGCTCAGCATCACCGATCTGGTCTCTTCCGATTCGAAGACCATGACCACGACGCAGCAGCCGGTCCCTGCCCAGTTCCAGAGCCTCAACTCGTCATGCATGGAGATCTTCAACCGGATCACGTCGACCCAGCAACTACTGGCACAGCAGCACGATACCCTGTTGGCCACGCTGACGCAGCACTCGACACGCATCAGCTCCATCGAGCAAACTGTGGATCGGATTGAAGGCATCTTGTCCACACATCGGACCCAGTACATGCCGCAGCTCGTAGACGCATCCAGTCGACGGCCGACTGACATGTAGGTCGCGTGGCGTGAAGGTATATGGTGTCGTGAGAACCCGTTGTTGTCGAGTCCACTTCATCGGAAGAGGGAGAGGTGTAGCATAGTTGGCGCACAGCGATGTCTTGTAGCGCTTGAACAAAATATATTTGTTTCTCTCAAAATCCTACTTACACAGCTCTAGCGCTGCCGAAAGCAGCGGGATCCAGCACGGATGAATCATTTCACAAGTTGTTATCATCCCTGGTTGCGTTTTGAGCCAGATCTGCTATTTGGCAGAAAGTCTGCATCACACAGTGCAGGGACACCTCGCCCTCATATTGAACACCAATTGAGGAGGGGCGTTTTAGGTTCACTGCTTCTCCGCATCACTGCCAGCATCGTCTTCATCCCCCTCCGCCTCATCATCATCGAAGTCTTCGTCTTCGTCTTCGTCTTCATCGAAGTCGTCGTCTTCGTCATCGAAATCTTCGTCATCATCATCATAATCTTCTTCTCTGTCCATCTCGTCATTCAGCTCCGTGGAGAGGTCCTCTCCATCAAGCAACACGCCGAGCTCAAGAAGCTCATCCTTGTACTTGGCAACTTCCTTCGCGTAGCGATTACCGTGGCGCAAGTGACGCAACCGAAGGCCCAGATTCAGACCCCAGGCAGACTGGGGGTACGGGTCTTCGCTTGGCACAAGAAAACTGCCATCCATGTCTTCGCAACTGCCATGCAGTTTTGCATAGGCCTGGAATGCGGCCAACAGCACATCCTTCCAGTACTGTTCGGCATGGGGAGTAAGCTTCCCTCCGCCGAGAGGGTGAGCGTGACGGTGCTTTTCGCTTGCTGATGCCGCCTTCTTCTTGCCCTCTTGTGTCTGGAACGGAAGCAGTCCGGTTGTTCGGCGGTTGAACTGGAACAGCCACGCGCCCAGCTCAAAGTTCTTGGCCACCTCAGGATAGCGCGGATCGTCCGCGGGCACTACAAAATTCCGCGGGACCTCCGCGTCTTCGCCGTTGATTTCCTTGTACACCTTGACACTCGGGTCGACGATGTCGCGTCTAGTCGCAGCCGTGGACTTGTAGATGCTCCACACAAAGCCGATCTTGTCGAGACGATCACGGTACATCTCGACCTGCTGTGCGTGCTGGTGGCGATTGCGTATGTTGCGCACGGTGTGGCCGAGCTTCGTCCCCCAAGACGGTTGCGGCCATCTACCCTCAGACGGCACGATGAAGCCTTGGGGCACGTGAGTGTCTCCGTAGATCTCCGCATACACCTCTAGCGCCGGTAGGACACGGTCTACGAAGTAGCTCTCGAACGCGTTGAACTTGAAGCCGATCGCCTCCAGTTCCGGTAGCACATCAATCGCGTCGGTGCTGGTGCGGCCGTTGCGTCGAATTCGCACCACCTGCTTCCCCAACTGATAGCCGCGCAGTGTCTTGGGCCAGGACTCGTCGTTCGTAGGCACCACCCACCAGGACGGCACGTCGCAGTGACCGAACTTGGCTTTGTATATTCTGAGCGCCGGCAGCAGCTCCTTCGCCCACTTGCCGAAGAGCGACTCCCACGCGTAGCCGAGCTCTTTGAGCCGCTGCTTGTCCTGCTGCATCTCCTCGCGGAAGATGCGTCTGGAGTTGATGGTTTTCACGATGTATCCGAGCTTGATCCCCCACGCGCGCTCGGGCCACGGAGCCTCGCTGGGCACCACAAAGTCCTCCGGGATGAACACGTCGCCGTCGAACAGCGCCGGGTACAGCTCCAGCGCGGGCATGAGCGCGTCGCGCCAGATCTCATAGGACAGTCCGTCCTCGAAAAAGTTGATGTTCCTGAGGTCGGCCATCTCGCGCGGGGTCAGCGCCTGCTCCTCCAAGTTGGCCTTGACCTTGGCCACGACGTGGCCGAGTCGGTAGCCCCAGCTCACCTCGGGCCACTGCGGGTCGTCGGCGGGCACCTTGAACGTGTGGTGCACCGAGCAGTGGCCGTAGAGCTGGCGGTACGTCTCCATGGCCCGGAGGAACTGCATGCGCCACTTCCACTGCGCGTCGCTCCAGACGAAGCCCATGTCGTCCAGCTGCTGCTTGCGCTGCTCCGAGAGGCCGTCCTCCACGTCGCGACGCAGCAGCTGGCACTGCGAGCCGAGCTTGATGCCCCAGGCCGCGCGCGGCCAGCGCTCGTCGCCCACGGGGATCTGGAAGCTCTGGCGCACGAACAGGTGGCCCTCCAGCTCCTGGAAGACCTTGAGCGACGGGATGATCTGCACCTCCCACACGTAGCTCTTCCAGTCGTCGTACGGGAAGCCGATGGTGCGCAGCAGCGCGCACTTGAACGGGCTGCAGCGGCCGCGCGTGAACAGCCGCAGGCGGTTGCCCAGGTCCATGCCCCACGTCTCGCGCGGCCACGGCGACGTCTCCGCCTCCGCGTCGCTGGCCGGCAAGGGCACCACGAACTCGAAGGGCACGGTGAAGTGGCCCTCCAGGCGGTTGAAGACCTGCAGCGCGGCCAGGAACTGGCGGTCGCGGTCCGACTTGGGCACGACCGGTGTGCTGGACGACGATGTGGTGGTGGACGCAGCGCTGGAGAAGCAGCGGCGCAGCGGCGCAGGCCGCCGCCCGAGCGACAGCAGCCGCTTCATGCTCGTTGTGTGGTGCTGGTAAAAAGCCTGTACTCGTAAAAGTTCGCACATGGACCAAATTGTATATTTTAGTCTAGCCTCAAAATTTGTGCACTGCTTCAACTTGCTGTACCGCTGGTAGTGGTACACATGCTGTCCGATGGGAAGAGCGGAGGTGACAGCCAAGCACGAGCGCCACGTGCCCGGAAAATGGCCGTGGCGCGCAATGCCAGAGCTGTTTTGTTTTGCGGTTGCAGCTGATGGTGGTCAGGTAATGTGTGCGTTAAATTGCCGAGATGACCCCCTTCGAAGTTGGAGGTATCTTCACCAATTGACGCTTTGTTAAACGCGGCGAAGAGGGACCAGCAGTGGTATCGGATACGGATACCGTATCCACTCTACGCCAACGGCGACTTGTCAAACATGGCCAAAGTCTTACCCGCCGCGAGAGCTGCGCGAACAAAGTCTGCATTGCATCGCTGCTTGCGAGCTAGCTACGTTGGCGGCAGTCGATGCACCGTAGCACCGTAACGTCAACACGGTCACAAAACTGACAAAACTGTCCAAAAAATGAGCTGACCCAAAATCTGTGCAAATAACCTCGAACGAGGTTTTTTCGATATTGAAGTTTTGATTGCATCAAACGCCGGCGGCTGATGCACGCTCGCCCCGTAACGCTGATGACCGGCGCAGCCCCGGGAGCCATTTCCGCTTTTGCGCCGCGCCGAGCCCTTCCTCTTGACGCCACCATGCTGCACCGCGTGTCCCGCTCCGTCGTCTCCGCCCGCCCCGCGCGCGCCTTCTCCACGTCCTCCGTGGTGCGTCCCCCTTCTCCTTGTTCTCCTTGCTTGGTATCCGTGCCGCCGCCACTAACGACTGCGCCCCTCTGCAGGAGCGCGTGCCGCTCTTCATCGACGGCAAGTTCGTGCAGTCCAAGACCGACAAGTGGATCGACCTGCGCAACCCGGTACGTACGCCGCGCCGCCGACGTGGCCACGGGAGATGGGCGCGCAGATCTGCTGCAAACCGGCAATCGTAGAGTCTTGCCTGACCTTGTTGATCATGTTACGCTGCTGCTGCTGTTGCTGCGTTGCAGGCGACGAACGAGGTCATCTGCCAGGTACCGGAGGCCACGCAGGATGAGGTAGGTCGGCCCTGCTCCGCTCTACCGTCTCGCGCTGCTGCTCTGCTCTGACTGACGACGCCGACGTGTCTGCAGATGCGCCAAGCCACGGAGGCCGCCGCCCGCGCCTACAAGACGTGGAAGGAGGTGGGCGTGCAGCACCGCCAGCGCGTCATGCTCAAGCTGCAGCACCTGATCCGCGAGCACACGGAGGAGCTCGCTCTGTCCATCACCAACGAGCAGGGCAAGACGCTGGCCGACGCGCGCGGCGACGTCTTCCGCGGCCTCGAGGTGGTCGAGCACACGTGCGGCGCCGCCACGCTCATGATGGGCGAGACGGCCGAGAACCTCGCCACGTCGCTCGACACGTACTCGTACAAGCAGCCGCTGGGCGTTTGTGCCGGCATCTGCCCCTTCAACTTCCCGGCCATGATCCCGCTCTGGATGTTCCCCACCGGCACGGTCACGGGCAACACGTACGTGCTAAAACCCTCGGAGAAGGACCCCGGCGCCTCGATGGTGAGTGGCTGCAACGACCAGCCTGAAAAGCCATCACAGTCTAACTCATCATTGTGTGTCATCATGTTTGCTGTAGATTCTGGCTCGCCTCGCCAAGGAGGCTGGTCTCCCGGACGGCGTGCTCAACATCATTCACGGCGCTCACGTAAGATACGCCAAGTCAAGTTGAAGTTGAAGCGTTTCAGCAGGTGCTAACCCTTGTGCACTCGTTCCTTTCAACAGGACACTGTCAACTTCATCTGCGACGCACCAGAGATCAAGGCCATCTCGTTCGTCGGCGGTAACCAGGCCGGCGAGTACATCCACTCGCGCGGCAGCGCAAACGGCAAGCGCGTGCAGGCCAACCTCGGCGCCAAGAACCACGCTGTCATCATGCCTGACTGCGACAAGGAGCAGGCCGTCGGCGCTCTTGCTGGCGCGGCTTTTGGAGCTGCTGGCCAGCGTTGCATGGCCCTTTCGGTGGTTGTGTTTGTCGGCAAGTCCAAGGAGTGGGTGCACGACATCGTGCAGAAGGCCAAGGAAATGAAGGTGAACGGCGGCCTGGAGCCCGGCACGGACGTGGGCCCGCTCATCACTGTCGCGGCGAAGGAGCGCGCGGAACGCCTCATCCAAGAAGGTGTCGACAATGGCGCCGAGCTTCTGCTGGACGGACGCAACATCAAGGTTCCCAAATACCCGAACGGCAACTTCGTGGGCCCGACGATCCTGAACAACGTTGGCGTAGACAACCCTGCCTACGTGGAGGAGATTTTCGCCCCCGTGTTGGTGTGCACGTCGGTGGACACGCTGGAAGAAGCGATCGAGCTGATCAACCGCAACCCGTACGGCAACGGCACCTCGATCTTCACGTCTTCGGGTGCGGCCGCCCGTAAATTCCAGCACGAGATTGACGTGGGCCAGGTCGGCATCAACGTGCCGATCCCTGTGCCTCTCCCGATGTTCTCGTTCACCGGCTCGCGTGCATCGATCCGTGGCGACCTGAACTTCTACGGCAAGGCTGGCATCAACTTCTATACGCAGATCAAGACAGTCACGTCGCTGTGGGACTACAACGAGAAGACCCGTTACAGCGCAGTGATGCCGACGCTCGGCCAGAAGTAAAACAACCAAGCCAGACGTAGATACCATGCCTGCGCCAAGACAACCCAGCCCCAACAAAAAGACCATGCCCCGCGTGAAGTGAGTGAGTGATAAATGCAATTGATGGATTGACACTCCTTTAGCTTTGTGTATCTTAACGTCTTCGTCCACCCCCTCGGCCTCCACCTCTGCCTCCCCCTCGGCCCCCTCCTCGGCCACCTCCACGTCTGCCGTAGTAGCCGCCGCCACCGCCTCCCCCGAAGTCATCACGATCCGTTCTCTCTTCATCCGCCTCTGAAATTTTCGTCTCCTCGAGCTTGCGGCCGTCGGGCTCGTTCAGCGTGCATCGGTTGCCTTGGTACTGGGTGACGAACATCTCCAGTTGTCCAGCTGCGTTGGCGGCACCAGTCTTGGCGTTCTTGCTCAGCCGCGGGCACACGTCGCGAGCGATGAGAATGAGCAGCTTGTGGAACTGCTTCTTGTAGTCGAGTAGCAGCTCGAAGCCCGCCACTTCCAGAATGGTCAGGGTCAGAGCACCTGTCATGAGGTGAGGTGGCTCGTTCACCAGCCGCGCCAGCCACGTCCAGCAATCGCCGAGTTGTAGCCCCGGTGGCGACGGACTGCCGTCCCAGGGAGTAGTTTGCCGCACAGCAGCTAGCACAGCCGAGATCATGGTCATGCGCCTTGTGTACTCCGTCACGTGTTCGAGGCCATCCGGGTCCGAGCTTTCGCCCACGGCCTTCTGGAAGCCCACCGACATCTTGTACTCGGCGATGGTCTGAGACGCGTGCTTTTCCGGGTTGTCTGGGATTGTGAAGACACACTTCTGGTGGAAGTAACCCAGCATGACGTCTGTCAGCTCCGGTGTTTGCACACAGCACATTTTTATCACGTGTGCAATGGGGTAGCATGATCTGCAGTGAATAAGCCCGTACTGTTAGATGAGAGCGCTCACGTGCGCATACAAATACAAGACACACAAACGTACTTGTAGTCTGCACGACCCTCCACCTGCTTAGCCAGGCTTGAGGCAACCATGTCGAGGGCGAATTTGAAGTACGCCTCGCCGGATGTTTTGGCCATCTGCAAAGGAATCGAAGTCACCCGTTAGCATTTTAGCAACAACATCCAGATAAACGCCCGTACCCAAATTGCCTACCTGAAGGAGCTGCTGAATTTTGCTCACAACGTTTTTGATAGCTGATGGAGCGGCGGCAATTTGGTTGCATGCACCGGCCTGAACGAAGCAATGCGTCGGTAAGTCATTCACTAGCATGGTTCAGACGACAGAACAATGAAGGTACTCACCTTGCGCCTGATGTTCATGCGGATCTTCTTCACGGCAGGGTCGGGATTCTCCAGAATTTCGGTGGTGTGGCGTTGGAGGTCTTCCAGCCGCTTAATGCGAGCATGCCCTTCTTCAACGTATTTCTTCGCCTGGGCTGCAGCCTCCTTCTCCGCAGCCTTCTTTGCAGCTTCCTCCTTCTCACGTTCAGCCCCCTGCTTCTTCTGCGCTGCAGCACGTTCAGCAGCTTGGGCCTTCGCCTTGGCTTGCGCCTCCTCCACCTCCTGCGCCGCCTTCCGCTGTGCCTCCGCAGCCTCTTCCTTCTCCTTTACCTCCTGCAACTCCTGCAGAATTGCAGCACATAACACAAACAGTTAGCTCACCTTGCAGCTCTGCATCAGAAGATACACCAAGACGTCCCCACCTTCTCGCGAGCTTCTTCTTCCCGGCGTACGGCCGCTTCCTCTCGCTCTCTCGCCTCCTCCTCTCGTCGCTGCTCCTGCTCCCGCGCTTGCTGATACGCGCGCAGCTCCTTCTCCACGCTGTCAAGCGCCGACCTCTCCTTGGACCGGATCTGCACACCGAAATAACAACAATACATGATCACTATCTTTTTTCACCTCGCTCTGTTCAACGCCAAGGTGAGTAAGTAGATACCTGCTGCAACTTGGCCGACGCCTCCCTCTCCAGCTGCTGCTGCTCTCTGAGCACGTCCATCTGCTCACCACTCCGCGCAGAGTCCGCGTTCACCCGGCGCAGCTGCGCGTCCGCGTCCTGCCGAGCGCTCTGCAGCGTTTGGCACAGCGCCTTGTACGCGCCGCTGCTGGTCACGGCCTGCACCGCCTTGCGCTCGCACGAGCGCTCCACCTGCTTCACCAGCTCCTGCCGCGACTTGGCCGTGAGCTGCAGCGTCCCCAGCGCCGCCGTCGCCGCGTGGACGCTGCTGTCGCTGGCCGCCAGCCTCGAGTCCGAGCCTTCGCTCACGTCGTCGTCGTCCTCGTCGTCCTCGTCGTCGCTGGACGTCGTAGAACTGTCCGCGCTTGGCGCGCGCAGCCGCCGCCGGCCTGCAGCATCTGCGCGGGGCTTCTCCACGTCCTGCACGTCGTAGTAGCTCGCCGCGGCGGGCTGCTCATCCAGCGCTAAGGCGCCGAGCCTCATGGCGCTCAATATTGATGTCTACAATGGTCCCGATGGGCATTTTGCGACGGCTATTTTGGTATTTTAGTCGGCCCAATTGTCGACACTTGGCGTTTGTATGCGCGCATTTTGGGTACCTCAAAATCCCAAAATGCGTGGCACACACCATTTGAACCGCGAGCTCGAACCGTAACCGCGGGCGCGGACCGCCGACCTCTCCACCATTCATATCGCGCCAAAGGCCTTGTCCGAGCTTCCGCAGCGCACCCGAGCCAAGGCAAAACCACTCGCCTTCTTCCTTTCTTCGTGACCCAGAACAGCGCAATCATGGTAAGCTTCTGCGTCCACGTGCGGCAGCCACAGACAGGTCGATGAGCGGGAGCGGAAAGCAGAGAGAGAGCAGCGGGAGCAATGTGGGCAAGGATGGATGCACAAAAATTGAGCTGGCAACTCAATCCTCATCCAGGCAGCCAGCGGCAGCGGCAGCGAAAGAAAAAAAATTAAAATACAGGATCGACGAGCTACGGACGGACGATGCAGCCACTAGCAGCAGCCACACAATGACCTAAAACTGGTCCGCCCAATGCAACGCGCGCTCTCTCCAGCTCTCAGCGCTCAATTATTGACTACCTGTAGCATGCTGTCAACGACCTTGACAATGGGCCCCACCCAACCAGACAGATCAGCGATGCTAACGAGGTGTTTGTGCTATTGCCGACAGTCTCGTGACCTTCTGCACCCGTCCGCCGCCGAGGAGGCCTCCAAGCACAAGCTTCGCCGCCTCGTACAGGCCCCCAACTCGTACTTCATGGACGTCAAGTGCCCTGGCTGCTTCAACATCACGACCGTGTTCTCACACGCCCAGACCGTCGTGCTGTGCGGCTCGTGCTCGGTGATGCTCTGCCAGCCTACGGGCGGTAAGGCTCGCCTCACGGACGGCTGCCAGTACCGCAAGAAGACGGAGTAAGTTTATTCGTGGACCACTCAGGAGCCGCCCCCGCCTGCGATGGCGGGGAGCAGCAACTAGACGCTCGACGACGCAGGGACGGAGAAAGAACCAAGCAAGAAAGCAAGTTGGCCACGCCCGCTCGGACCTTTTCAGCTCGCACGCCCACTCGCTTCGGCTCGCTCGGGGACTCGATGTGTCTGTGGAGGAGAGGAAGCCGCTCAGTCTTTTTTGGCTGGATGGATCGGGTTGGCACGCTGCATCTTGAGCAAGGAGGTAGCTGCTAACGTGAATCGAGGGACGTAAGAGTTGATTATTTTGCGGGCTTTCATTCGGTTGCCTGGTCGACTGTCAGTCGACGTCGTCGTCTCTTGTGTTGGTGGTGCTCTGTCCTGACGGTCGGCCCTGCTCGGCATGTTGGATACGCGTTTGATGCTCATCACAAAATAGGGTCCCCCACCTAGTGACGAGACCGGCCTCCATAATGGGGGAGAGATCAGAGTTGCACAAGGTTCTTGTTTTTTCTTTTGTTTTTTTCTTTGTTATCACTTCACCCTAGTGCTGGTCGGGCGTCATCTCATCTCCACGTCCAGCTTGCCGTGTTTGCCATACCTTTCTGCATTGCATATACAAAACGCCCTGAGCTGCACACGAGCGGCCACCGCTCACTATCTGCTCGCCAGCCGGAAGAGCTACCCACACTCACGCCCGGCCCCTTATGTTCAATTAACTTTTCTCCATGGAGCCGTCGTCTCGCTCGTCTGCGCGCCGCTTGTCGGTTGCTTCAACTCGGCTGAACAGCGCATTGCTTGCACATTTACGCGTGGATAGCAGTTCTATCCTTTTCCGCCACGAGCCACGTGCTGTCGTCCTCCAGGTCCAGACGCTCAGCAAGCGCCATGATGGATCCGGTCTCCAGCAAGTACGACACGAGTTTGTCGTTAGCATTCACCATCTCGTCCAGCACGTCGACATTGACCTCATCTTCCAGCGTGGCCTCCTCTTCATCGCCAGGGGTGGTCGCGCCGCCGTCTTCCTCCTCTTCGTTCGATCCGGTTGAGCCGTTCTCCGAGGCGGAGTCGTCTGCATCATGCCGTCGACGCCTATTTCCTCCCCCTCCACCGCCTCCGGACTTTGTCGACGAAGCCTCATCCGACGACGAGTTATCCTGCTGCTGGCCCTTTTGTTGCTGGTTCTGCTTTGATCCCTTCCCGTTGCTCGGAGCCGCCTTCTGACCGCGGAGGAGCGCCGCCTTGCGCTCCTTGGTACGCTGCCGCTTCTTTTGACGCTTGCTACGCTTCGAAGCCTGGCGTGCCTGCTTCTCGTTTGTCTCCTTCTCCGTCTCCTCCTTCCAAAGGCTCTCCTGATACTTGAGGTGGAATACCGTGCAGTCGCAGTTCTTGCACACGTTACACTTGCACTCCGCGCAGAAGAATGTGTCGTTCGAGTGTTTCGAGAACGGTCCAAGGCAGATAGCACACGTAACGAAGTGCTGCTGCCAGATGCGCGACGCCCGCTTCGCCACCGTAGCCGACTTGTGTGATACCAAGGTCTCTATGTTCGCGGAAGCCATGAGGCTTGCGTACGGATTGGGGGAGTCCGTACGCTTCGCCTCCAGCTCCCCGACCTGAAGAATGCGTTCCAAGCCTTCTAGCGCCATCATTACCATGCTTGTCTCCTCCAGGAGATTGCCTAGAATCTGAATACAGCCCTGATTCACGAGATACTCGATCTGACTATCCGAACCGCACGACGTGGCGTTAAGGACTACCCAGCAAGCTTCGCTCTTCACCTCGGCATCAGTCGTGTCCGACGCCGCAAGTCCCATCAACGAAGGAATGCAGCCAGAGTCAAGCACGCACTGGATTTGGTCGACGGTACCGGCGGCGATGTTTGACAGGGTCCAGCATGCCTCCTTCTGGATCTCACGGTTCGAGTGTGCGATTAATCTCCGCAGCGACGGCACGGCGCCACACTCAATTATGTGCTGCGTGTAGTCGTGGTCATCTTCAGCGCACACAATGTTCCCAATCGCGCGAAGGGCTGGCTTCGTCACTCGCCAGGACGAGTGACTCAGGAGCTCAACCAGCCGGAAGCACACGTCGGAGTCCACCACAGCCTGAATGTGAGTGCTCGGCCCATCGCACAAGTGCGAGAACGCCCAGCACACGTGACTCAGAATCTCAGTGTCCGTGCTGGTAAGCATCTTAGCCAGGTACGGCAGAATGAGCCCGATGTCAAACACTGGCCGCGGCTGGCCATCACACAGGTTGCTGATCGTCCACGTCAAGATACGAAGCAGCGACAGACGGTCCCACGAGGTCTTCTTAAGGTTGTTCACCAGCGGCGTCAGCGCACCGGCACTCAGCACAAGGTCCCTCGTCGCAGCGCCTTCGCCGGCCAAGTTTCCCAGAACCCACACGGACTGCTCCAGCACCTACTCGAGCCACCACCGCAACGTACACCACAACCTCAGCAACCAGCCCACAACGCGGCGAGACGAGGAGAGGGGAGGAGACCAATCCTCGTATTGACCTCATGCCTACCTCTTCATTGGTCGAGTCCAGCAAGGACACGAGAGTGGGGATCACGCCATTCTGAAGCAGCACGGACGTGTTGTCCGTGGCCCCCGCAGCGATGTTCGTAAGCGCCCACAGCGCTTCAACTTGCAGCGTCGGTCGGTCTCTCAGACGCAGCCACTTGATGAGTCGCGGCGTCCAGTTCTTCTCCAGCATCTTCCGTATCGACACACGAAAGCTCTAGTCAGTACGACGGCGACCGCATAGTACAATAGGCCAAGCTACCCTTTACCTGACGGATCAGCAGATCGCGCTCCGACGACAGCAAGACGCGCAACTTCTTGGCCGCTTCAAGTTGGACGTCTGCGTCCTCCGAGTTGAGGCCCGCGTCAATCTGGTTCAGGTCTCCCTGGAACGTGGGCGAGGCCGCGAGGGCCGAGCCCGCGGAGGTCCCATCCAGTCCATTGCCCCCCAGGGTGCCGCCGGCCAGGCTGCTGAGACTGCCGTTGGCCAGCAGACTGGCCCCGTGCGAGAGGTGGTGGTGGTGGTGGTGGCCGTGCGAGTGCAGCGAGAACTGCGGCGGCTGCGCGGGGGCCGCGACGCCAGGCTTGCCAGCGCCTCCCATGTGGTGGATCGTGGTGGTCGTGGACGTCACGAGCGTGGCGTTGCCCCCGCGGTGCGTGGCCTGGTGGTGGTGCACGATGTCGCCGTTCTCGGCGCGGTGGGCGCTGGACGTGGCCTTCTTGAGCGACAGATTGGCCTGCGACAAGGTGCTGGGCAGCGCCGCCACGGCTGCGGCCGTGAGCTCCGCCACGTCGGTGGGGGACAGGAACGCTTTCTGGCTGCTGCTCGCCTTGAACGAGCCGCTCATCCGCTCCGAGCGCTGGTCGGAGCGTGCAATAACGTCGAGGGGGCGCCTTCTACGAGCGCACTCTGCCTGCTACACACACGATCACAGAGAGGCTTAGACGGCTGGTCGGCGCGCGGCGGATACGCGGCGGATCGCGGCGAGACCGACACGAGGCGAAGGCCAGATCGCGCCTGCAGCCCGCAGTCGGCTCGGCCGAGCGGGAACCCGCCCACAGCAGCTGGGAGCAGCCGCGCAACGCACCTCCTTTAAGACCCCAGAGGCCGCTTTGAGCTCCTCGGCGTCTTCTTCTCTTTGGTCGCGGGGTCGCCGGGCCGCTAATTCCCACGAGATAGCGCAATTCGTAGCGGTTTATCTAATACGTACCTTTGACCTATGATGATATATATAGGGATACTTTGCCGCTACAAATTATATGTAGACGTTGAAGCATATGCATGGACGTATATAAAGATATACGGGTCCTAGGTCATTTGCTTGTCAGCGGCGACTTGAAGGAAGGACCGAGGTCTCGTCAGTGCGAGCCCGTGCCCGGAGGCGGATGAGTGAGGGCTGAGACCAGAGATCCATGTGATGCGGTGCGTGTGGGGGCGTTTATCTTGGCCGCAGTATCGCGTCCCGAAAAAATGTGCGAGGAGACCATACTCTTCAGAAGTCATTGGACCGGTCCAGAGCACAGTTCGCCGTTGGGTCAACGCTGCATTTCTGCCAGCTCGCTTCCACAAATGCATGGAGCGAAAGAGAAGGCGCCAATGCCGTCGGAAGCTCTCGCAAGGGGGGAACTTGGGCGGCGTTGTGGCATTGTGGTGCTCGCCCTGCTCTCGACGAAGTGAACCCATGTCGGAAACGAATGGCTACAGGTACCATCTTTTGAGCACACCCGACAGATTGTCCTAGGGAAACAACATCTTATGAGCTTGAAGCGATGCGATCAGCAAGATGTACCTTTGCAGCCGCTGCTACGTGTAGTCTGTCCATTTACAACCGCTGTTGGCTGGGACGGCGACAGCTCAAAACTGTTGCAGATTGTGGCCCAGACAAGTCGGAAAGCATCGATCTCATCGTCGGACAGACTGCTACGAGCTCTCGGTATTGACACAGCGGACAGCAGCAGCGCAAGCGAGGGGGGGGGTCCTGGTTGCTGGAGATGTGTCTCTGGAAACCTGGAACCGACTTGCTCAGCTTGACGCGCTGCCTCGTGGGCTTGAGCTCCGCCAGTTGCTGTGGGATGACGGCAACGTCTGGATCGTGGAGCCTGCGATTGAAGACCCCCACGAAGTCGCGGAGAGCTACTGCAGGCGTGTACTCGGCCGCACGTTAGGACGGAACTTCGTTGACACTGGGCACAAGAAACTCACTGGATGTCGCTCGGACGGCACCCGAGTGACCGGGCCGTCCGAAGCGGCGTGCCGGGAATACAGGTACCGCAAGGAATCTCTTACAGTTCCTGGGTGACGGTGATCATCGAGGTGCTGCACAGGCAATCGTGGAGTCAGGTCTACCCGAAGGTGGAAATGTACCGACGGCTTCCAGGCGTTCAGTACGTCTTCTCTGTGAAGATGTCCGAGCAGCTCAGCTGCTGGTCGTACGAGCTCTACGATGTTGGGGGTGGCGTTCCCCCTTTGCTGGACCAGGCTGCGCGTCACTCGTTCGACATCAGAACAACGCAAGCTGAGGATCTCAATGTGGCTGAGTTGGAGTCGAGGCGCGTTCTGGGGCTTGCCCACGGAGATCCGTTGTCACAAGACGTCCCTGAGACTGTTAGAATCGACGTGCTCCAGCTCGCAATGGACGTTTTCAACAGCGTGTGAGCGTTGGCTGCTACTGTAGCGAAGCCAACAGTTTTCACGTGTTCTCAGTCATCAATTTATCATTCTTAGTGTTCACGAGCGTACTGTTATCCCGAACACAGGATTCGAAGCTCTCGGCTGCATTATTCAAGAAAAAATCTGGCAGGTAATGGCGCGTAAATAAATAAATGCATTCCAGACTACTCTGCTGCTACTCGTACGGTGTGCTCAGTAGCCAACTTAGGGATGAGAACGAGTAGTTCCCAAAACGGCTCATTCAAAGTGCCCACATCTATGCTCAAGTAAGATAAACGAACGCGTTTGGGCTTGGCGCAAGGTGTACAGCTTGAAACATCAAGAACCTGAAGATATTTTAGTCAAACGGCTCATCCGCCCGAGCGGTGCACGCACAGCTGCCGAGACGTCATCGTCCCGAAGAGAGCAGAGCCTCCGGCGCTCCAGCTGCCGTTCGCGACGGCATGCTTGATGTCCACCACCGGCATGGACGCGCCAGCCACACTCAGCGACGTTGGCTCCGGGCCACGGGCTTCGCGGTGGTTAGCGACGTTCCACAACATCACACGCTCGACATCTTGCGACCACGAGGCTACCACAGAGGTGCCGTCAGCCTCCGACCACATCGCCGACCGGGACAAGACGGACGCCGCCTTGTGGCCCCCAAACTCCACTCGTGGTGCCAGCTGCCCTCCCCCAACCGTTCGAAGGTCGAACACGCTGTGTTTTGTCGGAGTAGCTCGTGACGACATCACTACTTGGCCCGGGTGCAGCTGGTTCGACGCTAGCGAGAAGCATGCCTGGTCACTCGGCACGTGCGAAAACGGCGTTGCAGCGACTGATCCATTGCCCACCGGTCCATTAGCGGTGGGCGGAGCATCTGCAACACTTCTCCACACCGAAAGCCCGCGGAATGTGGCTGCTGCGAGCCCCTCGGTATACGGTCCGTCGTGGTTGCAAAATAATTTAATAGAGTGCACGGGCTGCCGTTCGGGGAGTGAAAAGCTCTTGACGATCGCCTGGTCGCCTGCAAACGATTTTCTCATGTCGTACTTGACCACAGTGCCGTCTTGAAACCCACAGAACATTGCATAGGGGTCCGATTCGCTAAAGCTGCAGGACCAGCCCTGGCGCCGGCCTGGGGGGAGTGCCACCTGCGCCGCCACCTTCTTGTCTTGAATGCTGGTCAAAACAAGCTTGCCATCAAACGCGACAGTAAGCACTAATCGACCGGACGAGTGAATGACGAGATCGCGCACGTCTGACGTGTGTATAGGCACTTGCATTCTGCGCCTCGGATCCTGAGTGACCAGCAACAATATGCCATGAGAACCTTCAGCCAGCTTCTCCCCAACGCACACGAAGTCGCACGCCCGATTAATGCTGAATACGCGAGCACTTAACAGCGGCACGTCGAACAGCGGCTTGTACTTGCCTATCCTCGCGGTGAAGGCATCGTGAATTGGCTGTGGTGATGTCGGCGATGTAAATGAAACAACTGGTCCAGGTGTGCGTCGTATTTGCTGAGGTTGGGCCGAATATGGAGGCGGAGTTTGCGACTGCGAAACTTGCACTGCAGCTTGTCTAGCTGGGGGAGTTGTAGCCACATTAGCACTCGCGACAGTCACTTGGTTAGTTGGGGGAGTCATGGTCACGCCATTAGCACTCGTTGCAACGGCTTGGCCGCCCCGCTTCGCCTGGCTTGCCGCATAGGCGCGATCATATCGGTCCAGCCTTGTCTGCATATTGGCCACTCCATGTCTGTAATTTGCCAGTGACTGCTTCATCGTAATGGACTCCTTGGTCTTTGCATCCAGCAGCTTCTTGAGCGTCGCGACTTCCGTCTCCAGTCTCGTGCTCTTCTTCTTCTCCTCTTCATACTTCACCGTCATATCTTCCAGCCCGGAGTTGTCCACGACCGCTACATGGTCCGAGAACAAGGGGCAAATGTCCGTGCGCCGCAATGGCGCGCTGCAGTTGGGACACGTCCTCTTCTCGTTGATCCAGCGCTCGATGCACTTCTTGCCGAACAAGTGGCCGCAGCGCAGCGCCACGAGGCGGTGCCGCCCCACGATGGTGCAGTCCTCGCAGCAGATGGTGCACTCCGTGGGCTCTGCCTTCGTCTCCACGAGCGGCCGCTTGCGCTTCCGGGACGCGGCGCTGGGGTCCTCCAGTAGTCTGCGGGCCGCTGCCGCCACTTCCGCCGCCGCCTCCGCCTCCGTGAGGATCTGGATGTCGTCGTCGTCGTCGTCTGCGACCGTCTGCACTGCACCAGCAGACGCAGACGCAGCAGCGGCAGCTGGAGGCGACGACGTGAGGTTGACCACCGACGCCGCGGAAGAAGAAGGCCACGGCGACGCGTCGGACGCCGAAAACTCACTCTCACTCACGCTCTCGTTGTCACTATCGCTCCTGCTGCCGTCGCTGTCGCCGGCGAAGAAGGCGTCCTCATCGTCGGAGCTAGCGCCGCCAAACAGCGTCTCGACACCGCGCGGCATCAGTCTGGTTATAAAGCTGAGTAAGAGTTGGTCCGAGTAAATATAGTCCGACACAAACTATTTTTGATCACGATCTATTTTTCATTTCTGAAGCCAAAAACAAGTTGACAAGCATGGGGCTGCGCAGTCGGCAGCGCCGCCTTGCCGGTGTCACTCGCGAGGACGCGTACGACCCCGAGTCCACTAGCTTGCGCTCGCAGTCGCTGGAAGGTCGGAGGTTATTTGCTGGGGGAATCACAACGCGCAAGACCCAGAGCACTGACCCAATTTGTTGTGTGTTTTCAATCGACAGAGCACCTCCGAGCGTCCATCGACGATGTGGACGCCTTCAATTTGATGTGGAAGGTGCGCACGTTGCCTCTTTCTCTTTGAAGATGACACAGTACTAACTTGTTGCCATTGCACAGAGCACCGTGGGCTATGCCGGCCTCGTGCTGGCCGGATACGAAGCCATCTTGATGTACCAGCTGCTAACGGGCAGCTCGCCCACGAGCCGCCTGCCGCTGTGCCTCGTGCTCAAGCTTGTGGCCTTCGCCAGCATCCTAAGTACGCGCGAGTACGTGCGCACGGGCCGCAGCTCGAATCTCGGCCAGAGCCTCTTCTTCTCGGGCAGCTACGTGCTCATCTGGCTGTGCTGCTCGGCGCTGCTGCATCTGAGCTTCTCGGCCGTGGAGGCCTCACCGCTCTGCATCCTGTACTTCCTGGCCAGCTTCGGCGTGCTCCGACTCATCGGAGACAACACCAAGGCCGAGGTGGCGCGAGCGCAGCAGCTCGAGAAGCTCCAGCGCCTCGTAGGCCTGATGTAGCCATCTCTGGAAGATTAGTGTAGGTTTGATAACCGTACTTAGTGTGACTAGTCAATTTTCAAACGTTTGAACTTCATTTCTCGAACGTCAACGCAGCGGTCAAAGGCAACAGCTCTGCTGCTGCCTTGTCTGCGTGTCTGGAGCTCGCCACGATGGCGGACCGCTTGATCCACCAGCGCGTGTTCAAAGTGTCCAAGGAGCTGAACCGACTGGTACGCTTTGCACGCTACAACTCGCTCTACAGCGCGCGTTATTCAATGCGCAAGGCCAATGCTTGCTCACCCGCTGTTACTTCTACAGGATATGTTGTGCGAGCAGCACCGCCGCCACATCGGCCACCGCGACGGCCAGCCGGACTGGGAGCAGCCACGCACGCCTGCCGGCAAGGCCAACGCGCGACACCAGACCACGCCAGCGTTCTTCGCGTGGAACCAAGAGCCTCAGCAGAGATCGCAGTCGACATGGCAACCCCAGACGCCGCAGGTACGTTAGCTGTGCAGTGTTGTTGAGGTCGTTACTTAAAAGTCATGAGGTTGACTGTAATTTGCTGCAGAAGGTGGCGCGGACGTTGGACATGACGCCGACGAGAGGGCGGGGAACGGAGGATGACGCAGAGCCTGCGCCGGAGAGGTCGCCCTTTGAGAGATCGAGGGAGGAAGAACGCGAGTCAGCTGCGGTGCTGCCGCCGCCTTCCGACCACGTGGAAGATGAAGGTATGGACGAGGATACGGCTATCGAGGTCGACGGTGAGGACAGGTCCGAGGAGGAGGAGCAGGCTGTCGACGGAGTGAGGTCTGTGGCTGTTAGCCCTGCCAAAGAAGATATCCTGGACCGAGTGGCCCCTTCAAGTTCTGCTGCTTCCGCAGTGCAGACGCGGGCTTCAAACCCGTCGCTGACTGTGGATGCGCATTCGTCGTCCTACCGTCCGCCTTCGAGTCCGCGGTACAGACATGGACGACGACTTCTCGAGAGCGATGTCGCTGTGCCATCATCGTGTTCCCAGGGATATGCAGCTGGGGTGACTACGGAGCAGGCGGATCGCTACAGGATGAGCCGGTCGAGCGGCAAGAGGTTCCGGTCTCCGGCTAAGCCTACGTTGTTGTGGGACGATCTCTGCAACAGCTACATCCATCAGAGCGGAGGTAACAGCACCAACAGCACTAGTCAAAACGCCCCCAGCTTTTCGCACAAGCGCCTGGCGCGTTCTGCTGCCGAACGAACGTTTGGCGGTTCTTCCGTATTTCGGACGCTCAACATGGACACGTACGCCTGGCCTCGATCTGGTGAGCGCCGACATGTTTTGTCTGGGCCCGAGGCCATGGACGTTGCTAACCGAGCGATGCGCGAGTTTCTCGGGGAACGCGACCAAGAATCAAAGCAATCCGAGCCACCTGTGCAGCCTCGACAACGCACCGCTCAACACGGCAGTGTGGTGCCGGCCGCTGAAGCTGTTGAAGACGTGGCTAGTGCTTCAGGCAGCGGCAACAAGAAGAGCAAGAGAGTGTCTTTCGGCGGCAACAGTACGTATCCGCAGCCTCGAACTCTTCCGGTACTCGCCGACAAAACGACACAGACAGACGACTCGCTTCTGACAGCTCGAAACGCCAGAAAGCAGAGACCTGACGCCCCCAATGCTTCTCAGCGCTCGCCAGCCCGCTGTCCTGCGTGTGATACAACTGTCGGTGACTCCGAGCGCCCAAGAAAAGTACCAAGAGGTCCTGAAGATACTTCAGCCCAGGGTCCCCAACACAACTTCCGGCGTAGTAGCAGCAGCTTCAGCCAGCATTTGACAAACCCGATCTTACTGAACCCGCGATACCCACCGGAGCCTACGACCTTCCGCGGGAGGTCGACGTACTCTTCTGCATTCAATGGCAGATTGGCGTGGCGATAGCGCTCGGGCTAAAGCGCATTAAAACCTAGTAAGCGGTGTCCCTATGAATGATGTTGCATTTCAACGCAAAGAATGGTTCCCAAAAATACTCCTCCATCTTGAAAGCAAGCTTCCCCAGCGAGACGTAGCTCTTGAAGTGCCATTGGAATCGACATGGCGACTGTGGAAGAGCTGCTGGGTCTTGAGGATTCAAGGAAGCAACAGTTAGTGCGGATTTACCCCAAGTATGTCCGCCTACGCCAAGGCAGCGAGATCCGCTACCGACTGAAGCTCACGCGACCGCCATCGAAGGTAACATGACAAGCAAGTTTGTCCTGAGATGAAATGCAACAGCTAACATTTCACGTGCAGGGCAAGGCCGTGACGATCCACGTGCGGGTGATCATGAACAAGATTGGCATCACGGCGTCACCGACACAGCTCGTTGTCACGTCCAAGAACTGGAGACAAACCCGCGAGGTTACAGTCACGAGCTCGGTGGACTCGGAGTTGCGCACTTTTCAAATTCACCACAAGATTAATGAGACGTACGACGAGGTCTACAACGCCACAGCGCTGCTGCCTTCACTGTTCGTCTCTGTGCTGCAGAAGGAGGCCACCTTCCTCTTCGGCTTTGGTTGCGGCAATGACGGACGATTGGGCACGAACGGGGACAGCAGCATAACGACACCAACGCCATTTTCCAGTCGGTGGCTGCATCCTCTGCAGCTTGCATGCGGCAAGGCTCACTCGGCCATCGTGGACGTGTACTCCAATCTGTACTGCTTCGGCTTGGGCGAGAATGGGCAACTGGGGCAGGGTGAAGACAACTTGGAGTCATCGGAAGAACCGGTGCGTATTCTTCAGCTCACGTCGACGTGCGTGCAGTTCGTGGCATGCGGGGCCAACCATACACTTTGCATGAGCGTCGATGGGCGAGTCTACGCCTGGGGCGACAACAGCTTTGGGCAGCTAGGAATGGGCACCAAGTCCGCGCTGCCCGTGGGAACTCCGTATCGAGTGGAGAAGCTGGTGAGCGTTCGAGGAATCGCTTGCGGGGGCGGGCAGTCCTTCATCTTGACGAAGAACAATGTGTTGGCGTCCGGTAGTAACGTTGCGGGGCAGCTTGGAATGGGCGACCGCATCGACCGGACCAGCTTCGAGCACATCCCGTTCTTTCGCAAGGTGGTTGGAACAATCGATCCACTAGCTGAATCAAGCCCCGAATCATGGCCTGAGGTGGACCCCACACCAGAAGACGTTGAGTTATCCTGTGGGGTGTATCACGCGCTGGCACTCAGTGGGTCTCGCGTGTACTCTTGGGGCATTGGCGACGATGGGCGCTTGGGACACGGAGACCACGAAAGCCGCTTGGTTCCGACGCTCATTAACTCGCTTAAAGACACACCGGTGGCAGTTGTTGCGTGCGGAGGAAGCCACAGCGGCGTCGTGACCACCAGCGGAGACGTCTTCACGTGGGGCAGCGGCTCGCAGGGCCAGCTTGGACTTGGCAAAACTCGCTCACGATGTGTACCAACTCGCGTACGGGTATTGCAGGACGTGGGAGTCACTCAGCTTGCATTCGGGGAGTGGCATTCCATGGCACTATGCGAGAATGGCACTTTGTTTGCTTGGGGGTTCGGCGAGGAAGGACAGTTGGGACTTCCTGATGAAGATCTGGAGCCTACTCGACGAGTAGCCTTGCTCCCCGTAGTAGTTCACGCGCTCTCAGGAACGGGAGCTACAATGATATCGTGCGGAGGATCGCACACGTTCGTCGTAACTGTGCAGGAAAATCGTCGGCAACAACTCGCCCAAATGCACCGACGAGCATCGCAGCTGAACGTGCAGCAAGAAGAGCTGCGGTTAGCAGCAATTACCACTCTCGGGCGCCGCTTATCCCGAAGAATGACCTATGAGCGCCACGCAAGTGATCGAGCTATTGCCAAGGAGAAACTCCAGTCGCAACAACAACAAGCCAAGAAGAAAGCCGACTCGTTTGTGCGCAAATGCAACAGCGCGCGTCGAGCAGAGCCATTGCCCCATCCAGTGGACCCGGCTGTGGTCGAGTCATTTTCGTGGAAGTCGCGCCCTCTGTCGTCCCGGTTGTCAGTGCGCAACGCGTTTCGTCAGCAGAACCGCGAGATGGAGGACTGGCGGGAGTCCATGGCGCCTCCCGATGTGCTTCCTCCGAGAACACGGAGCAGATTGGGTGTGTCACCACGTCTTCTTCGACTGAGCGAGCAAGTCGGTCGCCGTAGGAAGCCAGCAGAGAACCCTGCCGACACTCAAGCCGTCGCCGACGCGGTGGACGCTGCGACAGCGAACTGCTTGCGTCTTGGCAGCATGGGCTACTGCATGGAGTCCGGAAGCCCCAAAGCATCCGCTCGGCACGACCAAAGTGACGAGGACGACGACGCTCTGCACATTACGGAGATCGCCGACGGTCTGCGAGTCGAAACCACTGCTGGTCTTGGTGGCGGTGATGGGTCGAACGACGACGACTATGACGAAGACAGCGACGACGAGATCTCGCTGTTCCCTACGAGTGGTAGATACCGCAGCTGCCAGGCCATGGAGACCGACATCCGAACCAGACACTCACACTAGCATAGCCTATCGACGGGTGAATGGATAGCATAGATTAGTTAGGCGACGGTCTCACCTTATTCTTCGTCACGTCAAATGGCTTCACACCTGCTCCTCTCTTCGTCGCGATAGAACTCGGACAGTCGAATCTCGAGCCGCGCCGGCTCCACTGGGGGCAAGCTGCCGACGTTTGCGATAACCTCCGGCGGGATCGGGGCGTACGCGGGCACCCCACTCACTCGAGCGAACTTGCAGACGTTGGCCATTGCGCCAACCGACATGGCCCCCAGCGGGTCAATGGGCAGAGGTGGGGCCGCACTGGGGGAGGTCAACAGGGCTCTCGGGGGACGCGAGGGGGCAACCCCCCCTGCAGCTCCAGCTTGGGCAGGCTGAGAGCCGCACACCTGCTGCTTCTTCCATTGGTAGTAGTCCGAGAACGGGCCGCCGGGCTTCAGGAAGGCGAAGTCCGGGTTGTCGCGCTCCCGCTGCCTAGCGGTGGCTTCGAACGCGTCTCCGTTGCGGGCCACGAACTCCACGAGGCGGTCAATGCGGTTCCGCACCTCGGGCGGGAGGTTGCCCATTGCCACGGGCTCTGGAGCGGCCGCGAACCTGCTGCCGGGCACTGGAGCATTGGCCTGGATCGGTGGCGGACGGAACGGCACACCTGGTACGGCCGGCCCCGAGGCGAATGGCGCACCGTTCGTCGCGCCTTGAGCGCGCGCAGCAGCTGCGATGGAGGCCAGACGCGCCGCCTCCTTGGCCTGTGCGATGCGCGCCTGGAACTGCTGCTCCAGCTGCGCCGAGGACATCGGCGGACCGCTCATGTTGCTACAATAATGCGAATGCGAATGTACCACATACGGGGTACTGTATCTAGGATAGCTGTAGGAATGGGTAGGTGTATTTATAGGTTGGCAGTTGAAGTCGCTTCTCGTCTCTTCACTTCAACTTTGACTTGACCGTCCGCTCTACTACATGTAGTTAGAAGTTGCGCCCGTTGCACTGGTTGTCGCTGCCGCTCCACTCGCAGAACCAGAGCAGGCCGCAGAAACCCTGCTGGCTGAAGAGCTGGCAGAAGGGCTGCGTGCGAGGCGCGCGCGGCTGGATCGGGGCCGAGCTCGCCGGAGCGGCGGTGGTCGCAGCAGGGCTCGTCGTTGCCGGAGACGAAGTGGCAGGCGCCGACGTTGTAGCGGACGAGTCCGGGGCTGTGTACGCTGTCAACTGGATGCGGTAGTCGCCCGAGCAGTACTCGAAGGGCGCGGACGCCGTGATAGTCGCGCAGTCGGTCTGCGTGGTCGGGCCCTCGCTCGAGATGTTCGAAGGCTTCTCGTAGCACGTGCGAATCGACGAGAGGCTGTTGTTGCCGTCCACCGACGAGCACAACACGATAACGTCGTGGTCGTACAGCGCCTCGATCTCCGCCAGCGTCGTCTGCGGCGTGGCCTGGGCCGCCCACTTGTTGATCTGCTCGGTGGCGGAGCTCAAACGCTCGGCCGTGTTGAGCGTGGCCGTGAAGTACGTGACCGCAGCCGACATGAAGTCGTCCCCGTCGGCGTGGTAGCACAAGCCGCGCTTCTGGAACTCGTGGTCGTAGATCTCGCACAGCGTGTCGTAGGTCGACTCCTGCGTGGCGTCCACCCACTTGTCGCCCATGGTGGCGAGGAGGTCGCTCTCGAGCAGCGCAAACTCGGCCGCGTCGTACGGCTGGTTGGTGACCGTCGAGTTCGGGTTGCAGCAGCTCACGTAGCCGTCGTTGCAGTTGGGCCACAGGCCGTGGATCGTCAGCTCGCTCTTGGCTCGACTGGCCACGCAGCTCGTGCCGTTCGGGTACACGTCGACGTTCTGGTGCGAGATGGTCTCGTCATAGCCCTTGAGCAGGTCGCGGCAGAACTGCGGCACAAAGAGCTGCTCCAGCACGAGGTAGTCGAAGTCGCCGGGCGTCTCGGTCTTGGCCAGGCAGTCGGCGGCGGAAGTCAGGCACGTCTTGGACGGCGCCGAGCAGATATCCACACACTCGGCGGTGGGGTTGGTGGAGGACCAACCGCCGGCGTAGTTGGTGGCAGTACCGCCGATAGCCTGGAAGTCGGCGGCAAGAAGCGTGGAGGCGAGGAGAGCAGTGGCAAAGCTAGTGCGCATGACTGTCGTCTAGAGCTCGTCGGGTACTCGGGGACAGTGAGTGCGAGGAGGCAAATTCCGTTATGAGCTTCTCGGGTTGGTGATATGCCGATGTTGATGGTTGGCAGGCAGACGCATGCAGCGCGGATCTATCGCCATCGTGCATCCGCGCTCATGGGTCAAGCAAGCAACGAGGGCGCGGTCCTTGAAGCGAGTCCTTGCACGCGCGTGAAATCAACGGAGTTGTCCGGTCGTCTCCAGTCTCCGGTCGCGTTGACCAGCGAGACTCGCTGCGAGTGCCCCAAGGTTTCCCTGTCTCTGGCTTTCACGGCGCGAAGTCCGTTGACACGCACCCCACAAGGACGAGGCAAAGAGGGCGAATGAGAGGGAACCCTCATCAATTGCCCGCAGTGCAAGATACACCTGACAAGTATGCGCGAAAACCTGGCCGATGCATGTTCGCAAGGCGCCATCAAGACACTGGTTGGTGTCCGTCGCAGAGCCAACCGGGTCATCGACAACGCGACGCCTGTATCTCCCTATGCCGGCGCTACGTGCACGTCGAGAGCATTTTTATCAAGTCTCTCTCTATCTCATGCGCGCGCCGTGACTTACTTTTGAAAAGGAAGAGCTTCACGACAACGCCGACCGTTTGGCTCTGCCAGAGCCTCTGGTGTCCATGTCCACCACAGAGTGGCGCCCTGCTGCCAATGTTGCGCCCGTTGTCGCACACACATGTAGCGACCAAGTTGGTCGACGTTAAAAAACTTCGAGTTGGAGCAGGGTGCAATCGTCCCGCTAGTCGAGTCTCTCCTAGCGTCGCCATTGTCGAGATCTCGAGATGAGCTTTCGTCGAGAGACGCTTCAAGACGCATGTTCGTTCACGTGCGCTTTGCGAGCCAAGCTTGTTTGTGTGATCGCGCGCAGCCGTTACGTCCACTCAAATCTGTTAGGAGCAGCAGAGGTGGGGCTCAGTTTGGTTTCGAGGTTCAATAGAGAGGGGGCAAATCGGAACCAGAGGAAAAAGTTCGGCAGCAGCGATGGCGTCCGTGAGCAGCGACGGCAGCAGAGCGACGGAGGGCCAGGCGCTGGCCCTGGACGAGCTCCTGGGCGACTTCGAGGTCAAGCAGCGCGGCCTGCTGCTCGTGGCCATCGACAAGGCCGTGGACAAGGCCATGAAGAAGCAGAGCGAGATGCTGGACGCCGTCAAGACCAAGGTAGAGGCGCGCCACCGCCAGGCCGTGGACGAGCTGCGCGACGAGATGGCGCGCACGCAGCCGTCCTTCCTGGACACGGTCATCGGCCGCACGCTCAGCGCCGAGAACAACGCGGGCCTGGCCAGCTGGATCGCGGACGGCGCGCTCAAGGAGCAGGCCCTGAGCTACATTTCCAAGCTGCGCAGCCACCTCGAGGCGGGCCAGGGCAACGCCTTCCGCAGCGACTTCGAGGCGCTGCTGACCGTGTACATGGAGTATCTCAAGATCCCCATGACGCGCGGCAACAGGCTCAATAATCGTATGGAGGACTTGCACGAAGCGCTCTACAACAAGGCTGACTATAACGACGACCTAGTTAATCTCGTGTACCGCGTGCGCTGGGGCTGCCAGGGCGTGCGCTCCATTGGTAATGCGCGCTCGCACGACGCGACGCCGCTCTCGGAGAGCGAGACGCTCGAGCTCTGCGGCTGCATTAGTGCTATCGGCGCGGCCATGCCGACGCTCACGCTCGCGTTTGACGTTTGCAAGCGCAAACCGGACGCGCCGCCGCTCCCGAGCGACGCGAAGCTATCGATGAATGGTAATTCCTCCGGCGTAGATATGGCCATGCTGGCGCAGCTTCGTCAAGCGGCGGGCGACTCTGGCGGCGACCAAGGATCGTTCGACTTCGACTTCATTATCCAGCTAATGGCTAACAATGGCATCAACGTCAACTCGGCCATGCAATCGCCGCCTCAACTGTTTCAAGACTCCCAGCCTAATCGAGTGCCATCGTTACCGCCAGGATTTAGTAATGGCAGCCTAGGTCTATCCAGCCAAGGCCTGTTCGGCAGCCAAGGCCTCTCCGGCCAGGGTCTGTCCGGCCAAGGTTTATCAAGCCAGGGTCTATCGAGCCAAGGTCTATCAAGCCAAAGTTTATCCAGCCAAAGTCTATCCAGTCAAGCGCCCCCACTGCCGCCCGGACCGCCGGGCTTGGACTTGAACAGTTTGAACTTGAACAGTCTCAATGGTTTGAACTTGAACGGCAACTCCACCCAAGCGCCGTCATTATCGCGTCTAGGCTCCATCGGTAGCACTACCAGCAACTCGAGTCAGCAGCCGCCGCTGCCTCCAGGATACAATGACAATTCCGGAGGAGTGTGGTCTAATCCGCCACTTCCGACTGGAAGTCCGCAGAAGCAGCCTCCGCTCCCTCCTGGATCGGAAAGTCCGCTGAGATCACCGCATCCGTTGAGGGCTGAGAGCCCGACGAAGAGTGCGTCGCAGCCCCCGCTGCCGCCTGGAGCTGATAGTCCCCAAAAGCGAATGGCTCAAGCTTCATCTGCTGGTTTTGTCAAGAAACAGAGTGACGTGCCTACTCAAGCGATGCTGGCCCTCGTGCCAACGTTCACGTTCTATCACGACCGACCGACTGAATTGCCCAAGGAGAGCGATCGTGTCCGTAAGGCCATGTTTGCTCGCATGCTTAATCATATGGACGAGTTGCCCAAGGCGACGCTGTGTCCGCTCTTGCCAGGCCACGACCCAACGTGTCCGCTGTCGCACACGTACATCGAGGTCATGGCGTACAACCCGCTGTACAAGCGCCTAATTTGCCGTCAGCCGTCTCACTACTGGGGAAGCCAAATCCAGGAAGACGAGAGCTGCGTGTGCGTGCACGTGGATACCGGGGTCACTTGGGACTGGATGGATGAGTCGCGCGATAAGCGCATGTACTGCGCTCGCGGCTCCAAGTGCACCAACACCAAGTGCATCAAGTCGCACTCGTTCGAGGAAATGTGCTGGTACAACCCGTCGTACAAGATTAAGCGCTGCACGGTGCGCGCCCACGATCACATCGCCCGCGCGCGAGGCACGATCGCGCCGCCGCTCGACTGCAGCTACTACCACATCGAGGAGGGCAAGAACGCCGACAAACGCGAGTTCACGGCCGAGTACGACCACGTGGGCAAGGACATCAAGATGCTCTTCATCGAGCGCTCGCACAAGCCTCTCGCTGACCGCCTCGAGGCTGTGCGCTACGCCCGCGCCAACAATCTCAACTTGTGAGGTGGGCAGGCTCTCCACGGGCTGCGTTGAGCAGTGGCCCCCTGCATATTCTTCATTTCTCTACTTGGTTTCGCGCCAAGCGTGCATGTTAATTCTCACTTAGCTTAGCTTAGCCTTGATTTTGGTAGACGGCTCGGCGTCTTTGACCAAGACTGGTAGCTATCGTCGAGCAGTCGACACACTTCGCGGCAATAAGCCGCAAAGAAGCTATGTATGCATTTGCTATTAAAAATGTGTTTTGCCTGTTGTTGTTGTTCTTGTTCTTGGTTGTGCAGGTAGTCCACAGCAGCAAATGGCTACAACCAGTGTAATGCCATGCATGCATGGGAAGCGTGTAATCCTGTACTAAGTAGTACAGTAACTGTACCATGGTATCCATGGATAGTTCGCCAGTGGATTTTCAACTTCTTGTTGTCACGGATCAAGCGAACCGCCGATAGCTGATAGCGTTTGGTTGAGCGCTGCAGCATAGAGAGCTTTAGTTTCACTTGCTGACTCAAAGCTCTGCTTGTCGATGCCTCTACGAAATGACTGAAGACTCGACGAATTTGAACATGTAGTGCGCTGCACTGCATGAGCCGACTAACTTCCAGCGGTCGAGGTCGAACTTAGTTCAAGGACAAGTTGTTGACGTGACCGGGTTGGCTACTTTCATCGACAGCAGCTGGACTCGATTGCCCTCCCTGTCATACACACGCGAGCTTTTCGGTTCTGCCGATGCGCGTCAATCGACTCGAATCGAGTCCACTCGATTGAATCGAGTGGACGGCTGCCCAGCGGAGACCGTCGGCGACTAACGAATGCCACGGTGCCAAGATGTGCCATCAAGCATGCAACGGCGACGCGTTACTGTCTGGGTGGAGTTGCCACCGACAAGTCGACACCCGACACCAAGGCGCATCGGACAGTGCACCAGTGGTGGGATTTGCGCCTCGAGCCTCGGGCCAAGGCGCCGTCTGCCGCGATGACTGCGCTTCCCGACGCCGGCGCGCAAGACCTTGCCCCGATCGCTGAGCCACAACGCAATTCGCCCGCTCAAGCACAAGCAAGTCATCTCGCCCAAGATGTTCACCACCTTCGCCACCGCCCTCCTCGCGTCCACGCTGCTGGCCGCCGACTTTCAGGCCTCGAGCGCCGCGGCCACCAACTACGCCGGCGGTTGGTCCACGGCCGAGTGTGTGGACATCTGCTCGGCGCCGTCCAAGACGTGCCTGACTTCCGCCGCCGACTGCCTGGCCAAGACCGAGACGCCCGGCGACTTCGACTACCTCGTGCTGGAGCAGCTCTTCGTGCCGCAGTTCTGCCGCGACTTGCTCAAGGGCGTCGACTCCACCATCTCGCACCAGAACATCGACGTGTACCCGAACGGCACGGCCTGCGTGCCGAGCGTGGTCAAGAGCGAGCTGACGATCCACGGCCTGTGGCCCAACTACAACGACGGCTACGTGAGCTGCTGCAACCCGAGCGCGTCGGTGGCCAACGACCCCTACAACGCCCACGACTTCGCCGCGGCCCAGAGCACGCTGCTGGCCACCATGGGCCAGAAGTGGGTGGACGCCACGCAGGCCACCACGTACGACTCGCTGTGCGAAATCTACAACCACGAGTTCCAGAAGCACGGGCTCTGCTACGCCGCGGCCGGCGACGACTACATCTCGGCCGCTGTGACCTACTTCGAGGCCACGCTCAACACGGCGGAGCGCATCAGCTCGGCCACCGAGCAGATCAACAAATGGGCGGCCCAGGCCACCCCGCAGACGACGCTGGCAGAGATCGAGGCGCTGTACGACCACAGCGTCATGGTGCTGTGCTCGGCCGTGGACGGCAACAACCAACTGTCGGCCATCCGCACGTGCTACCAGAAGCCTTCCAACATCACGAACGAGGGCCCGACCACGCAGATCGACTGCGCTGCTGCCACGGCCACCTCCACGTTCTCCGTCTGCTCCAGCGACTCGCCGATCACGCTGACGGCGTACACCTCGGCTTAGACCCCCCCCTGCAGCCGATAGACGTATCGGCTGCAGTCTGCTAGTATAAAGTTCAATGCACCGTTGATCCAAAGTGTGTTCCCGTCCCAGGGCTTCCGTCCCAGAGAGAAGCTGTCGCAGTATGGCAAAGCCCACTAGATTAACACGATGGCAGACATCAGAGAGGAACTTTCGCTTAAGTTCTTTTCTAACTGTCGGATCCTTCGGCAATCTACTTTCCCAGTTTGAGCTACCCCGGCCAAGAACCGACACAACTGGAATTGCAGTGGAACGCGCAAGGGATCTCGTCCGCTAACTCGTCTGCAATGGTGTCTCAAGTGCTTTTGGTGCGTTTTGCTTATCTGCTGGCGATTGTCAAGGCGAACCTGTTCATTAAATCAAGTTGATACCCAGCGACTGCAGCGAGGGCATTCCTCCTCGTCGAGACTGCTGTCAATGAAGTCAAGTGGTAGCTCTTTGAACCGTTCAAGCAAGTTGGCGTCGCGCTGGCAGCTGAATCCTGCGCAAAAGGTAGCTACAGTGCACTGTTGGAGTCGCATCGACTTTGATCTTAACTGTGAGCTTCTTGTCGTCGTCGATGTAGCGTCACTCGGCGTCATGGACTTCGAGCATGCTGAGTATGTCGAAGAAGTCAATGATGGAGTCACCGTTGCCGTGGTGGCTCTTTGGTACGGCGGGTCTGATCGCAACGACACTTACGGTCGGTGCTGCGGCACGGCTCACGCGAACCGGAGGGTCGACGCTGTACTGGAAGCCACATTTCCTGCACCCGAGGACGGACACCGAGTGGCGCGACGAGTTCGATGTCTACCATGACTTCTGTGCTCGCTCTCAACGCACCCCAATGGTAACGTCTAAGTGCCATGATAGCTCGGATGTATTGCGGTGCTGACACCCCTTTCGTGCTCTTCTGCTAGACGCTCGAGGAGTTCAAGCACAACTACAAGTGGGAATCGGCTCATCGTACGCTTGGTCAATTGACAGCGCTCTCGTTCGTGGGGCCACTCGCGTACTTTGTCATGAAAGGCAAGATTCCGATTCCCGCTCAAGCTCCTCTGGCGCTTGTCGCTGGCCTGGGGGCCACCCAGCTATATATCGGCCGGGAAATGGTGGCGCACAACGTCAAGCCTAGACGCAAGAAAGGTGGGCACGACCAAGACCCAACGTTTGAGGGGGCCACTTTCTTCCTGCCAGTCCATGTAAGTATCTTGGTGCTTTTGCTTTGATGTTACACAGCTTGCTCACAGTAGTGGTCGATTCGATGCAGTCGGCGTTGTCGCTAGCGAACTTCTCGCTCTTAGTGTGGACCGGGCTGGGAATCGTTTCACCTGTATCGAGAGCCATCACCGTGCGTGGGCTCATGACGCCCGGCGTGCTGACAGAGATGAGCGAGGTTCGCAAGCACTTTGTGGCCTTGACGGGGCTTGTGGCCGGCACGATCTTCGCGGGCTCGCTCGTGGCGGAGATCGACGGCGGACGCGAGTTCCAAACGTTCCCCAAGATGGGCAACCGCTGGATCCCGCACGGCCTCTTCGAGCATAAAGTAAGTCGCAGTAGCAACATCTTCACGCGTGTACTTTTACGCTAACCTTATACGTGGTGAACTTTACCTATCATAGCCGCTGCTTCGCAACTTTCACGACAACGTGGCGCTCGTCCAACTCGACCACCGCCTGCTGGCGCTGACCACGCTGGCAGCGTACACGACGGTGTTCCTCAAGGCGCGGAAGCCCAACGTCTGGACGAACCTCCCGGAGGACGCCAAGCGCGCGATGATGTTGGCTTTCGCAGCTGCGGGTGGCCAGGTACGGGTAGCTTGAGCTGGTATTGCGTGCCGTATCGGTTCTAACGATCGTGCTTTGCCAATTTGCAGGTGGTCATGGGCGCGACGATGCTGGTGAACGAGGTCCCGACGCCACTGGCGATGGTGCACCAGGGCGGAGCGGCGCTGGTGCTCGGCTCGTCGCTGTGGGTGGTGCACTCGCTTCGGTTCGCGCGGCCCGGCGGCCTGCTGGGCGCTGCCGTCGCCACCGCAGCGTCCAAGGTCGTCTGAGCTGGATCGGAATCTGTGACGTGTGCTAGTTGAAGTTGGGTCCGATCGGCGATACCATTGGCTGCGATAGTTCGCTCTTTTCAACGAATCGAATGACAGTGCGTGTTTTTACTTTGAGTCCCGTAAGTATCGCCTGAATACTTACCTGCGTAGAGACCTTCAAGTGCAGACGAAAGGCTTGGCGATCGACTCTCTCTCTCATTCACGCTCTTGCATCGCATTGCACACACGCGCCTCTCCTCCTCCACCATGAACCAATACGTCGACCACACGCTCCTCAAGGTGCTGCAACGCATCGCGCAGCCTGCATGGTCTCAAGTCAACGCAGTGGAGACCTGACCGATCTTTTGTGTGTCAACAGGCGGACGCGCAGCCATCGCAGATCAAGACGCTGTGCCAGGAGGCTGCCCAGTACTCCTTCTGCTCTGTATGCGTCAACTCGTCGTACGCAGCGCTGGCCCGCAAGGTGGGGACGCTGTAACGGTCAAATCCTGTTGTGTGGTGTCGTGTCTGACTGTGGCTTCTGTGGCAGACGCTCGATGAGCTCAAGGACAGCAGTAAGTCGCACGTGAAGGTGTGCTGCGTCGTCGGCTTCCCGTTGGGCGCGGCCACGACCGCCACCAAGGCGTTCGAGGCCCAGCAGTGCCTGGACGCCGGTGCCGAGGAGATCGACATGGTCATCAACGTTGGTATGCTGCACGCCGAGGAGTACGACTTTGTGCTGCGCGACATCTGCGCGGTCGTCGCTGTCTGCAAGGAGCGCGGCGCCATCAGCAAAGTGATCCTCGAGACGGCGCTGCTGACCACGGAGCAGATCCGCAAGGCAAGCGAGCTGGCAATCGCTGCCGGCGCAGACTTTATCAAGACGTCCACGGGATTCTCCACGCGCGGTGCGTTTGATTGCACCGCTTGCAGCCTCGAATTCAAATGTTGTACTGCAGAACTAACTATCGGCTCGTGTGTTGCTGGCTGTATCGGAGCAGGCGCGAGCGAGGAGGACGTGAAACTCATGGCGAGCATCGCCAAGCCCGCGGGCAAGCAGGTGAAGGCCAGCGGCGGCATCCGCTCGGCCGCTGACGCCGAGAAGATGATCGCACTCGGAGCCACGCGGCTGGGCACGAGCGCCGGCGTCAAGATCGCCCAAGGGCAGCAGAGCTCCGACGCGTACTAGGCAAACGATGGATACATTTCCTCTGTCAAAGTGTCTCATAATTTGATTGCGTAGCGCTCTGCGCGAGTAGTGATTGGCTATTAATAGTGGAGCCGATGCACGAGGAGCTCATTGTCCATTTCGACTTCGACGGGCAGGAAGACAGACAACCACGTCCGCCATGTTCACGGGTATGGTATCAATACACTGCATCCTTCCTCACGCAGCCATACAAAAACTAAGTATGCATTCCTGACACCGCGCGCCTGTCGTGCAGGCATCATCGAGGAGATCGGCACGGTCGTGTCCATGCAGGAGCGCGACGACCTGCTGCTGTGGAACGGGGAGCGCGGCACGGGCTTCGAGCTGGTGGTGCGCGTGACGGTGGCGCTGGAGGGCGCGTACTTGGGCTGCAGCATCGCCGTGAACGGCACGTGCCTGACGGCCACAAGCATCTCCGAGGACCGCGTGGCGTTCGGCGTGGCGCCCGAGACGCTGCGCCGCACCAACCTGGGGCAGCTGAAGGCCGGCGACAAGGTGAACGTGGAGCGCAGCATGGGCGTGGACGCGCGCAACAGCGGCCACTTCGTGCAGGGCCACGTGGACGGTACGGGCGCCATCCTGTCCTTCACGCGCGAGGACGACTCGCTCTGGGTGCGCATCTCGGCGGCGCCCGAGATCCTGCGCGACGTGGTGCCCAAGGGCTACATCGCCATCGACGGCACGAGCCTCACCGTGTGCGAGGTGGACCGCACCAACGGCTGGTTCTCCATCATGCTCATCTCGCACACGCAGAACCACATCATCCTGCCGCTCAAGAAGGTTGGCGACCTCGTCAACCTCGAGCCCGACGTGCTGGGCAAGTACGCCTCGCGCTCCATGGGGGGCGTGCTGGAGCGCGTGGACGCGCTCGAGCGCCAGCTGCAGATCACCCAGAGCGTCACGGCGGGACTCGCGCTGGTGGCGACTGCGCTCACTGTAGCGCTCGCCCTTCGGAAGTGAGTAGGTAGCTGTAAGTACATAGAAATCCTTTTCAATGCATGTCAAGGTGAGGAGCGAGGTGTGGCGAGTTCGCGTTAAACATTATTCCTCAAAAAGACCGTCGTGGCGTGTGGTGGGTCCTGCGCTAAAGCTCGCTATGTCTCCATTTTCGGGTGGAAGATGCCGCCAGCAAGCAGCAGGTTGCGCGGCGTGAAGTGCACGCGGTACATGGGCGTCTGCTTCGAGCGCAGCGTCTTGAGCAGGAAGCGCGAGGACGGCAGCTCCTGCACTGCGCCTGGCCGCACCATGGGCACAGGCTTCACGAAGCGACTCCGGCCAGGAAGCTGCGAGTCATTTGCCACGCTGACGTCAGAGGAACTGACGTGCAAGTCGGCCATCGCACCAGACAGCGCCGAGTAGGTCGAGGGCTGCTCGGTGAGCGCCTTCATATCCCAGAGACGCACCGTCGAGTCCATGCCACCACTTGCTAATATAGTACTCTCCTGGCTGAAGTCCAACGACGTGACCATGGCCTTGTGGCCCATGAGGGTCTCCAGACGCTTGCCGGCCTGCAGATCCCAAATGTTGATGTACTGGTCTTCTCCTGAACTGGCGAGGTAGCGGCCATTGCGCGAGAACGCAAGGCACTGCACGCCACGGAAGTGGCCCGTGAACACACGGACGCACTTGCCCGACTGCACGTCCCACAGCCGAACAGTCTTGTCGCTGGAGCCCGTCGCCAGGTAGTTGTGGTTCGGGTGGAATCGAACGCAGTCCACATCCGACAAATGGCCAGCGAAAACGCGAAGTGGCGTCATGTGATCCGTACTCCAAAGCCGCGCGGTCCGGTCCATGGAGCAAGTCGCAAAGTAATATCCGAGCGGCGCGAAAGTTACATCCCACACGGGGGCGCCTTGATGCGAGCGATACACGACCAGGTTGCTCTTCGCTGCCAGACTCCACAGCCGAACTGTCGAGTCAGCTGACGCCGTTAGTGCGAATCGATTGTCAGGAGAAAAACTAGCACCATACACAGCGCTCGAGTGGCCTCGAAGCACAGCCATCTTCTCTTCTTCCTCGGCCTCCGTGTATGATGGTCCCGCGTTGCCATGATACGCGGACCCCGTGGCTGTTCCAAGAGGCTGGTCGTCGTTGCGCCAAACACGGAAGGAGGCATCGTCACAGGCGGCGCCTACCATCGTCACATCATCGCTGAAGCACATGTTGTTGATGTGTGTTGCTGAATTGAGCAGGGTAAAGCACAAGGCTGATGGGAGCGCGCCTCGGCTGACTGGTGCGCGAACCCGAATGTCCTCCAGGATGTGCTCCTTCATGTTTGCGGGTACGCGCAGCACGAGTTTCTCCAATACATCCGCGTTGAACGCATTTTTTCGATCCGGTAGAGGACCCGTTTCTTCCAGCAACTCCTTCTTCTTGCCTGCGGTGCCATCACTCGACAACTTTACACGCTTGTGTTTGCGCTGCGCATCAGCAGAGGATGCGGCTGCCTTGCCTTTATCGCCAGCTTTCGAGCTGTCCGCACCGGACTTCTTGTCACCATCGGCTGCTCCACTAGCATCACCGGCCCCTCCAGCGGAGTTACCACCCGCTACTCCGTTGGAAGTACCAGTTCCACCTTCCTTCCCTGCTTCAGCGCCACCTTCTCCTTCCTCAGCTGATGGATCATGCACTTTACGCTCGGGTAGAACACCCCAGGTCACAGGGATGGCGTTTAGATCGTGCACAGTGTAGCCACCGCTACCTGCTGAGCCCACCGCGTTGCTGCCAGTAGCACGCACCATATAGTCTACATCATACGCGCCCGTCGTCAGCGGCATGGCAATCTCGCTCTCGCTGGGATTCTCGGACGCAGCAACAGCCTGTGCAAGTTCATCTGACGTCTTGTATCCGCTAGCTGCGTCGTCCTTCGGCTCCAAATTGTTTAGTACCCCTAAGTCGCCCGGTGTAACAGCATCCTGTAGCTGCTGGATCTGAATGCCTGGCTGGTTCGACGTCACCACGAGGTTTACGCGCTCGTTGACAATCGAGAGCAGCAGGAAAAGCCGCTCCTGGCTCAGAAATGTATTGAGCAGCTCGAACGACAGCAAACTCATCTCCACGTTGAACTTGCTGTGCAGCACCTCGCGCACGTACTCGTTCTCGCGCAAATGCTGCGGCGAAAACACGAGACTGAGCGTGCGCAGCTCCTCCAAGTGCAGCCTCGTGTGGTCTGCTGAAAACTTGTGGAAGAAGCTCCTTCCTGCCTCTACGAAACCCTTGGACAGCAGCTCCAGAAAGCAGTGCACGAAGATCGGAAAGGCCACCGCGTGCAGCTCGTTGCGGTACATGTCCAGCGAGTTGCAGATCCAGTCTAGCAGCTTGCCATACGCCTCATCATAAACCTCCGGGTTCCCGCTCGTGAGACCGTAAAACAGCTAGAGCAGCACAAAGCAGCCACAGCAACAGCGTCAGCACAAAACGGTCGTTAAATCCGCTCCCTGACGGCTACAACCACCGTTCTTTCAGGAGCAAGCAGCTAAGTCGCAGCTGATGCAGTAGCAATAGCTACTACCGCCGCATTAATTGGCATTGCAACGCACCAAGTGGTTCGCCGTGCAGGCCTCCGTGCTGAGTCCCAGCTGCCGCGCGTACTTGTCGATGCTGGCGTCTTCTATCCGGGCCGCGTTGTCTCCAAGCAGCCGTCGGCGCTCCTCCTCTGTCGCTTGAGGCGAGACCGCTGGAGCCTGATGCGCGCCGCCCTTCGACACGTGATAGCCACGGGACTGCAGATACTTGAGCAGGAGTTCGTCCATGACGGCGGCGTTGGCATCGCCTCTCGCAGGGCTCTCCAGCGCGCGCAGGGCCGCCACAGCGTGGGCCCGAGCGGGAGACGCCTGCGAGATGAGCGGAGACGGCGTCAGGCGCGGCGAGGCCCCGTGGCCCGCGGGGGAGGCGAGCGACGGCATGGAACTCGGGCCTCCTTCCAACAACAGAGCAAAAGACAGACTGACCTCAAGCGCCCCCTTTGCAGCGAATGCAGCCGTCTTTACAGTACATTTGATGTGGTGTACACAGTGGGTGAAGCGAATGCGCACTTTATCGCGTAGATCACTTTTCTGATACTCTCTGCGAGTCAAGCATGGCGCTAGTGCAGGAGGTGCTGCTGCTGGCGGCTGCCTGCGTGTCCTGCGCGGGCTGCGGCTTCTTGCTGGCCATGTGGAGGCGCGTGGAGGCCCCCAACTACGTCAGCCGCCGCATCGTCACGTCGCTGGGGCTTGCGGGGCTCGTCACCGCCGTCGCCTTCGCCATGTGCGTCACTCACACCAGGACCAGGTTTTGATAGGCCTGGTACAGTTTTACCTAATCCGATGCTATGCATTGCATTGCAATCTGCTGCCTCTCAGGTCCCTGGTGGTGAACGGCTTTGGGCAGAACTACAGACAGCACGAAGGACTCTGCTACGCGCAGGCGCTGACGCTGCAGTACTTCTACTTGGCGTCGTACCTCTGGACCGCGTGCTTCGCCTTCCACCTCTACCAGATCATTGTCAAGCGGTGCGTTGGACGTCAATGTTACGCTGTTATTGTGTTGAGTTCGAGACAGTGGTGACGGTTGATGCTGTGAGCAGGAATGAGTACCCGGAGGAGTTCCTGTGGGTGTATCGCGGCGTTGGGTGGGGGCTGCCTGGAGTGGTGCTGGTATATCTGGTGCTGCGTCAGCTAACGGGTCATCTAGGCGTGGGTGGAGCAGACCGTCGATGGTGCTGGATCGCGGTCCACACGACGCACGAAGAAGAAGGAGAAGACCCGCTCGTTTGGCGGCGGGAAGGAGCGCTGCAACAGCTCCTGCTGTTCTACGCCCCTGTCCTCTGCGTGTTCGTCTTCAACGTGGGCGTTTATCACCATATCCTCAAGTTCCTGTATATGGATCCTATGGCGCCACGCTTCCGCGACAAAGTCAAGATCTACCTCGGCATCTTCTTCCTGTGCTCGATCTGGGGAGTGATCAACCGGTTGGTGCAGCTCTTCCGCGCCGACCACACGGCGAATGAGTTTCTAAGTGTGATGGAGAGCGTCTGCGACCCGTTGCAGCCACTATTGAACGCAGTGGCGTACGGCACGAACAAGCAGTCGCTGGAGACGTACAAGGAACGGTTCTGCCCGTGCTGGATCTACTCAACGCTGCCGTCATCCGATGAAGAAGAGTCCTCTGGCATCGACGAGTCTCCGTTGCTACCAGTCACCGATACACCGGAGGCCCCGCCGTTGGACCCTTTAGACCGCGAGTTCGGCCACTACTTCGACCAGCGCGCACCACGCAGCAAGCCGCACCGCCATCACCACACGAGGCGATGAAGTGAACAATAGCAAGACCAAATACGGCTTGGCACGAACGCTCAGACGCAGCACAAACTAGCGCAGACGTAGCTTAATTAAACGCAGGTTGATAACAGGAATGGCACTAGAGCTAACGCCTTCCGACCTAACTGTCTTGATCTGTTTCTTTCGATGCTTCATCGGTCTGTCGAGGAACTATTCGCTCGCCGAGCTTAGAAGAGCGACGGCGAGGAGCTTCCGGTCGTCCGGGCCTGCGAGCCGTGCTCAGCCTTAACCTTGAGGTAGTAGTCCTGCAGTTGTCAAGCAAACAGTGGTTAGTTTATGTATCCGCTACACGCCTTTACTTCCAACCATTGATCAACGTCAACGTACCCAGATGCATTTCCGCTTGTTGGCGTCCTGCAGGAGCTTGACCACCTCCGGCACGAGCTCCAGCGTCTGCTCCGCCGTGAACTTGTTCTCCAGGTAGCCGACAAACTGCTCGTCCGTGCATCGGTTCTGGCCGTAGTCCTTGCAGCTGGTCTTGAACTCGTCCACGCCAGCGGGGCCGGAGATGCTCTCGATGAGGCGCAGCACGCGGTCGTACACGACCTGCACGTCGGGGCCAACGGCGGCCGCCGGCATGCGGTCCACGAAGGGCGACATGAGCTTATTCTTGAGGTTCTGCACATTGCCCGTGGGCGGGATGCTCACCACGCGCTGCAGCGCGTCGTATAGCTGCGAGGCAGCCGCGGGCTGGTCGACGGCGCCCGTGAGGATCTCGGTGGGGGAGATCTCGCGGCCGTAGAACTTCTTGTTGATGTCCGCGCGCGCCATGATGCCCGAGCCCTGCAGCCCCACGCCGCCGAATAGACCCTTGCTGTGGCTGTACGTGTAGTTGGGGGCGACGCCCGAGGCGCTGAAGTTGGCGTTGGCGCCGGCCGCGCGGCCGTACGGGCCGGCGGCGAACTCGAGGTTGGCGCCCGCGGACAGCTGGCCCTTCTGCATGAAGCTCTTGACGGCCGTGTCCGAGTTGAGGATGATCATGAACTCGATCATCTGCGCGCCCATCTCGGCGCCGAAGCCCATGCCGGCCGTGCCGATGGCGCTGCACAAAAATCAAAGAGATCCAATACAACCTATAACGTTAGTGACGCTCGCCTCCTCACACGCAGCATCTCTTCAGGGAGACGCACCTCGGCGCGGACCAGCGCCCGTCCTCCAGCTTCGAGATGACCACGCCCGTGCCGACCTTGCCCGTCCAGATGAAGCCGGCCTTGACGACCGTGAGGAAGGCCAGGCCCTTGGCCTCGTGCAGCAGGTCGATGGGGATGCGCTTGTCCTGCTCCAGGCTCGGGTTGAAGAGGTGCTCGAGCGTCTGCTCCGCCGCGCGGATCGCGCCCTCCATGGTGGTGATCTGGTCCGTCATGGCTTCTTGTGTTACTTTGTCCGAAGAGATCCGATTCTGTTGTGGGGGCTCCAAGCCGAGCACCGACCTCCGTTCTGAGTCAAACACTACATATGGATTCTCTGGTGTCGCATTTCTGGTCGAAGAATCTGCGAATCGCGCGCTGCGAGTGGCCAAAATTGTGGCCCCATCATTTGACGTTAGACAAAAGTTGCGATGATGGCACGCCGGCAGGGTCCGCAATCCCGCCGATGATCCGCAAGATGGCTCCGCTACTGTTGCCCCCAGTGATCACGCCGGCGACGATGGATAGTTGCAAGGCGGGGCGTCATACTCGTTCATCGTGTGTATATATTGTACGCTTAGCCTGTTAGATCCGCATCCGCGCGAGATAGTCGCCCAGCGTGGGCGTGTTGGTGAGCTCGAGCATGGCCTGGCCCAGCTGCTCGTAGTCCCTGCGCTCGTTGTACATCTGCGCGCTGATGCGCACGTAGAGTTCGTTCTGGAACGGCACCACGCGCACCACGATGCGGTACTGGTCGTCCAGGAAGTCCATGATCGCGTCGCACAGCGGCAGCGCCTCGTCGTGCGACATCGGCGCGCCCGCCGACGTGGTCGGCCACTCCACGGGAATGCGCACGTTACATACAAACGGCGCGCGCTGCCACGCCGGCAGCAAGATGTTCGTCTTCCACGTCATGGCCAGGTACTCGCCGGCCCAGTCCATCAGCGACTTGTTGTGCGCGTACACGCGACTCACCCCAACGCTCTCATAGAAGTCCAGCGCCGACACGAGCGTCAGGAAGTTGGCTTCATCTCTCGTGCCCTGGATCGCAAACTCCTCCACGAACCCTTGACCATACGCCAGCGAGGTCACCACGGGGCGCACGGTGTTCTGGTACGCCTTGCTTACGTGCAGGAACGAGCAGGACTTGCAGCCGAAGAGCCACTTATACGCCGTCCCCACGTAAAAATCGGCGCCCAGCTCGTTCAAATTCAGCGGAAGCTGTCCGGGCGCGCTGGCGCCGTCCACCAGCACAGGGATATTCCGCGCGTGGAAGATCGGGATGAGCTTCTCCAGGGGCAGGACGAAGCCTGTTGTGCTGGCGATGTGGTCCAGCACCGCGAGTCGCGTGTTGGGCGTGATCGCATCGGCTACCTGTTGAACTAGCGCGTCGTAGCTCTCGATGGGCAGCACAACGTCCACCACCTTGAGCTCCACGAACTCCTGCGTGCAGTAACAAAGATGGCGCAGCGTGTTGAGCACGGCTGAGTCTGAGGAAATGACAGCAAGAGCAACCACACGATTAGAATCGCTCTAGAATGATGCAAGGAACCAGCAAAGCTTGATGGCGTGGCGTGGCCGGGAACTTACATGTGAGGTTGAGGCACAGCACTTCGTCGTCGTTCTGCAGGTCCAGCGACTGCAGCACGGCGTTCATGCCCGTGGTGGCGTTGGTTACGAAGACGAGGTCCTCGGCGTCGGCGTGCACGAAGCGCGCGAGGTGCGACGCCGCCTGGCGCAGCATCACGGGCACCTCACGGCGCATGAAACGGTCCGGGTTCATCTCCATCTTGTTGACGAAGTGGGCCTGCGCCTGCATCACAGGCTTGGGCGCCACGCCGTACGCGTTGTGGTTGAGGAAGATGGTGTTGGGCTCAAGGCTGAACACGTTGCGGCACTCGCGGCCCAGCACGAGGTTGCGCAGATAGCGGCGGCTGTCGGGCCACAGCGTTGTCATGCCCTGGGCGCAATACTCTTCCCCGAGCGACTGCTGTGCGGCGGCGTCCTGCGTCGTCGACGAGTCCTGCGGCGGCTGCGGCTTGGGCGCAACGGAAGCGGCGGTGGCAGCGCTGTCCTGCGTGGGCGGAGGCGTGGAGCCCGCGGCGGTGGGGGCGACGGGGGTGGCCGCCGTCTTCATGCTGGTCTGAGGCGCGCGAGCTGGAGCTCCCGCTGCTGCTTTGAGTGTCTGGAGCCTTTTCGACTTGTGACGGCGTTGGACGCAGTCGCCAGAAGATGGGCGGAGGCGAATAGTTGGCGAACTGGCTAATTTGTGGTGTAAATAGGAGAGACGGTGGGCTAAAACGGAGGTGATTCCAGGCTTATGGAACGGATGTTAGGCCTTGCCCGACTGCCATGCGACGTGTCTATTCTACAGTTCGGCCGCTCTAAATGTAAACCCGAGTCTTTGGGCCGCTAAGACCGCGGGAGGAGGTAGGTAAAGCGCGATCAGGCGGCGGACACTCCGTTTTAGAGGGCTACGTTTCGATATTCTCCGCGATAACAGGTTCAACGCGCACCCCTCCGACGTGGAATAGAAGAGCGTGTTGCTTGGCCTGCCTCTGCATGGCCGTCAAGGTGCCGCTGATTGGCGGCGGACCGAGACGCCCGTGACTGGGCCACCCCGCTGCAGGCCATTGGCTGGCGCGCTTGACATCGGTAATCGATACGCTTACAGCTTTGTTGCGTGCGCGAACAACACATCGACGCGGCACCGCAGACGAACGGCGGGGCCCATGGTCGAGCGCGGCGCAGTGGAGACCAAGCGCGACCGCAGCGGAGACCAAGCGCGACCGCAGCGGAGACTGTGGGCACCGCTATAAAGGGGCAGGAAACGACTGGATCTGGGATGGCTACAGCGTGACGCGTCGCCGTGACGGCTCGCGTAATGTATTGCTTTTCAGAGAACTGCAACCCCGGAATGATAAGATCTGATACATCGTTTCTCGCAGAGCACAAAAATTGTAAATCCCAGCTTTTTAACCAGCAAAATGATCAGAAACAGTCGTTGCCTCCAATCTTTGCTTTGACGGGGTACGCGATATTACAGGGATAACGGTGGATGAGCCATTTGGTGTAAGCGTACACAAATGTTTCCATACGTTGAAGAAGTCATTCTGACTAACTTCTCTCGTCAGTGACGATGATCATTCGCCTGCTGGCAAGGAAGACTCAGCAGTAGCCGCCGCAATAGCGGTCGTCTCCCGGGATCCGCGCTGGGCCGACCTTCACCTCGATGGCGCGCAGCAGGCCGTTCTTGCGCGCCGCCTCGGGACCGTCCTTCCAGATCAGGTGGTCGTACGACGTGACCGCCTCCATGAAGAAGAGCTGGTGCTTGCCCTCGGCGTCCGTGCCCAGCTGACACGCAAACACCGAGTTCTTGATCCCGTTGGCCCCGAACCCGATCACGTCCAGGATCTCGCCGCCCTCCTTCACGCGCACGAGGCCGCCGCCGGTCTGGTACAGCCCGGACTGCACGATGCTGGCCCACACGCACCCTTCCGCGTCCAGACAGATGCCATCAACGAGCGAGCCCACGTCGGCCCACAGCCGGCCGTTCGAGAGCCTGCCGTCCTCGCCGATATCGAACGCGGTCAGGCGGCCCTCAAAGGTCTCGCCAGCGATCAGCGTCTTGCCGTCCGGGGTGATGACCATCCCGTTCGGAAACACGACACCGGTGGCTTCCACTCGAACAGCTCCGTCTGTACCGACACTGACGATGGCCGAGCTAGCGATCGACATGAGGTCGGCGTGGTGGAAACCGAAGCTGCCGAGGTAGGCGCGACCAGAAGTCGACACGACCATATCATTGGCGCGAACCTGGGTCACGGCCTTCACGTCCGCGAAGAGCTCTGTGGCGTTGGCGTCTTCGTTGTGCACGAGCACTTGGCGCTTGTTCATGGACGAGATCAGCATCCGACCGTCTGGCAGCCAGCCCAAGCCAGACAGCATGTCTTCCGGGTCGTCGTACACCACCGACCTCTTGCCAGTTGCCAGCGAGTACTTGATCACCTTCTTGTCGTGCATGTCGGTGAAGTACACTTCTCCTGTCGGGGTGCGGAAGCGCGGGCCTTCGCCGTAGACGATGTCGTCCAGCAGCGTCCGTGCTTGCGGCGCGTGAGGGTCCTCTGCCCACAGTTTGCGTCCGAGCCAGTATCCGAGGAAGCGGAACGGGAAAACCAGCATTCGGACATTGGGGAACACCTTGGGGAAGAGCTCTTGCTGTTGCGTGGTCTTCTTCGCGTCGGAGATCGGCTCATGCTCCAGCTCGGGCTCCTTGGCTGAATCAGCTGGTGTGGACATGGTTTTAGAGCTTGTTGGACTGGAGGATGTTTTCTCGACGACGCAAATCGAAGAGTGAAGCGAAAGAGGTTAGTGCAGCCTGGGCACACACCGAAACAACGCTATGGATCTGCCGCGCATACGACCTCACGTGCGGGAAACTCTGGAAGACGTTGATGTTGAAGTAGTGGGCAACTTCAACATGACCAAGTTGACGTGAACTAGCTGCGATCCTAGCAATACCCTCCGCAGTAGTTGTCAGTAGTTGTCGTTGCCAGGGATTCGCGCCGGGCCGACCGCGACTTCGATGGCCCTGACCTGGCCGTTCTTCTTAGCTGCTTCGGGGCCGTCTTTGAAGATCACGTGGTCGTACGAGGTCACAGACTCCATGAAAAAGAGCTGGTGCTTGCCCTCGGCGTCGGTGCCGAGCTGGCAGGCGAACGTCTCCCCAACGATGAGCGTCTTGCCGTCTGGAGTGATGACCATGCCATTGGGGAACACCACCCCGGTCGCCTCGACACGAACTGCTCCGTCCATCCCAACGCTGGCGATGGCGGCGCTCGCTACCGTCTTGAAATCCGCGTGGCGACCACCATATCGTTGGCACGGACTCTGGTTACGTCCTTCACGTCGGCGTACACTTCGGCCGTCCATGCAGCTTCGTCGTGTACGAGCACCTGGCGCTTGTTCATGGACGAGATCAGTAGACGTCCGTCGGGTAGCCATCCAAGCCCTGACAGCATGTCCTCGGGTCGTCATATACGAGCGTCCTCTCTCCAGAGGCCAGAGCGTACTTGATCACCTTCTTGTCGTGCATATCGGTGAAGTAGAGCTCACCGGTTGAAAGGCGGAAACGCGGACCTTCGCCGTAGATGACGTCTTCGAGCAGCGTACGCGCTTTCGGCTCGTTGGGGTCTTCGAACCAAAGTCTGCGCCCAAGCCAATACCCAAGGAAGCGGAAGGGGAAGAAGAGCATGCGGATGTTCGGCGAGACTTTTCTGGAAGAGCTCCTGCTGCTGCTGCTTGGTCACATCGGACGGCACCAGCGGATCCTGTTCCTGCTCGGGCTGGAACGAAACTTTCTTGGTAGACATTGCGAGCGAGCGTAGATGGATGCTTGCGTTGGTGTTGGGGTGGAGGGAAGTTGCTTTGTGAGAACTATTCATGTTAAAGATGTATCAGGAGCTCATTGAAATCTTCTACTTCAGCGTGACTTCAACTAGACCAGGTTGACGTGAGGCCAACGTTAGCGCAGCCCTCCGCAGTAGTTGTCGTCCCCGGGAATCCGTGCTGGTCCGACACTCACCTCGATCGCTCTCACCGTCCCATTTTTCTTGGCGGCCTCGCGACCGTCTTTAAAGATGAAATGGTCGAAGCTGGTGACGGCCTCCATGAAGAAGAGCTGGTGCTTGCCGTCCTCGTCCGTCCCCAACTGGCACGCGAAGACCGAGTTCTTGATCCCATTCGCGCCAAAGCCCAGTACTTCCAGCACCTGGCCACCCTCCTGCACACGCAGCAGACCCCCTGCAGTCGGGTAGAATCCTGACTGGGGGATGCTAGCCCAGACGCAGCCTTCAGCGTCGAGGCAGATGCCGTCAACGAAGGACCCGACGTTGGCCCACACGCGGCGGTTGCTCAGTCTCCCATCCTCGCCGATATCAAACGCTGTTAGGAGTCCCGCGAAGGTCTCCGCAACAATGAGCGTCTTACCGTCTGGGGTGATCACCATGCCGTTGGGGAAGATCATGTCCGGGGCCTCCACGCGGATGTCGCGGTTGACACCAACGCTGATGACTGCAGATCTCGAGTAAGCCGCCACGTTGGTCATGTCGAAGCCGAAGCTGCCGACGTACGCGCGGCCTGACCGAGCCACCACCATGTCGTTGGCTCTGAACGCGGTCACGTCTCTCACATCTGCGTACACTTCCGTTGCGCTGGTTTCCTTGTCGTGCACGAGTATGCGGCGGTTGTTCATGGACACGATGAGCATTCGCCCGTCCGGGAGCCAGCCCAGGCCCGACAGCATGTCGTCCGGGTCCTCGTACACCAGCTCGGTCTTGCGCGTCGACAGCGCGTACTTGAGCACCTTCCGGCCGTGCATGTCGACGAAGTAGAGCTCGCGCGACGCCACGCGGAAGCGCGGGCCTTCGCCGTAAATGATGTTGTCCACGAGGGTCTGCGCCAGCTTGGTCTTCGGGTCGGGCGTCCAGATCTTCCACTGCAGCCAGTAGCCTAGGAAGCGCAGCGGCAGGAACAGTACGCGCAGGTTGGGGATCGCCCACGAGAAGAGGTTTGCCCTCACGACGAGCTCCTGGTGCTCGGCCGGCGGCGCCATGGCGGGCGCGTAGCTTCTTTCGCTTTATGCGTGTGAGGATTTGTCGATCCGTGGAATGTGGTCGGAGGGAGGGAAGGCCCGCCAACGGGGCGCGTGGCTCACGCCCTCGCTGCGTCCAAGTGCCTTGATGACAGCACTTGACTGCGCTCGCTGCAGTTCCAGTCCCGACTTTCGAGCGACGAGGTGGAGACAGTTGACAGCGCCGATGAAAACAGCGTCTTGCTACGCTGTGCAGCTTTCGGCAGCTGGAGGACGACGCTCTCGTCCGCCTTGCGCACACACCGACAGCAAACGGTTTGCCGCTTCGTGGCCACTTGGCGCTTGTGAGGGAAATACGCGCTCAGCTTCTTGGAGTCTGCGCAACGCCAGCAAATGACGCGCTGGCAGACTGAGCAGCTCTTGTCGAGTGTGAAGCAGCCCCCAAGCCAGCGTCTGCAGAGACTGCAACAGCTCGGGTCGATCTCGCTGTCCAGACTACGGCTGCTGTCGCTGAGCTGCGCGAGCTTCTTCATCTGCGAGCACTTGCGGATGCGGGCGACGGAGATCGTCGCTTCGACGCTCAAGTAGCTCTGGATGGCCGGGTGCATGCGGCCGTTGAGCTGCCAGAACGCGCGGACGTGCACCTCGACGGTGTTTGGGCTCTTCTGGCGGTAGACGTGGTAGAGTGAGACGTTGCCGCGAACGAGCTCGCGGTCCTCCATCTTCTAGGTGGCGGGGACGACCACCGAGTGGACGATGTGGTAGCCGACTCGCTCTCCGTCGATGGTTGTCGTCGTGCCAGTGGACTTGACGTACGTGAAGTCCCGAGCTCGGACGAAAGGACGGACAGCGGCTGGGCCTGCGTTCACGGCCCACTTGAGCGTGAGGCTACGCCACGGGTCTTGAGGTGTGGGCGTGAGGATGGAGGCCAGCACGCAGCAGTCGACGACGTTGTCTCCGATGCACGAGCTCTTGAGCATCGCGTCCTCTGCGGTGGGGCTCACGACGCCGTGCATGACGTCGTCCAGGGTGCCGGAGATGGTCCCGGTGCAGAGGAGAGCTTGAATCTGGCCGGGAACTGGCGGCTCGAAGCTGGAGACTCTGCCGTTCTCCTCGACCATGGCCACGCTCTTGTCGTGGCAGGTGGCGTCGACTGCGTGGTCGCGGTAGATGTTCAAGCCGCCTCGATGCTTGACCAGTTTCCAGGCGTCTCGAGTGTCGTTGGTCACGTCTCCGTGGCAGTCTTTGACGAAGCAGTCGTAGTCGTGGAGCGCGGCGGCAGTGAGCGTGTTGGTGAAGCGTCGAAGCAGGTTGGACTCGCCGACGTCGAGGGTTCTCGTGGGGTATGGCTGGTGCCGAAGCGGGAACGTCATGGGGGGGCGGCGTCCTGCTCTCGGGGATGTTAAACGAGAAGTGATGGAAGCTGGAGGCGAGACATTTTGACCGACAAAGGCTGGCTGTAGCCTTCACTAAAGGCCCCTTAAGGCCTTGGTCAAGTGATGCGCCATTGGTTTGCGCAGGTAATGCGCCATTATGAGGTGACGAGCAGCGAGTTAGCGTGGGCGGAAGATCAAACAGATGCAGCGAGCCCCTCACTGTCGGATTCTGAGAGATCGAGGGTGGATCGCTGCTGCTAGCTCTATATAGTGAAGCTAACGGGCATCGGGCTGCTCTCACGGATAGCCCCACCGTCTAGCGGCATCAAAGTCCAGTATATAGAACGGTCCGCATCATGTGGACCATCCTGGGTTAGTGCTTGAAGCTTGGGGCTTTGCTTTATCGAATGTTAAACCACAGCACTGCTTCACTTGGAGCATCGACTTCACTTGTCTTATCGATCCTGCCAACCTCGCAGCTCTACAGCTGCAATGCTGTTCGCAGTTAAACTTTGTTTCGGTGAAGATATGCTCTTTGTGCATGGCTACTTCGATTTGTAAGTTGAAGCGGTTAGCCCAGCCACTTCAACAGGTGGTGTAAACGAGTCCGCCACCGCAGATTGCCCAGGCAGCGCGAAGCCGCCGTAGCCTCCTGCTTTCCGTTTAACATTCCTGTGCAGCAAATTTTCATCTGAATGAAAAGCTAGCACTTCGCCACTTGAATCACCTCGCTAGTGGAAACCTCGCCTCGAGATCTGCTTCGGGGTCGACATCTCGTGGTGCGGAGCTAGGCTCGCCCAGAACGACGCTTTCCGCTTCAGACTCGGTGAACCGACTACCCGTGCTGACTCCATACCCATCAAGCTGCAAGTCCCACGTTGGGCTCCATTATCGAAACGCAATCGCAGTCTCGGGCCCATACTCGGCGGATGCCGGCTCGCTTGAATCAGACGCTCGATTTCGAGCTGGACACGCTCGCCAACCTGGATCGACGAACGCTGCGCGTCCAGCGACCGAAGCCATATCCAGAGTTGAAGTCGCCCGATCATGACCAAGTTTCCGCTCGAGCATGCTCCGTTTCCGTCCATTCGCCTCAGCGACACCGACCGGAAGAACGTCGTCGAGCTAGCCGACATGTTCGTGTCCCACACGATCGAGGACTACGAGGCGCACCTCACCGACAGCAACGGCATCGTGGACACAGCCAAGTGGGTGCGCATCAAGCAGTTCGAGGACGTCGTGGTCTTCCAGGACCGAGAGGCGCTCAAGGAGCGGCGACTGTCCCGCGTCAACCTCTCACGAGATCGCGCGCCCGCCAACGAGCCGCTCAAGCTGCTCTGGTTCGGCACTGTGCGCGGCAACCTCGACGACGTCATGTACGCCGTCGTCAACCGCACGGCCGAGGAGGCCAAAGTCAATGCCGCGTACGTCGAGAGCACGATCCTCGACTTCGCGCTGCTCGACACGCTCGTGCACCCGACGGTGGACGACCCGTTCCGTGGCCTCCAGATCAAGTGGGCGGTGAACGGCGGCCCCGCGCTCATGCGCTCGATGGTGCGGTGCCGAGACTTCGTCTACGTCGAGGCGACGGGCACGACCACCATTTCGACGGGCGAGCGCATTGGCTTCCACCTCCTGCACTCCATCGTCATCCCCGGAGCGCCGGAGCTCCACGAGCACAAACTCGTTCGAGGTGACCTCACGCTCTTCCATTTCTACCGTCAGCGGAGCGAAGAGGTCGTCGAGACGTACGTCAAGGCCTTCGTGGACCTCAAGGGCGACATGCCGCTCGGGGTCGCGACCAAACTGGCGACCAACGGCCTGGTGTCGGTGTGGAAGCTCGGGGAGTACGCACTGATGAAGAAGCTTAACTGGCATCTGGCCCAGAGACGATCGACGCTACCGACGCCCATAGTCGAGTTCTGCCGCGTGTGCAAGAAGATCATCCGAGGTAGCATGGTGCGTCGACGCACGTGCAAGATCTGCGCCAGCCACTGCTGCGCTCGCTGCTGCGTGCCCAAGAAGATGTTCTTCGTGCCGGCGTGCAGTCGAGCGGCGGCGCACAAGACCGCGCACTTCTGCACGGAGTGCATCAAGCTGGCGTCGTACGCGAACGGCGCGGACATTGCGCTGGGCGAGCTGTCCGAGGCCAGCGGCCAGATCAAGGCGTACACGTACTGGGCCACCATCTCGCCGACGTCGTCCACGTCCTCCATGATGTTGTAGGCCGGCAGGCGAATTGTTAAGCGTGTATTGTAGTTGTAGCTGTAGCGTTGGATGGTAATAAGAGGCATGCACGTCGCTTGCTTGCTAACGAGTGGAGGGAGTTCAACAACCGGCGTCTGTCACACGGTGGACTTGACACGGACGGGTGGTGCTAACGGGTCCAGCTGTCATTACGAGACCAGGCATCGACCTCAAAGCGTTGAAGACACCTTTACCCCGTCAGAAGCGCCTAGCACACCGGCCAGCTATGGGCCACTTCGTTGACATTGCGCTGCAATGCGTTGGTCAGATAGACAGAGCGCGGTCGACAGTGCGCGGTCGACAGTGCGCTGGCAGTGGTGCTATGAATCACCTCGCGCCGGCGCCGGTGGATTTTCAGGCAGCAAGGCGCTAAGCTTCCGCCTCTGAAGCAGTCAACCGCGCTTTGGCTGCTGTCGCCTTGGCGCCGAGAGCGCGAGCCGAAGGGTGCCGAAGATGTCGAGTGGCGAAGCGAACATTACCATCAGATGACTGCAATTTGGAACTCGCGAAAACCTGCCACCCTACTTAGGTTCGCAAAAGCTTTACGTATAAGTATTGTGCAGGTACTTGAATATAAAGACTTCTATGTATACCTCAATATCGTATCACTAGGTTACAAATGAACCACTATACCAGCTATCAAAGGCACGTTACTGCTTTATATCGTTATAAAGAACCAACGCACTTCAAGGATACGACGATGACTGCCGCGACGGCGGCATCTGTTCCCTCGTCGCGTGAGACCTAGCCAGCAGCTCGCCATCGTCGTCAGCGCTGTCATTGCCGGTGTTGACGATCGCTCGATGCTCATTTCCAAACTGACCGTCAACAGCGCAAGTCTCGACTTCCGGCCATGAAGTTCCCGCTGGCGCACGCGCCGTTCGCGCCGCTGCACCTCGGCGAGTGCGACAAGAGGGAGGCGGTGGAGCTGGCCGACATCTTCGTGCAGCAGACGCTGGCCGACTACGAGACGCACCTGGACATGCAGCACGGCGTCGTGGACGAGGTCCGATGGAAGATGGTCAAGCGCTTTGAGGACGTCGTCGTGTACCAGGACCGCGAGGCGATGCGGCCTCGACGCTTGACCCGCTCGGGCTCGGGCTACGAGCACCAGGAGACGCCCCGCGAGATGCAGAAGCTGCTGTGGTTCGGCTCGGTGCAGGGCAGTTTGGACGACATCATGTACGGGGTCGTGAACCCCACGGTCCAGGAGGCCAAGGTGAAATCGTCCTACGTCGGCAACAACGTGCTGGACTTTGCGGTACTCGAGACCATCGTCCGCCCGACGGTGGACGACCCGTTCCGCGGCCTCCAGATCAAGTGGGCGGTGAACGGCGGCCCCGCGCTCATGCGCTCGATGGTGCGGTGTCGAGACTTTGTGTACCTCGAGTCCACGGGCATGACGACGAGCTCCAAGGGCGAGCGCTTCGGCTACCACATCCTGCACTCCATTGCGGTGCCCGGGGCCCCGGAGCTGCACGAGCACAAGATCATTCGCGGCAACATGACGCTGTATCATTTGTATCGGCAGAAGAGTCCCGGCGTGGTGGAGACGTACGTCAAGGCCTTCATCGACGTGATGGGGGACATGCCCTCGAGCATCGCCACGCTCGTGTCGGCCAAGGGGGTCGTATCCGTCTGGAAGCTGGGCGACTACGCCGAGATGAAGAAGCTCATGTGGCTCCTGAAGCAGCACAAGGCCGTGCCGCCGCTCCTTCAGGACTGCAGCTCGGGCTTCTGTCGCGTGTGCCACAAAGACGTCAGCGGGCCGCTCACGCGCCAGCAGAGCTGCTGCATTTGCTCGAGCTGCGTCTGCACACGCTGCAGCGTGCCGAAAAGGCTGCATCACATGTCGCCGCTCAGTCGGACGGTCCTGCAGACGTCCGTGGCGGTTTGCACCCCGTGCATGCGGACGGTGGTGACGACCAGTTGCCTGGACGTTGCGCTGGCTGAGGTGGCCAGGGGCGGCCACATCGGAGAGGACTTCCACGACGGCGGCTCCATCAAGGGAACGTCTTCACCCTCGTCGTCGCCCGCGTCCTCACACGCGTGGTGAATTGCCAGCGTAGTTAATGTACACAAACTTGTAAATGAATGAAATAGCCTAGCGTAGTGAAGAAACAAACTTGAAGATAAGTAGAGTCAAATAATACGTGAACGTTCAGGACGGTCAACGGAAGCCGTCAAGAGAGCAGAGCGAAGGTGGTCCGAGTTCAAGTGAGACCGTCGAGAGTCGGCGCGGTCCCAAGGGATCCGCTACGAGTCCCGCGTGCGTCAGCGTGGTATGCGTGGCGTGTCCGCAGCCAGTTGATTCTTGCCCGCTCCATCGCTTTCTGCTTGGGGGAAACTCAGCTAACGCTTGTCATGGTTGTGGCGTGTTCGATTAAGTGATGAGGCCGTGAGCATTCGAGCTCCTCGTCTGAGCGCGGGGCCTGCCTCCATGAGTGAGCAACAAAGGGCACTTTTCGATTCTCCTCGTCAATCTGCCAGTCGCTTCAAGCTGATAGCCATAGTGAATGCTGTCGGCCTCCTCGAAGCGCTTCCCGCTGTCCGCATCCATATTTGCACCGCTGCGGCTTTCGCAGCCCGACGAGACGGCGATCGCCAACATCGCCAATGACCTCCTCGTCTCGACGCTCGTGGACTACGAAATTCTGCAGCTCCGCGAGGGCGGCGTCATGAACCCAGCGAGGTGGAGGGCCGTGAAGCGCTTCGACAACCTCGTCGGGTACCAGAAGCGCGAACGCCGTCGGCAGCTCAGCGACGTCGATTTGGACGCGGATCGCTGCCCCAGACTTGTCTGGCGTGGCACTTTGGACGGCAGTCTGGGCGACATCATGTACGGGGTCGTCAACCAAAGCGACGGAGACGCGGTACGTTAGCAGCAACATCGTCGACTCGAAGGTGCTGGCCTCGATCGCGACGGCGAACCCATCGGACCCGTTCAAGGGGCTCCAGGTCAAGTGGATGGTGTCTGCATTCGGCCCGGGACTGAAGCGGCTGGTTCGACTGCGCGACTTTGTGTTCCTCGAGGCCACGGGCGTCACCCTGCGCTCTTCGGGCGAGCGCGTGGGCTACCACCTGATCCACTCCATCTCGATCCCGCCACTGCGTCCGCTGTATGAGCACAACCTCGTGCGCGGCAGCATTTCGCTCCTGCACCTCTTTCGAGAGAGGTCGTCGAACACCGTGGAGCTCTACACCAAAGCGTCGCTCGATCTGATGGGGAATATGCCGTCGAGACTGGCCATGTACGCTGCTTGCAAGACGATGGAGGCCATGGAGCGACTCCCAGTCTGCTCACAGATGAAGAAGCTCGCGTGGATGCTTCGAACCACAACGAGACCGCGTCCTCCGTCGGCGAAGCTGTCGCACGATTACTCGTCCTGCCGACTGTGTCAGAAGGACTTGCATGGAGAGCACAGCCTTTGCAGTCGAATGAGGCATTGTCGGATCTGCTCGGCCAGTGTCTGCTCCAAGTGCTGCCGCTCGAAGTCGCTAAGGTTAGTGGACCCGGCCACTGGCGAACTCAGAAAACAAAACGTGCGCTACTGCACCGAGTGCATCCGCAGAGCGACCAGCTCAAGCGGCGTGCAAGTCCAGACTGACGAGCTGACCCAGGCGACATGGGCGACCACCTTCACCGATACGCGCTCGACGCTGTCGCTGTCGTCGTCCGAGAGAGCCCGAGACTCGTTCAGAGGAGCCGAAGAGGTCTGGTCCGATTCGTTCATGGACAATTACTCAACGTTGTCGATCTCCAGCTCGGAAACTTCACGAGACTCGTTCCGAGGAGTACACGTGTGATCTCACAGCAGAGTGAGCGCTGGCATCATGTTTATTTGAGTGTCGATAAGACTTGATCGTTTTCGAACTAAAATGTCTTCAACGCCTAGGTCCTGATATGGTTTGTGTCCTTCCTACCAACCGAAAGCACCGAACCAAGCACCCTGGAGCTCCTGTTGAAGCGAACAACGAGGATCGGTCGTTGCGAACGTCACGCACGCACATGCGCGCGCAACCGGCAGCTGCTGTTGGCTTCAGCTGGTGAGAGGTGTTATCAACAGCCACGCATGCACGCTTACGAAATTACTGCCGACGACTGTAAAGCACACACGTCAATCGGTTGCGTCTAGCCTGACATCTTGCTGCGCTAAAGCGCAGAGAGCGCTCGCCTTCGTCCACCTTCGGCCAGTTGTCGACCTGAGCCGCCAATTGGTGTGTCCGTTCCTTGAGCCCGAGTTCTTATCACTGATCAGGACCAGGGGTCTTTCAGCCGACACTCGCCTCTTACGAAGAGGAAGGTATACCTAAGCTTTTGGCGCCGTGGTCGGAAGAGGAGTCGACAGCAGAGGTATCAGGACGAGTATCTTCTATCTATCTAGCCACTTCGCTTTTCGCCTCAGCCGCCCCACTCCGCAGCAGACCAGCAGCCATGAAGTTCCCGCTGTCGGCGTGTCCGTTCCAGGCGCTCGATCTCACCGACACGGAGAAGAGCACCCTCAAGTCCATCTCGGATGGAATTCTGTCCGAGACCATCGCCGAGTACGAGCGGATGCTGGTGCAGGGCAACGGCGTCTTGGACACCGAGCGCTGGAAGCTCATCAAGCGGAAGGAGAACATCGCGGCCTACCACGACCGATGCGCACTCGCAGTGACGCTCCAAGCCTCGAGCAGCATGGCTAAGCTGGGCCCCGACAGTACGGAAGACCCGGTCGCGCCTCCCCCGGCCCCCACAGCAAAGGTCCCGATGCATCGAGTTCTGTGGCACGGTACCATCAACTGCGACCTGGACGACCTTATGCTGGGCGTGGTGAACCAGAACGCAGACATGTGGAAGGTCAAGTCTTCGTACGTGGAGGACAATGGACTCGACTACTTCCTTCTGGCGTCGATCAACGAGCGCAGCATCGAGAAGCCCTTCGACGGTCTGCAGGTCAAGTGGACGGTGAACGACATGGGTCCTCTCGTAGCCAAGCCGATCATGCGTCCTCGAGACTTCGTGTTCCTCGAAAGTACGGGAATCACTCAGTCACCGACCACCGGCGAGCGGATGGGTTACCACATTGTTCACTCACTCGAGATGCCTGGCGTCCCTGAGCTCCCCGAGTACAAGTTAGTGCGTGGCAAGCTCGAGCTGTACCACATCTTCAGGCAAAAGAGCAAGGGCGTCGTTGAAGTTTACGCGCGCGCGCTGTGCGATTTGCAGGGCGAGATGCCGTCGACTAGCGTGACGCTGTTTACTGCTGAAGCCATGTCGACTTTGACGCTCACAGCCTTCTGCGCCGAGCGACACAAGGTCATGTGGCTGCTGCACACGATGGAGCCGTGCGAGAGCGGGAAGCCGTCGCTGGATCTGTGCAGCGTGTGTACGAAGGACCTGAGCAAGAGCCTGCTCCCGTTCATGAACAAGGCCTGTCGGATCTGCTCTGGGCGCATATGCGCGCGATGCAGGATCCCCAAGCGCCTGAGCTTCCTCAACCGACGCACGCGTGGAGTTATCAAGAAAACCATCGACGTCTGCACTCGGTGCGTGCACACAGCCGCCCACATGAACGCGCTCAGGGTCGCGCAGGGCGAGCTGTCCCTCGAAAACCCCAACTCTATCTTCTACGAATCCGCCATCAATCGAAGTGCGTCCTCCGTCTCCTCGGTCTCGTCGGGCTAAGCTTCAGATTGATATGTTGACGACCGATTTGCAAGCAGATCGAAGTGCTCAGTAAGTTTGAACACCCCCATCGGTCAGTTGATGAGAACTCTAGTGTGTATTTGTGCGTGGTCATAACATGATAATGCATTATCTAAACTATACATGAAATGCGCGCCGAAGTAGTCGGCATGCAGAGCTGCAACTTAATGGTACGGACGATACAGACATTTTTTCGCGTCGAGCTAGGACGATCTCGTCCACCCACCAGCAGGGATCCCGAAAAATAAATACGCCCGGAAGTATATTTGTATTTTCGGAATCAATATTTTATTGTAGGTATACCTCCTTGGTTTATCCGGTATTTATTCCAGCTTTAGATCAAAACTTCTAGATTTTATTTCTGCGGTTGAATATATCCTTCATGATTGAGAAGTTTTTCCCCCTAATTTTCATTGTGTTAACGCCATCAAATTTTCCCTTTATGCTAAAATGATGTTGTTCAGCAACCTTAACACGCATGTGGCGACCGTGGGCAGTGTTAGTAAGAACCCATGAAGGTGCAGCAATTTACTGAATAATTTACTGCGTCAGCACCGGGTCTTCAGATATTTATTTCTTCTCTTCTTGGTATACAAACAAATACGTATTTCGTTAACTTGAGAAAAATAGATATATATCGTATTTTCGGCATGCCCGCCCACCAGGGACACCTTACGTCAGGAAAACCGGCACGTACATCCAAACAACCGACTGAAAGCCCGCATCTGGAATACACGAAGAGTTTGTCGCGTGAATGGCTCCGGCCTTGCTTGCACTGGGGGTTATGGGCGCTACGACACACTATGGCCGTAGTGCATTTCCTCTTCCACGGACCAACAGTTCCGGTTTGCGGTCGTTAAACATACGGCTATAGGATGTTTTCGATGAAGCCTTGAATTTACCACGAGCTCCAGCGTTCATATGGATTGATTTGACCGTACACGTCGCAGCTCCGCATCATTTTCAACACCTGTACGAGCCTTAGACTGCCAGCCGATGGGGGACTTGTGGGCTCAACGTTCACTTCACTTCACAAGTCGACCGAAGTCTCCATTCACCAAACTTCTTTGCGCTGCAGCAAGCGCACAGATTTATACACTAGCGCTGTCGGGAGTCAATGATGAAGACTTGTCCGTTCGAGACGCCCCTCTCGCTGTCGGCGCGTGATCGTCGATCCATGAGCAACATTGCTCAGCGCTGCATCGATGAAACCATGGCCGACTACGAGCACGTCCTGGCCAGCAAGAGCGGGCTCCCCGTTTCGACTCGTTGGAAGCATGTCAAACGCAAACAGAACATCACGGTGTACCAGGACCAACTCATCATCGAGGAGATCAAGCGCCGAAAGCGTAAGGCCAAGTCGCTCGGAGAACTGAACGAGACGGCTCGAGTCGGAGAGGAGTTCTCCAAAAGTGTGGGCCCAGGCACGTGCCTTCCTCCTGCCGAGACGGAGGTGAACGAGTCCACGGAGCTGCCCAAGATGACTTGGATGGGGACGGTCGAGTGCGAGCTGGACGACCTCATGTACGGCATCGTCAGCCAGAACGACGAGGTCACGCGCATCAAGGCCTCGTACTCGGGGGACGACATTCAGGACTTCGCCACGCTGGCGTCTTTGGAGACGGCGACGCCCAGCGACCCGTTCCATGGACTGCAGCTCAAGTGGGAGGTCCTCTCCAAGGCGAAACCAGTCTGGCATCGCCGCGACTTTGTGTACCTCGAAGCTACAGGCATCACCAAGTGCCGGTCTACGGGGCAACGCATCGGGTACCAGATCCTGCACTCGCTGGATGTCCGTGGCGTGCCTGAACTCCCTGGACGCAAGTTGACTCGCGGCAAGATGACCATCTACCAGCTCTTCCGCCAGAAGTCCAAGGGCACCGTCGAGGTCTACGCCAAGGCGTCCATCGACCTCGCAGGCGACGTTCCAGCCAGCATGACGTCCTTCGCAACGATCGAGGCCGCGAACTCGGTCAACAAGGCGGCAAAGTGCGCTCGTAAGCGCAAACTCAACTGGCTGCTGGCCACGGCCGAAACAAACGCGGTCAACTATGGGGCAGACCTCAACGGTTCGTACTGCAGCGTGTGCAGCCGAGAGCTGCGCTCAGCCTTCGGCCGCAAGAGCTACTTCGACTGCCAGATCTGCATCAACCGCGTGTGCCACCGCTGCCACGTCCGTCAGAAGCTCAACTTCGTCGACACAGACAAGAACGCGTTCGCCATCAAGCAGAAGGCGCTCGACTTGTGTACGCGCTGCGTGCACACTTCCACACAGATGAACGCTCGTCGAGTGGCTCTCGAGGAGCGCGCGTTCGAAGATCCAGCTGCAATGTACAAGTACATTTCTCGTCCTAGGAAGCTGACGTTGCTGGCCGAGAGCGAGTGCGTTAAGGAGATCGAGATTTCGAAAAGAACAACGGAGCAAGAAATGGATTGCCCCAGTCAGAAGACCGATCTCCTGGAACGAGCTACAAAAGTGCTCCATCGCTTCTTCTAAGCTAAAAAGTGAGCTCATCCATCGGAAGATGAATAGTTAGTAGGATGCTGTAAATTAAATACTAAGTATAGTGATGATTGAGGTTTCCCGTCCCATACTCAGCTTCCAATGCCTGAACGATTCGCCACCCACAGCGACGCAGAGAACGAGAGAAATTCTTCAGATGAGGAGGACGAGTTGGGTCCTGTCAACGGCAAGTGGCCTTTTGGTGGCGTCGGCAGGTCGTTCGACGTACCAGTTCCGTCGGGGGCTACGTGCATGAAGATCAACAAAGTTCTGGCTCAGGCAGAGGCAAACGCGGGCGAATACACGTTCGGTGGGGTGGCAGAAGCGTTGCCAGCGCTGCCAGGACTCGTCGTGGAGGACGTGGGGCAAATTTCAGTGCCTCTAACAGAATCATGCGCGAAGAAGCTGATCGACAAGTGCGAGAAATCCTGCTATGGCCACAACTTCGACACCAAGATGGACGAAAACGTCCGCAAGAGCTGGCAGGTCGAACCCGAGCGTGTGCAGGTCAACAACCCCTTGTGGCAGAGCGGCATCGACGAACTAACGCAGCATATTGCGGAGCGTCTTGGCTAGAACTCGGTCCCGATGCAGTGTTCGCTGTACAAGATGCTGGTGTATGGGGAAGGAGGCCACTTTGTAAAGCACCAGGATACGGAGAAAGAGGACGGCATGGTGGCGACGCTCGTGATCCAGCTCCCCAGTACGCACGAAGGCGGAGATTTGGTCATTTATCGAGGTGGTGAGCCCAAGTACCGTCACGATTTCGGCAAGAAAGACGGCTCGGCTGCCTTCCTGCCGCACTATGCGGTGCATTACGCAGACGCGGATCATTCCCTGGAAGAGGTGACGAAGGGATATCGACTGGCTTTGGTGTATTCGCTGTGCTTGCCGCTGTCGATGCGTCACCTCAAGCGAGATCATGAACAGCTTCTGAGTGAGGAACTGGCTGATGCTCTTAGTACCATTGGACCTGAAGCGGAATCGTTTGCGCTGTTGTTAGTGCACGAGTACACGGAGAAGAGCATCGGAGACTTGGGCTCAGGAGCGCTGAAGGGCATCGATCGGGCGAGGTTTGTTGCGCTCGAGGAGTCGAATGCTGTTGACAGAAAGATGCAGTTCTACATTCATTGCTCGGTTGACGCATGAGATCGAGTATTTCGGCCAAGATGGCCTCGAAATGTGCGCGTGGGAGGAAACCAGTCGCAAGCATTCCATCACTTGGTTCTCCACCTCTGGCCAATGCTTTGGCGTCAAGAAGAAACCGACGATTAAGATAAACTTCCTGAATCCGGGCCACGAAACATTTTACGCGCTGTGGCGGCCGCACGGCAGCAGCGAAGAGCACGGATACATGGGAAACCACGGACCAAGCAAGAACACGATGTATTACCGATACGCGGTCGTGGCGTGGCCGGCCGCTCAAGACGTAAGGAATGCGCTGCAGTTTATCAATACTGAAGCTGCCGTTAATGCTCTGAAAACGCAGAAGCCGATTGATGCTGGGGCGCTTGGCGAGATTATGAGCAAGATCCAGGCAAAGTTGGAGAAGAAGAAATACAGGCCCAAACCCATATCGACCGAGTTTTGCCAAGCGATATGCGAAGTTCTGGTGACTGCCGGTGACGTGGCAGTTGTGAGCAAGTTCTTCCGCAAGAGCTTCAACAAGCTCTGCGCCCGACTGCAAGATTGCAAGACTGTGATCCCTGTCCTCGTTTCGATGTTGCGCTCGTTGAACTGGAATGATGTTGGAGCTGCAGTTCTGGAATCGTTAGGCCAGATGCACCGTCCAACCAGTGTGGCAATTAGTGTGTTCGTCGCTAATGGGTTGGATGATGGAGAAGCCAAGACGGCGTTGATGCAGTTTGCGATGGAGAAGGCAGTGCAATTGAGCAATGGACTCGCGTCGTGTTCGGCCAGGTGTGCCGAGATACTGTGGAAGTGGGCATTCTGCTTGGACGACACGGACGCATTGAATACCTTCGCGGACAAGATGATGAAGCTACAGCCAACTTCGGTTGATGTAGCGACTCAAGCGTTGGTACAGTGCTCGCAGGAGATGGCCGCGAAAGGAGACAGACCTGCCGCTTTGAAAGCTATTGCGGATAATTGGGTTTCGTGGTTGAAAGCCCAAATTCAGGATCTTGAGAAACCTTTTTCGTGGGAAATGCCCGACGCAAAATTTCCGGGCAACGCCCAGGTGCAGACGTTTTTAAGGGGTCCTGCTGAATCAATGACGACGAAGGAAGTGCGCAGCTCCGAGAAGCTGCGCAGAGCAAGGAGAAGCGTCGTACATGATGGCAGCCTCGGAGGAGGATGGTACGGCATTTGTGACCATCACGAAGACGAAAGCGTGGTTTTCTGCGCGCCAGAAGAAACTATCGCAGTACATGACGGAGCTCAATGTTTTGACCACGCACTTCGGTCAAGCTGATGAAGCGGACGAAATGCGTGATATCTAGATTGAGATTTTGTTTTGCCTATATTTTTTAAGTGACGAAGTCGAGCATTTTTGTTCTCTTTCGTTATCGCCTTCCTCGTAACCGCTAGGACCAACTTGGGCCCTATTATCTTTTCCCCAAGCGCTGCAGGATGCACTTCTTCATCGTGTTCCCGAACGAAACCGTGCTTTCCTGCAGCTCTTGCATCGCGTCAGGCGACAGATTCATTGCACTACGTCGAATCTTCGAACACGACCACCGGGAGGCGGCAACCACAAACTCTTTTCCCTCGTTTCCACCCCTATCAGATGAAAGCGGGTGCAGGAAAGAGCGGATCATGAAGACCGTGGTCGTGTCTCGCCTAGCTCGTTCCTCTGGCTTGTACGGATAAACATGACCGAGTTGGACTCCACCAGGGTCCCCTGCGTTGTCGACGTCACCGCCCGCATCTGCGAGATGTCTCTCGCGTCGGCCTCGTCGTCTTCACGGATGGTAACGCTACCAAACATCTCCGAGACGACGATCTCAGAGCTATGAGCAACGTCGATGAATGCGTCAAACACCATTCGGGCACTCACGCCGTGGACGGCTCTGTTTTCGAAGATAACGAGGCAAAAGTCCTCCTCTGGCATGTTATTGCGCTCTTCTTGGAAATATGTCGACCTGGGATCGAGCCCTTGGCTTCTTGCACTGATGAACCGCATCGCCTCCCGCAATTTCTGGGCTTTGAGTGCCACCAACGTCTTGTGACGTTCAATCGGATCGGACCCCAACCGAATAATCGTATGTGCCGGCTGTAGCGAGGCGACGTTCTGCTGCTGTAAGACACCAGAAACAGTAAAACAAATCAGCTCTCTCAACATTTCAAGGCCACGCAGTAAAAAAACTACAACTGGTTTGCGGCCTTTGGCCCGCGGTGTTCGCAGTTCGGTCGCTTTTTTTTACTGTATCCCAAAACCTGTAGAGTAGAAAACTTTATTTACTACTAGTAGTACTATGTAGTAGCTGTAGAAGAGCGGTGCGTGAAGAAGTTCTTGAATCTTAGCACATGCTCTATTTTTTGTATTGTGAAGTACCATGCGTCCAATTGCTGGGTCGCTTACGCTGCTCGATCTGCCGTGGCGGATCTGCATGAACTCACACTACAGATATTCATGCTACATACTTGCACAGCTTCAAGCTGCCAGACTGAACTTCAGTTCATGTTGAATGTATAATTTGTTTATTTTTCTCGGGTTATCGGGGCTATATGTCCAATTGTGACGCCTGCAACTTGATTTTGTAGAATTGCTATACTGACTTCCACGCCGTTTAGCTCTCCTCACTTCGAAATCGGCTCGCAACAAACAGTCTGCACCCACTATCATTAATCAATAGCGATAATTTTGTTTACTCAACGACAGTTTATCATTGCTGCTGCTGTGGCATCCGACATGTACATGTAGATGTCGTATCGTAGAAATGACAGTCACTTGTCTAAACTAACTTTGCCAATACGACGACGACCCTGCTCGCTTGCTGCTCCGATACGGTCGATTCTTCGCAGATTACATTGATTGACTGATCACCCCTCTTTATTATTGGTGCTGCCTGGTTAGCTTATCGCCGAAAGCATGCTCTGAAGCTCTAATGAATCGGAGGTTGCGCTGCTATGCTCTAATATAATTGCTGTAGAACTGTCATTGCTGTTGTTTCAAATGGCTCTTTAACCGATAATGCAACATAAAACCTTATGTTGCATTATCTCAAACATCCGCAGGGGCGCAAACGACAGTTCTTACGAACTGCGAACAATGTCGTCTTACCAAGTTAGCTGCGAGCATCGCCTGCAAATTGGCAAGTTCCAGGTGCTGCTCCTGAATAAACTCTTGCAGCACGCGGTTTCCCCCAGGGATGGTAAACTTTCTTTTATTTATTTTCTTATTTCTTCTTTTATTGAAAAAGAAGATTGGTCGATTTTCTTCTTTTTTCTTATATTGTAGCCAATTTTCAAGCTGTTAGTTGATACGAGGGGAAAGGTCCAAAACGAGCTAGAAAGGAGCAGTAACTATTGTGCTTTGCATACTTTTTGGCACTTCGGACTGTAACTCATACGACTTATGGAGCATGACTTATCTATAAATCGTACTCGAGTACGAATTGCTATAAGTCGTGGATGGTCAATGAGCACTAAGTAGTGCACAAACGCCATCTCCTGCATGATTTAGCACATCCAGCATGGATTAGCATCCGTTTGGCACTTTCTAAAAGTGCCATTTCCGAGCCAAATCGGGCTCGAAGCACGACTTGAGCAACTTGCATGCAAAGCCTCCATAATTTACCACTAAGTACGAGCACTAACTAGTGCACTAGTTAGGAGGGCAAACTGGATGCAAAGCACAATACGGTATAATACTTCGAAGTAGTTCATTTGTTGTCTATTCACAGAGTTTTGAAGTCATAGGTCACTCCAACAAAGTGACGACTACATCCTTGTTATACTGGGAGGACAGTTTTAGCTGGCTGAACAGCCTAACCAATTTTATTTCAGCGGCCCCCCCCCCCAACTTTGATTGGCAAATGTCGCCTGAGTCCATAGTCCACAGATTATGGCTACCGTAATATCAAGGAGTTTGTACGTTTCGTGGCTGATTGTTCCCAGAATGTCGACCGTATCCGTAGCGTGCACCACACTATGTAGTGAGCAGTTCTTGAATTTATGAAATTTATTCGGAAAATCAGAACTAGGATAGCTGCATTTTTTCGTTATAAGCTAACATTTACTCAAAATCATTGAAATAACAACTAACGGATTGCACTCTTTCCTACACTGTTCTCCCACCCTTCATGTCCAATATATTCAACAAAATGCCTGCTATTTTTTCAGGTATGCTGCCGACTCTGTCTGCGTCGTATATCTATATCCAACGCGAAGGCAACAGTATTATGATCCAGGTCCGGTCGAACCGGTGTGCGCGCTTCCTCGAGGACCTTGCCGCTCGATTCTTGCCGCACCCGCCACCGATAAGGAAGATAGAGTAGCCAAGCTGCGTAAACGCACAAATACACAACTTGTTTCCTTTTGCTCACTCTGTTTTCGCCGAATTGAGACTGAGCACCTACTTGCTCAATGCACTGTGGCTGCGCCAACCACTCGAACTACTTCAACACCTGTCTGCTGCTCCGCAGCTTCTCCTCACTTGTCTCCACGACCTCTCTCCGTCTCCAGCACCTTCGCTCCATGAGACGACCACCGCCGTTGCGCCAACGGCGCCAACCGGAGGCGAATCGTAACAAACAGTATTAGTGTAGCAACGCCAACTTCAACGGCGCAGCAAGCAGACAAAGTGGTAGGGACGCGGGTTAGGTAGGTAAACACACACATATGCTCGCTGTAATTTGAGAACCCGAAAATCTTCTTTTATCTTCTTATACTTAGTATCCTTGAGAAAAAATATCATTTTTGATCGGCTTTCTTTTAACATCCTTAGTTTCCCCCCGCCGTGCGTTCATTCGACTTGAGCAGCTTTCCCCTGCTCCAGCAGCACCCAATACTTGAGTTCGTCGAGCTGCTTCTGCAGCTTGTCCACTTGACCCGTTAGCTCTCCTTTCTGCTCTCGCCGAATGTCGTATGCCGTTTTGCGCTTTTTCACCGGCGTGGAGCTTTCCGGCTTGCTGCGTGTGCGACTCACAGCAGCGTCTTGATCGTGCTCAGAGGCGACTACATCGGGACGCTGCAGACTGAACGACGAGGCCCCCTGCATGCCGGGCCGTGAGCGATACTCGCGTCAACGCGGATCTGCCCGAATCGTGGGGAGAAGTAGAGAAGAAGACACTTCTTTCTTGGTCAACACTTCGGCCGTAGGACCCCACTCACTCACCTGAGTCAATAGAGACACCACTTCGTCAGCACCTTCAATCGATATGACCCCCATCCTGTTGCTGTTGATGCGCTGTTGTAAATTACATACTTGAATACTTTTTACCTTCCAGCGTACACTTTCTCGTTATCTTGGTAACTTCGTACTGCAACTTCCCGTCAATATCCTCCGCAGTAGTTTGGATTCGATGGCATGAGTGCAGGGCCCACCGCCACTCGCGTCCGCTTGAGCGTGCTATTCTTATGTGCTGTCCGTCGCCCGTGCATGAACACGGTCGCCTCCTTGGACGCCACCGACTCGACGAAATACAGGTGCGGCTCCTTGCCCGTGACGTCCAACCCAAGCGTACACGCGTGCACTCTGCGTGAGATGCCGTTGCGTCGGAAGCCCAGCAGGTCCGTGACTTTGCCGCCTTCTCGCACGCGAACGAGCGCTCCCCCTCGTGACTCGTACGCGCCCATCTGCGGCACGCTGACCCAGACGCAGCCTTCCGCGTCGAGGCTGATGCCTCCGAGCAACGTGCCCATCTTGGCCCACACCCGGCGGCCAGTCAACGTGCCGTTCTCGTTGATGGTAAATGCGGTGAGTCTCCCGGCCAGCGCCTCGCCCACTATGAGCGTGTTGCCGTCCGGGGTGATGACCATCCCGTTCGGCAACAGCAGATCCGTGGCCTCCACGCGCACCCTCCTGTCCGAGGGGTCGATGCTCACGAGGGTCGTGGAGCAGCAGCTCTTCATCTTGGCCAGGTCGAAGCCGGCGTTGCTCAGATACACGCGACCCGACGCGGCCACCACCAGCTCGTTGGCGCGGAACTGCGTGACGCTCGACACGTCCGCGTAGAGCTGCACGCAGCTGGCCGCCTGGTCCAGCACCAAAACCTGTCGGCTCTTCATGCGCACGATGAGCATGCGCCCGTCGGGCAGCCACCCGATGGCCGACACGAAGTCCTCGATGTCCTCGTACACGACGCCCACGCTCTCGGTGGCCAGCGAGTAGCGCAGCACCTTCTTGCCGAACATGTCGACGAAGTACAGCGTCTGCTCCTCGCGGCGGAAGCGCGGGCTGTTGCCCTGCATGAGGCCGCTGACCATGAGCGACGCCACGCGCTCCTCGTCCCGGCCGCTGAGTCGGTTGCGCGGCACCAGGTGAAGTCGGCGCGCGGCCCATTGCCACAGCAGCTTCCGCGGGAACACGAGCCGGAACACGTTGGGCACGCGCTTCTTGAACAGCTCCGGGTCGTGCTCGATGGCCTCGGCGGCCGAGCTTGGCCCGCACAGCGCGAGGTGCTCGAAGGCCATGGAAGTGGGTGGAGCGAAGTATCCGGCGGCCTGCCGGTAGGTAGTGTACCACGCGGGGCAAGTTGAAAACTGAAGCGCTCGTCACGCGCGCACAAAAGCTTGAGGTCAACTCGGTGGAGCTCATATCCCACATCACAGCACAGTCGGCTTCCTGCCTGGCTCCGAAATCAGGATGGACGATCTACTTCCGTCCAGCGAGCTTGACAGCTCCATGACAACGGACACCGACCACGCATCTATCAGCGCGGCAATAGAGCACGGGTGCTGGGCAGCAAGGGCATCGCGACAACGCTATCTCGGTGCGGTCAATTGCTCTCTCGACGCTCCGAGTACTTTACGGGGCGGCGTCTTGACGCGTTGGGATGGAGAGATGTCGGTCAGTCGCTCCATCCTCCTCCCTATCCACATCAGCGACGATCGACTGCAACACGAATGCGACCGCACTTGTCAAACCGCCTCATGACGAGCACACCAGCGATTCGGACTGAAAATTGCTGGAAGCACGCAATGGTCATCACCTCGGATGAAGTCAATTAGCTACGCGGCAGTCAGTTCCTGGCGAGATTCTAGGTGAGTTGAGCCCCACAATATAATAGATAAGAACGCGGTACAAGACACTTTGGGTGGCTTTTTATCGGCAAAGCCCGGGAAGCCCATGGAGTGCTTGCTTGCTCGAACTCGGCTGTACTCAAGACCTTGTCGGGCGCTGGACTCCCATCTCGCAGGCACATTGCCAGGACTGCAAGCAAAGCTGTGGGCATGGAGGCGGAGCATCGGAGCGAGCAAATACTTTATTGACATTGACCTAGATAACTTCTTTACATGCAAGTGTACAATGCGTGTGTGTGTGTGGGGGGGGTGCGTTCTTGAGCGGGAGCACGGCCGCCAGCTCGTGGCAATGCAGCTTGGCGTCCTCGTATCCCATGGCGAAGCGCTCCTCGTGCGTGGCCACGTCCACCGACAAGTGAAATGCCGCCACTGACTGCGAGCGCCAATTCCACGGCTTGATGATGAGCCGCTTCACTTGCGCTTCGGACGTTGGGGCGATGGTTTCGTGCGGGCTCGTCAGCATCGGCATCGAGTTGAACACCTTATTAGCGATGTTCTTGCCCCAGGCGCCAGGGATCAGGTACCTGGCGATCGCAGTCGAGGCCGAGCGCGTGTAGTCGAGAATCGTCTGCGCCGTGTGGAAGGAGAGGTCGGCCCACGTCGAGTACTCGTCGCAGGCGACTCCTTTGAAGTTGGTGAAGGCGCCGTCGACGTACCATTGGCCGCGGTGCGAGATGCACGGCTTGCCCGAGAGCGCGAACGGCACGAGCGATGAGGCCATGATGGAGCGCGTGAGGTCCTCCAGGCTCTCCCAGGACGTGAGCTTCTCGGCCGTCATGGACGGGAACCTGGTCAACGCGATGGTCAGGCGGCGCTGCTCCACGCGCTTGTGGATGTCCTTGTCGTCCCGCCAGAGTTCGAGCAGCGTCTGCTCCACGATGGAGGCGTAGCGCCCGTAGCCCGAGTACCATCTCGGCGTCGTGATGACTTTGGCCTGGGTCTCTTTGATCACGCGCCAGGCCTCGCGGACGGGCGTCTCGGACGCCAGCAGCGCCGCGGCCCACGAGCCGCCCGAGCAGCCGGAGAAGCTGCAGTTGGACAGGTCGAACGTGTCCTGGATGAAGGCGGCCACGCCCATCTGATAGACGAACACGCCCGCGGACGCCGAGAAGGCGATCTCAACCGGAGGCGGCGACGCGGCGTCTTCCTGTTGGGCCGATACTTCGACGTCCAGCTCTTCGTCGCTGCAGCAGTCCGTCTCGACCGCCGACAGGTCCGAGGCGCGGAGCTTCTCCTCGACGCCGGTGCTGTGCATCATATCTGCTTTGCTTTGGCTTGTTCCGGTGGTGCGGATCTGCGTTGCCTGCCGACTTGAGCGTGAATGCGAGAATGAACTCTGGAGTCCAGAGTCTGGACGCGTCGCGCATTGCTCGCGGCGAGCTGCAGCCTGCAGCAGAAAGCATGGCGATCGTCTAGCTCATCGCAACGGATCCGCTGACGAAATGTGCCGGTGCTACGCACCACTCATGAGTAACTCCGCATATAGCATTTTGTATGGTCTAACAAGTGCTGTGGAGACAGACCCCGATAATTCGAGATTACATCACCGCCTCCCGCTTACTCCGTCGTCTACAACTCGTCGACAGAAGATGACTACATGTACACCAAAGTTGCCTTTTATTGCTCGGATCTCAATTGCACTTTAGATTTACCGTTTGACTACTGTAGCTATTAGGTAGCTCCACCTTAGCTGCAGCCCGGGCAGTTGTGCAGCGAGTCGTGCACGTACATATCGCACTCGGAGCAGAAGACGTTCTGGCAGGTGGTGCACTCGTACGCGGTGCCCTCTCCATCCAGCCCCAGCGGCAGCAGGCAGCCGAAGCACTTCTTCTGGACGAGTGAGGGCGTGACCTTGGCTCCCTTCTCGCCAGTCACTCCGGAGCGCAGCAGATGCTGTGTGAACTTGGCCACCGGGAACAAGTGGTGGTAGGAGCGCGCAAGGTGAGGCGACGACACGAGGGGCAGGTTACACACTTGGCAGGTCGTCGGCAGGTCGCAGCTCTTGGACTTGCAGCGCGGACACAGATACCCCACCGTCGTGAACGCTTGGTGGCAGGTGCAGAGCGATAGCGCGCCGCTGCGTCGCTGCGGGAAACCCATCTCCACCAGCGTCGCGAAGCGCGAGGCCGCGGTCGCGACTGTAGGCGACGGGAAGGTGAACGCCGTCATGAGCCTCTTCATGTGCTCGGCGTCCACTGCAACATGGTACGTGCCATCGGTTCCGTCGGCGATGCGACGCAGCAGGTGCATCTCGGCTCCGATGCCGATGAACGACACGCGGATGTTCTCCCGCTTGAGCGACGCCAGCGTCTGGAAGATGTCGCCCGGGTCGGCCGTCACGAGGTTGCCGTAGACCACCACGATCTCCCGACTGCCGTAGGCGGGCACGGTTTTGAGCGAGCTCTTGGCGATCTCCAGCGCGTTCTGCAGCGACGGCTCCTTATCCACGGCCAGCGCGGCCGCGATGCGCTCCATGTGCGTGTTGGGGTTGCCCGACAGGTCGCTGAGCTTCTCGGCCGTCATGCCCTTGATGCCGATGACCCCCAGCTGGGAGATGGGGTTCTGGTCGAAGTAGTCCTTGACGAACTGCTGCAGCACGTCGCTGGCGCAGGCCAGGCGGTGCGGCTTCCAGTCCTTGGTGGCCATGCCGCGCGACAGGTCCATCACCACGTACGTGTAGCGGATCAGGCCCTTGCGCACATTGCGCGCGATCTCCAGTCGACTAGACAGGGTAAGCGTTGTAAGTGCAGGTTAGTGAAACACGACGATGAGCGACCAGTTTAGTGCGCACCGTTGCCGCTGCTGCTTCTTGACCGCCTGGTCGATCTTGAGGTTGCCCGAGTCGTCCTCCTCGATGACGTCCCAGCTGCGCTCCAGCGCGCCCTCCCACGCATACCCGGTCGACGCTGAGGCAGAACAAGGCAGCAACAGACCAGTTTAGTGCACTGCAGCCACACAAAAGCGAGCCCAGAGATGAACTGCCGCGCCTCACCTTCCTCCTCCATGTTCACCTGTAGATTGTGCCGCGATAGAAAATGGCATGTACCATAGTTGTGGTACGATTAGTATGTAGCCATTTGATGCGATGGCTACATCATGTTGAAGTGGACTGCAGGTTGGTGCTATTACTCGATAAGTTACTGCAAAAGAGTGTGGAGAAGTAGAAGTCCTCCGATAAATCAACGGGCGATACCCCCCCGCACTTAGACGAAGAACGTGGTGGTCTTGCGCATCTCCGGTGCGGCCTCCACGGGGCTTTCACACACGGACGAGTACGCGACCGACGGAGACGAGGACGACGGCTCGATGCCCGCGGTGCCCAACGAACTGGCCGAGAAGACGGACAAGTGCTGCATCTCGATGGACCGGCGGTCGCTGGGCTCCAGGACGCCCACGCTGAAGGACGTCTGCGGCGTCGACGAGAAGCTCCTGCTCTGGGATGAGTCGCTGCTGAAGCCGCTTTCGCCCGTGCAGCCGCTGCCCAAGAGGCTGCTACGGCCGTGGCGGAAGCTCAGGTCGTCGCTGTTGCCGCACATGTCGAACATCCTGTCGCGCACGAAATCCGCCAGTCGAGTCGCGTACTCGTCGGGGGGCACGGCGCTCACGTCGTGGGTGTCCTTGCACAGCAGCAAGCCCAAGAACCACCGCTGAAGCGTCCAGCGCCAGTTGTAGCGCTGCAGCATGTCCACGATGCCGAGGTAGTAGACGTCGCTCCGGTCGTGAGAATTGACCCCGTTCCGGTACGTCCGGTGTGGATCGCGTTCGGCATAGCAGACCCCGAGCAGGATGCTGTAGTCGATGATGCCGCGACTGGCGAGGAACACGAAGTCGCTGCAGAGTTGGTCCTGCTGCAGGCGCGTGTTTGCGTCGGACAGCGAGAGGCCCGAGCTGATCTTGAGGAAGTCGATGTCCATTAGCAGCTGCTTGATAGGCTTCCTCTCCTTGGCCAGCTCAATAAGTCGCTCCATCTCTGTGGCGCTTACCGCCTGCCGTCGATCCCGGTTGCCCTTGAGGTCGAATCGCTGCTGCACAGCCCCTTCGTTGAAGAGGTTCTGCATCACGACAAAGTACATTCGACGCGTGCCGATGGGTAGAGAGATGGAGTGGCAGCCGAAGTAGCGGCATAGCATCGATTTCGGGTTCGACTGCAGGTACTCGTGATAGTGAGGCCTGGTAGTTCGCAACAAGGACCGAGTTAGTTGTGAGCCACTAGAACCGTAAGAGATACAAATTGTCATAACGCACAAGATTGCTCGTAACGTGTCGAACTCCTCCTTGGGCACACTTTTCACCATGAACTGCATATTTGCTGGGCAAAACAATAAGTAAGTGTTTCCTACCATGAAGACAGTAGAAAAACTCTCACCGGTGAAGTAGAAGATGTTGCCGCTCTTGCCCTCAGACCCGTGCTCGCTGAGAATCTGTGACGGGTCGAACGACTCCCTGTAAAAGTCCTGGTCGATGTTGAACTGTGCGCGAATGCGGTGGAAGATCTTCGGCGCGCAGTCCTTAAAGTTGAGCATGGTGCTGTTCTTCTTGCCGTAGACGACCACGCCCATATTTTCAACGTGGTTGTAGTCGTTGTAGCTGACTCTCGAGTAGCAATCGCCAAGATCCATCGCGAACGCTTCCGTGTCTGATCCCGTGACCTCAGCACTGACGCTTCCATCGGCAGGGTTCTTCTCGCGCTTTTGCGCCGTCTCGATTGAGCTCATGATCCCCATGGACATGTACCTCATCACGTCCATGCGTAGTTTGTTCGATACATCGATTTTATCCTGCGTGTGTATCGCTGGGGCTCCCCCCGACGTAGACGTCAGCGTCGCACCTCCAGCCTCGATCTGCGTGATGGTTGTCCGGGACTGGTTGCTAGCATTGCTGATGTCTGGGTTGCTCTCGACCGCGCTCTGGGCCTTCAACGGCGCCTTGAACACCCCCGCGTCTCGACAGAAGAGCGCAAAGAGCGCCAGCGTTTCAAGCACGAGTGAGAGCTGATCCAGCGCGTTCGGCGTCATCCTGCCGAACTCCGTCCCGAGCTGCACTAAGTAAATAACAAACGCGACGATGGTGTGGATCCCAAACACCCCGAGGTACGGCAGAATGCGCTTGGCCATCCGTAGCGTCGTCGCGTGGGCGAGATTTTCGAGAATCCGGATGCGGCGCCAGCACTGGACGAGCGCGAACACGATGTAGAGCAGCACGAAGTACGCCGGCAGGTCGAAGTAGAGCATCACGTTGGCCGTGAGGTCCGTCTGGAAGGCGCCGAGGATGTAGCGGAACACGAAGCAGTAGACGAGCGACACGGGCCACGCGTAGATGTGGTGCATGACGTTGTCGGCGTTGAACGGCAGGAACGGGTTGGACAGCGAGAAGATGAGGTCGAGCGCCAGCATGAGGAACCACAGCGTCGAGGCCGTGTTGAAGAAGAAATAGCACCAGAAGAACAAGGGCACGTAGTTCTCCAGCACGCCGGCATCGTGGCCCAGCTCCTCGTTGGCGATGCGGCTGAGCGTGGCCGGCAGCGGGCCGCCGACGTCGTCCGGGTCCAGCAGAATGTACCATGCGTGCAGTCCCACGCGCATGATGCTGGCGATGCTGACGCTGAGGAAGATGCTCATGAGCACCAGGCCCGGGTGCACTCTGGTGCTGGGATACCTGACGAAGAAGTAGATCATGGCCCCGCTGGACAGCAGCCCCGACACGAGCGCCGTGAGCTGCCAGGCGATGAAGAGGTGGTCCATCGCGGCTCGGATCCGTTACTGGTCCCTGACTGACTGACTGGCTAACGACTTGAGCTCCGGCCGGTGATCGCGCTCGACTCGACTCGATCGAGTGCCGCGCGCGACCTGAGCAAGTGTCGGTGGCGTTTTTATTCCTCGTGGGCCCAACCTCCAGGCTCCCAAGACGCGATGAGGAGCTCCGGCAGCGAGGAAAACGCTTAATGAACATGCCAGCAGGGCTCAGCGAGCGTTGCACTGGCTCAATGGGCTCGCTCGCTCACGGACTGTTTCGTCCAGCAGCAGCAAGCAGGCGTTCGTTCTCTTTTCTATTTTTTTCTTATTTGAGAGAGCTCTTGGCTTTTGGGGGCAGGGAGCTGCATGAGTTAATGCTCACGTGGGGCTGGGAAGGAACTCGACCCGAGCGTTCTGCTGCTCGACGCAAACCCCCGACGTTCAAGAGGCTGGCGTTGGCGGGCTCTGGACCGACCCGCCCGATCGAATCTGCACAGGACAGATAGCCCGGCCGCCAAGACGATCCGGGTCGACTGCGTTGCACGATGCCGACGCGGGGCTGGACCATGTTCCTCGGCGTTTGCTGACTTAAATGCTAGCGGCCGATAAAAGACCGAAGACAGGCGAGCAAGCGGGGAGCAGTGAGCGAGCAAGCGGTGCTGTGGCGCCGGGGCGGCCAGTTACAGCGGCGAACCCCGCGCACTCTAAATTAACGCAGAAGAGCCCAAGCGCGTTCATTCTGATTAGGGTATCAACAGTGCGCGCGCATCGTCCTGTTTGAGTCTGTGTGCCGACGCCGAGCGTGGAGGACCGAAAGCCTTCGGGCTAGCTAGCCTCCGTAGTTGGTAGTAGAGGGATTCGAGCTGTGGCAGAAGCGGCCTTCAACTCGCGTCCACCGCCGCCCTCATAGCAGATGCAGCAGCTGCAGCGCTGGACGAGAAGCGAGAGCGACGGTAAGGTATTGCAGCCCACTAGCTCCGCGGCCATGCGACCAGCTCCATATCCGGGCGGCGTGCGTCCAGCAGCTTCAACTTCAACTTCTGAAGTGAAGAAGTGCATAGCCGTGCGCGAGGTCGTGTCAGGCTCAGTGTGTGCGCCACACAAACATCGATGATCTTCAGAAGACGCAAAAGAGGATACTTTTTGGTGCTCGAGCCGCCATCGCAGTCCTGTGCTGCTCTAGACCCGTTCTCGGGACCCTTTATGCTGCTATGGGCGCTGCCAATGGCACCCAGTTCCGCCTCGTAGACGCGGAGGTGGAGCTGCGTCGAGAGACGAGGGACTTCGCGCGCTGTGAGTGGGCGGAGATCTTGATAGTGGCAATGGAGTGCTGACGCTAGACTTTTGTGCCGCGCCAGGGACGCTCGCGGACGTGGAGGAGCTGCATCGCCGCTTCAAGAAAACCTTCGGCTTCGCAGTCACCGCGAGTCAGTTCGAGAGCTTGTTGCTGCTCAAGGCGCCCGACAGTGTGGGGATCGAGGAGATCTTCGAGGTGCTGGACGCCAATCGCGACGGCCGCGTGGACGGCTTGGAGCTGCTCGCGGCGCTGGCCTGTGTGTGTCGCGCGTCGTTCGAGGACAAGGCCCGCTGTACGTATTTGCTGTGGAGAGTGAAGGGGGTGGTCGGCCACTTAGCTGATGGTTTTGTAATATGCTCTGGTGTGTCGTAGTCGCCTTTGATCTGTTTGACTTCAATCACAATGGATCGCTGTCGCTAGCTGAGCTGGTCAGTGTATACCGTCGCTACACTGCTATATGATTAAGCTGACAGCTTACGCTGTGTTGCTAGGCCCTGCTGATGAAGTCCGTGTTGATCGGCATGACGCTTTTGACCGGCGGCGGGCCCGAAAGCTCCACTCTGTACCCGCAATCTACGCCGGATGCCAAGAGCTCAATGGAGGCAATGCTGCTGTGCCTCAGACTAGCGGAGAACGCATTTGCTCGCGTAGACGAATCATCGGCTGTTCTGGGCTTCGAGGCCTTTATCGCGTGGGCTCGAAGCAACCGCGAGTTCATGCTTCAGGTGGAGAGATTCCGCCTCATTGCGGAGAAGGCCATCGGCTTTGAAGACGCTCTGTCGCTCCCAGACGGTAGTGACGACGACTCGGATCTGGACGTCGAGGAGGTAGCGCTTTCAGACAAGACGGAAGACTCTAACCAGCAAAACCAGCCTGCGATCAGCCGAAAGCGAGCAGAAATCCCGCAGCCGTGGATGATCGAGCCTACAGCCCAGCCACATCAAAACTTCAGCGTCTCTGCGTGCAAGAATAACGGAATGCCACCGCCTGCAAACCTCGAGCTGGAGTGGGTACACGGTACAAGTGGACCATCAGCTCGGAACGCGTGCCGCTTGCTCGCTACAGGCGAGGTGGTGTACTTTGTGGGGAGTTACGTCGTGTTGTATTCCTCCGAGCGCCACGAGCAGCGCTACTACTGCGGGCACAGACGTGCCATCGGCTGCTTGGATGTGAATGCTGCCGGGGAAATCGTCGCTACGGGTGACGCCTGCTCCTCCAATACGCCAGCCAACAGGGGAGGGGCTGAAATCCACGTGTGGAATGCTCGCACGCTTCAGTGCCTTGCAGTACTGCGCAACTTTCACCCTGCAGGAGTCGCCCACCTTAGTTTTCCTGCTGCTGCGTCAGCAGCTACTGCCACACTTCGACAAACGCAGGCGCTTTCGCTCGGAGATCGCACTGGAGCTGGGGGGAACTCGTCGTCGGTGCTGAGCAGCAGCTTGATGAAGAAGAAGCCGCAAGAGACTGAAGCACTGATCGCCTCCATCGGCAGCGACGCTAGCGCCTCCATGGCGTTGTGGAACTGGCAGAAGGAAGCAGTCGTGGCATCAGGTCGAGCGCACCCGGCAGCTACTGGAAGAAGAGCTCGAGCCTCTGGCAGAGGGAAGCGGCCGCTAGCTCTTGCTCTGAACGAAGACGGCGACGAGATCGTCGTCGTTGGAGCACATTTCGTGGTGTTCCACCAAGTCGCTGGCCGGTTCTTCAAGCACAAGAAGCCTCACTGGCATGGCACGGTCGATCCGCCACTACGTACCGTTCCAGTGTGTCTGAGTGCCGTTTACTACGGCATCCAGACTGCCGTTATCGGCACAGCACGTGGTGAACTGCTGCTCTTCGAGCGGCATACGCTTACGCGATGTGTTCAAGCTCACGATACGCAGACGAGCGTCAACGTGTGCCTGTTATCCTGTCAGTCGATGGTCCTCTTTTCAGCGGGCAAGGACGGCCAGATCAAGCAATGGGACTCCACACTGCGCTCCATCGGGCAGTCGCTGGATCTCCAAGCTCTGGTGCGCGTTCCAGAGGTGAAACCCTCGTCGGCATCGTCGTCCAGACCCGAGAGCGTCCTCGAAGGCGACGACTTCCGCATTTGCTCGCTCGATTACGACGCCCAGCGGAAGAAGTTCCTCGTAGCTACGAGGACAGGAAACATCTTCGAGATGGATGACGAAGTATCGGACGCCTCTGTCGGCACGTTTAGATGGCGTATAGTAGCGTCGGGGCATACAGGAAAACCCACACGCAGCATTGCGACTGCTAGTACCGTTGGAGGGTGTTTTGCCTCGTGTGGCGTCGGTGAGCGCTTCGTGAAGCTCTGGAGTCTTCGTCGTCGAGCGTTTGTACAGCATTTACGCTTTCCAGGCGCCACTGTAGCCCCCAGTGCGCTGGAATTCAGTAGCGATGGAGAGCGCTTAGCTGTGGGCAGCGAGGACGGGACTGTAATGCTCGCACGACGAGCTGGAGCGGCGTCAAGCGGTGCCATGACGATCGAGACGACGATGAAGAACACGAGTTCGGGTGTGGTCGCCATGCGCTTCGGGCCTCTGACAACGACAACGGGGCTTCTACTGGCTGTGACGCGCGAGAACGGCTTCACCTACCTCTACAGACTCGAGCCTGGGGGCCGTAAATTGTCTCGGCACATGTTGCTAAAGCCCCAAGCAGGTGAGGGCCCTGCTGGGAGTTCATACGACCTAACACCCGCTCACGCTCTGGACTTCAGCATCGACGGCGCCTTCCTTCGGACGCAGCATGGGAGCTCGTCGCTGTACTTCTGGGACCTTCGACAGCGCGCCGGAACCCGCGTGACATCGATGGCCACCCTCCGCGACGTTCAATGGCATACAAACAGCACTTCTATCGGTGGACTGCCGCTCGGACCCCAAGATCTGGACGGGGGAGTGAGCGTTGACGCCAATTCCACTCGAGGCCTAACGCTCCTCCTCAACAGCGACGGCGACATCAATCTGGCCCCATTTCCGTGCCCACCTCCGACTTCAGCGGCCGAGGACAGCTCGGAGCATTGCTGGCTGTCGAGAATGGTGCCTCAAGCTCACCTCACGAAGCCAAACTCACTGTTCTCTTCGACAACGTGCCAGCCGCCAGTGTGCGGGAGGTTTGCCTTACGTGGCAGTCTCATCATCACTGGGAGTCAATTCGACCCTGCGATCTGCCAGTGGCGCGTGCTGAAAGAGCTCGGAGATGTCCAGCCTCGACCGGAGTGTATCTACAACCAGGGACTTCGTAAACGACTGCACGTATTGGGCTTGAAAGACGTCTACTTCGACTACGGAAGGTTGGACGACGATGAAGAAGACGACCAAGATGCGAATGGCCGACAGCGTATTCTACCGCGAAAGACTGGGGGTGACGTCTCCCACGCTGTCGTTGTGCGAGGGTCGGATGGCTCAACGCAGCGCTCCGAAGCCCCTGATCTAGCCCTGACATTATCCTACGTGTACGGATTCAACCACCGCAGCATGAGCTTGAACCAGTCGCTCGCGTGTCTTGGAAACGGCTCCTACGTGTATGGCGCGGGGTCTTTGCTGGTTGTGCGGCACCTGCACTCTTTCGGTACTAGACAACGCATCGTGACGCCAGGCCTTCAGCACTCCGTTTCGTGCCTGGTAAAACATCCTTCTGAGCCGGTTCTAGCTGTCGGAAGCCGAAGAGATGACCGCGTTGTGCTCTTACGCACGGAGAAAGCCGCAGCCTCCAGTAACTCATCAGGCGAAACCTTCCAGCAAGTCGGAACGCTCAAGCCTAGCGTCATCCCCACCACCAGCCTCAAGTCCGACAAGAAGACTCTCATTGTCGTGGCCTTCTGCGACTCCAACGACAGCAACACCCGAACTGTCCAAAGCGACTTGGCTGCTGTCATCTGGAAACACGCCCGCATCCACGTCCACACACTCGTCTTTTACGCCTGGAAGCGTCAGCTCAAGCTGGCGCATGCATCCATGACGCGGTTGCCCGTGCTCTTTGCGAAATTCGCGGGATCGTCGGATACAGGAGTGAGCTTCGTGAGCGGAGGCGTCGACCACGTCACGTTTTGGCACTTGAATCCGGCGACAGGGCACGTGACAGCGCAGCAAGGAGTGTTCGGTCGCCACGCACTGGTGCAGACCATGCTGTGCTGCGCTCATGTCGCCCCCTTTGTACTGACGGGAGGCGAAGACGGTTCTGTTGTGCTTTGGGAGAGTGGAGTAGCGGCGCACACCATTCACGCGTCAAGTTCGTCCCGACACAGCTCTGGTGGAGACGGAGTTGTGGCGTTAGAGCACTTACCAACGTCTCAAGTAGTGCTGGGAGCTCTACGCAATGGCTCACTAGCAGTTTGGAAGTACACGACTGCACGTAGTCCTACTCGTGGCACCAGATCGGCTGGAAGTCGAGTTCAAGCGAGCACGTTCCTTCAGCAGGTCCAAGTGATCGCGGTCTATGATCCTACCAAGACAATCGCTTCCAGCGCAATGTCACCGCTGTTTAACGCCACGGGCTTTACTACTTCACCACCCACAGATGATGTACATGTCCAAGGCATGGCTCTGTTGGACGATGCAGCGGTGGCTGCCGTGATCCTTAGCAACGGTGAAGTGCTTTCGGTCGATTTGGAGTCGATTCTCGAAGCCTCGGCTGGAACAAACCAAAGTATTCCTTCAGTCGCAACTGAGGCTGGGGAGAAAGGTCAAACTCTCTTGAGCTTCAGCAGCGAAATAAATGACGTCGTATTGCACCCCAGAGACTTACGATGGGCTTCTGCAAGTGCTGACGGGCACGTTTACGTCTGGAATCTCCACACAAATCTGCTGACCCAACAGCAATTGATGCCCAGCGCACCGCGTTCGTTGGCGTGGAGCGCGACGGGAGAGCACCTGGCCGTCTCTCTCAACAACGGCTGCGTTGTGATTCTGAATGGAACAACACTCGAGCCATTGGTGCAGTTTGCCTGCGGTGACATGGAGACTGCTTCGAATGGACAAGCAAGAATGACCCCATTTCCAAAGTGGTGCAGTATGGCCAAGTACTCGCCATTATGCAGTCAGCCGGGGTCGAATATGAGTCGCAACTGGCTGGCGCTAGCGTGTCGAGACTACAACATCTACGTGTACTCTTGGGATGGCTCGGAGGCTGATAGTTCACCTCCAGTTTACACTCTTCAACACACATTTGTGGGTCACACGGCACCAATCGAGGCGTTAGGCTTCTCTTTGAATGGTGAGTGGCTCCAGTCCGCGACCTCGAGCAATGACCGTCAACTGCTGCGGTGGTCACTACAGAAGGACCCTCCTTCAAATGAGAATAACTCCCTCAAACGAGATGTAGCAGCTGGATGGGAGCTTCTTGACGATGCGTGGGCCTCATGGACAGCAACTTTCGCCGGTCCCGTCGAGGGACTCACAGAGTGTTGCGGAGTCGGCAAGACAACAACGTTAGCGCGCATCAACAGCGAGGCTGCAATTTCAAAAGACTCGGAGAGTTCTTCAGTCGTTAGCGACTGGAGTTCGCCGCTGCCCGTGGCAGTTGTGGGGCTTGACAATGGCCACCTGATGCTCGCGTGGTACCCGCTCACGCGTGGAGATGTCGCCACCCCAGCGTATTCAACCGAGTCCGATCGTTTCAACGACCCCGCGGTTGTGACGAAGGAATATGTGGGCTGCTTCTCACGCGGGTCTCTGATACGACGCGTGGGCTTCAGCTTCGCAAACGCGTTCGTCGTAGCACTAGCGCGGAATGCAAGCGGGAGCACGCAGGTGTTGATCTGGAAGACCGACTACGACGACGAGTTGCGTCTGCGCCAGCGGTTTGCACTGAAATCCACAGTGTCTTTAGACACAGATCCAGACTGGTGCATGAGCCCCGTTGACAGGACGCTCTATGAGGAATGCATTCGGCTTTCACGCAGCAATGAACCGACTTCAAAGATCGCTCAACAGGTCGAAGAGAGTCACGACAAGTGGGCGGTTGCTGAGAACGAGCTCGACAGTCCTATCACCGGCGAAGAACTCAACTTGGAGTTCGTCTACGGCCTCAATCCTGGCGCCACTGGCAGTCGAAATGTGTTTTACGCCGACGACGCGTGGGAAATTGTATACGCTGCTGGCGCCTGCGGGGTTGTGTACAACACGAAGACGCAAACGCAGCTACTGAATTACCGAGCGGAGTCTGAACGTCACACCATCATCTCAGCGTTGGCTGTGCATCCGAAGGGGGATCTGGTTGCCTCGGGTGAATGCCTCGTTACTCGCCACCTCAAGCCGCCTGAAATCATCATTTGGGACGCCAATAGCGGCAGCACAATCGTTCGGATCGCTACCAAGCATCGCCCTGGAGTTTTACTGCTGGAATTTAGTCCTGATGGCCATCGCCTTGCATCGGTTGGCATGGGAGTGGACCATAGGATGGCGATCTACGCCATTTCAGGCGGTGAGAGCGAAGGCGGTCGACTCCGCGCGACGTTGCTCGTGACTTGCAAGACCTCCACTCGAAGGGTCTGGGGCTTGAGCTTCGGCGACGACGGCGAGCTCGTGACGTGCGGAGATCAGCACATTCTCTTCTGGCAGCAGAGCTCAACGAACTCTGGACGGGGCGGTGAGGATGACAATCGACCTACAGGCTTGAAGAGCGGCCTATTAACCAGTCACAAGGAGTGCAACCCGCAAGCCACACTGCTGCAGATCGCCCACATGTCTGGACGAGCGCGCGTGGTGGTGTCGAGCCAAGCGGACGGGAGTTTGTACCTTTGGAAGGACCGCGTCTGTGTGGGAGTTCGACGCGATGCACACGGTGACGCTTCTATTCCAGCGCTGGCTGTTGATCGCAAGCACTCGTTGTTGTACTCGGCAGGAGCCGATTCACGCATCTGCTGTTGGAATGCACAGCTCGAGCTCGTTCGAGTCGTGGCCGATATCTCACAGCTCAATGCTGGGATCCCACTAACCAGCACAAAGCTCCAGTCGCTGGCAGTTCGAGACGGTCATGTGTTGTTCTCCACTGCAGGAACTGAAGTGTGTGAGCTGGTGGAAGCAGGGTTCTCGAGGTCGCAGGAGAAAGACTGGCGGCTCCACGTTTACATTCGAGGTCATGCTCACGGTCAACTCTGTGGGCTTGCAGTTCACCCGTGTAAGCGCGCGCAATTCGCGTCTGCTGGAGACGATGGCGTCGTCCGCCTTTGGGATGCAGCTACTCGCTCACTGTTGGCTTTCCACAGCTGGGAGTCGGCGTCGGAGTTTGCAACCGGTGGCAGCAATGAGCTGCGTGCGTTGGCGTTCTCCGCTGATGGCAAACACCTGGCTGTGGGGACCATTGACGGCGTTGTTCGTGTGCTCACCGCTGCACTTGACGCCGTCGTGACGCAGTGGAGCTGCTTGCAGGACCAGCAACAAGCCCACGCCGTCTTGTCGCTGCAATACTCGGCCGATGGGAAGCTGCTGGCCGTCGGGTGCCAGGACGGCGCTGTGCACGTGTACAACGCGGCTAGTTATCGCAAGGTCACGATTCTAAGGGGGTCGATGCAAACTGCGGACTCGATTCGACTCGACTTCGCTCGGGATCGGGCGGTGCTTAGCGTGCAGTGCAGTGGTGGAGCTGGGGAGCAGGAACTCCACTTCTGGGAACTTGGTTCGTGGCGAGGGTTGCCAGCTGCTCAAGTGCGTGACGTCCACTGGGAATCCAAGCGATACCCGTCCCTCGTGAGCGGCTCAACGCACTGCGAAGACTTCAACGGTGCAGCGATGGCAACGGATGGACACGCGACGGCCGTCACGAACTGGGCCGTCACCAAGAACGAGCACTTCCTGCTGTCCACGGGAGGCGCCGATCGCGTCGTCTGCCAGTTCCGTCTTCCACCTCACTCCGGTCCACCGAGTGCAGCATAATTGCTTGATCATCAAATAATGTCCACCTGGACGTCCATATTACTCAGAAATAATATTCTCTACTCGATGGAGTAGTACTTTCCTCATAAATTAGTAGTGGTGGAAATTAATTTTAGCAAGTATTGTGCTTTGCACGAACTTTGGCATGAGATTAAGGGCTCTAAACCTCCTTCCCGGTGATCATATCTCGCAGCCTAACTCGAAGTTAAAGTTAAGCTAATCAACGGCCAGTACCAAACACAACGCAGAGCAAGAACGGAGCGGTTGCCACTGCAAGAATAAATCGGTTGTCGCTGCAAGAAAACAAACCGATAAGGTCCCCGATAGAATGGCGCCAACTCCTTGCATAATAGTAAGCACCGATTTCGGCGGGGACGTTTTCTTTCGCTCTCTTCGTCGTGGCCTTGCGCGTTAAACCAAGCTCGAATTTCAGAGCACGGCATATAGTAGCAGTAGAAAATTTCTACTATAAATGTTTGGTAGTGCAGGAAACGCTGACTTTAATGCTGCTTGCAGCTCCTCGATATAAAAACAGGGATGTTCTTCAATATTGTAGACGTAGTTTAGTACTACGATAGATCGCCAACGCATGTCAATCATCGACTAGAAAGCAATCAGACAAAGCGAGCGAGTTAGAATTAGAATTAGAATGTCAGGGCCGTAGTATTGTCGGATTTACTCCAGCCATTCAACGAAAGTGAGCATAACTCAACGTTAACTCGTTGTCTTAGCAGCTATTCTATCTTAAATCGACGAGTTAGCCTCCTAACTCAATGATGGGCTAATCACCTTGATTTGCTAAAACAACGAATTACGTCGTTGTTTAGACAGAAAACATGCAAGGCACAATAGTGGTACTACTACTATTTAAATTATAACAATAGTAGAAACATTTGTTAGTAGTGAGGTATCGACGGTACAAATATGACTACTAATATCACTGTTGACCATTCGCTGACCTCCGCGACCCAAGTACACGTAAAAGTTCCTTCAAAGCTGAACAACGTTCCAAACGTGAAAATTGCGCTTTCCATCTCGTCTGGTCGGCTCGGAGACAATCTTATCGTACTTTTCTTTGCTGAATATTGCGGTCAGGGCATTGCTCGATACCCAAGCGGTAGATTGTTACAGACTGTAGAAGTCGTAAGCTGCAAGTTACAGCTTACGACTTCTGAGCAATTTTACGAAATATTTTTGCTTCTTCGGAAAGATGTTGTGCCCAATACGACAACCCTGTAAGGAACAGGAGGAAATCACAGCGCGAGTGTATGTGGGGAGAAGATCATCGGCATACATTTACCCAGGTGAACGGCTAACAAGGAGCTGAAGCATTACCTAGCCGAAAACAAGAAAAATTCCACCCGCAAATTGTTTGGGGCATGATACTCGCAACGTAAAGGCCAACCCAACTGCCAGCGCCTTACGTTGGGGCAAGCAGGTTCTAGTTGATAAGCACACTAACTTCAAGGGAATATACGTACTTAAGATTTTAAGCACACCACTCGCTACCACTGAAGTCGGTGGCATGTATTTATTTTATTTTTCACTGTTAATGCCAGTCACACTCGGAGTGAGCACTGCTATGCGGTGGCATGTAACTGGGAGCAGGGGCGGTCCCTCGATGAGCTGCTGAGTGTGGGTTCATGGGAAAAGGTTCTTTTGCGTTAAAGTCCCTGTGAACGCGGCTGCGGACTCAGCATGTCAAGTTGCTTAATACCATCAAAGCGACAGAGAAACCCACGAACAGAGCGTTACCTTCGATCTACCTTGCATTTGACGCATAACTCGTTGCCGCTTTAATGTCAGTCACATACACAGCACGGAGAAGCCTCCGATATTGCAATCGCTCTTCGCGCACTTTATGACACGATCATGTCAGGTTGGAAATCGAAGTAAGAGTCCTGACTGGAGCGTGGCCACTTACTCGCGTATTGAAGAATTGATACATTAGTACTAATATCCATGTTTCTTTCGGCTACTAATCAACTACTGTAAAACCTCTAATTGTGCCCCTGGGATACTAGCTCAGTACCCCACGCAGGGTGGGGTACAATATTAGAGGGTGGGGTACAAACAAAGCGAGCAGTGCCTCATGTAACCCTGATTAAATATTCCCCACCTGAAAACCCTCGATTAAAAACTTGCAGCTAAGCGATTCATATCGAACTCCTTCCAAAATCAGCTTTCACCCTTGTGTTGGATGCAAATCGATTTGTCTCAAGTTACTGGTTTGCGGGCTTTGGCCCGCGATGTTCGCAGTTCGGTCGCTTTTTTTTCTGGATTCCAAAACCTGCACGGTAGAAAAACTTTATTTACTACTGATAGTACTATGAAGTAGCGCTACGCTTGCCGTAGAAGAGCGCTGCATGAATAAGTTCTTGAATTTTAGCACATGCTCTTATTTTTGTGCTGTGAAGTATCATGCGTCCATTTGCTGGGTCGCTTACGCTGCTCGATCTACCGTGGTGGATCTACATGAACTCACACTACTGCTACATGTATTCATACTGCATACTGCACAGCTTCAAGCTGCCAGACTGAACTTCGGTTCAATGTTGAATATATAAGGTGTTTTTTTCTGGGGTTATATGTCCAGTTGTGACGCCTGCAACTTGATTTTGTAGAATTGCTATACTGACTTCCATGTCGTTTAGCTCTCCTCACTAGTCGACTCCCAACAAACACTCTGCGCCCACTACCATTAATCAATAGCGATAATTTTGTTTTACTCAACGTCGGTTTATTGTTGTAGATATTGTATCTTAGAAATGACAGCCACATGTCTAAACTAACTTAGCCGATACGACGGCGACTCTGCTCGCTTGCTGCCCCGATACGGTCGATTCCTCACAGATTACATTGATTGACTGATCACCCCTCTTTATTATCGCTGCGCCTGGTTAGTTTATCGCCAAAAACATGCTCTGAGCTCGTTTGCGCTGCTATGCTGTACTATAACTGCTGTAGAACTGTCATTGCTGTTGTTTCAAATGGCTCTTTAACCGATAATGCACCATAAAACCTTATGTTGCATTATCTCAAACATCCGCAGGGGCGCAAACGACAGTTCTTACGAACTGCGAATATAGATTGTAGTGTTCAGGAACTCTGCGGTATAACTCTCTGTATATGTGTGAGAGCAATAACGGTAATTGTATGGATAGTATTTTCTGCGAACAATGAATAATAATAGTATTAGTAATAGTAGTACCAATATGCCTACTAGGATTTCTGGATATATTTCATTCTCTCGATAGTAGTACCCCCAAAATACTAATTTTGAAGTACTATAGAATAGAACTGTTTCAGTTTTCGATTTGAGATGGACACCGACCCGATGGAGGCCGAGAGCCTTCCTGCGCCGCCGGCTACGACGCCACCGGCGCGTGATCTCAACGCGCACATTGCGGAAGACGAAGAGGAGATGCCGCTCTTGTTCATGGACGAACTTCCATCCAATTTCCAGCAGAACGCGCAGCTGGCCGCCATCGCGACGTTCATGGCCGACAGCGACGACGACGCAGCAGCAGAAGACGACGAAGAAGACGCTTCGAGGGCGGGGGACGGCGGCAAACAGCGCCGTCAGAGGCAGCAGAAGTCCGCACGTTCGAGACGGCGACAAGAGCCCTATGCCAAGCCTTTGGCCAAGGGTAAAGAACCCAAAAGCAAGAAAAATAGGGACACTTCGAAAGCTGCCGACACCAAGGAGCTGCAGCTCTTTCTGTCTATGTTTCATGTCAGCAAAGCGGGCTAAAGCTTCTTTATGAACGTCACGCTGCGTTTGATGCTATTGCTAGATTCTATGGGCCAAAACTTATAGTTTACTGGGGTGCTACTGCTCGACGGTTGGTCGGTACAGCTCGCTGATGCGCGCAGCCCACGCGAGGTGCTGGTCGTTGTCGAGCTGGCGACGCGGGGGAGGAGACGGTGGGGGCTTCCGTTGAGTAACTCGAGAAGAACGGGGCTGGAGGAGGGGCTTCGTGGAAGTTGCTACCGGGGCTCGAGAGGAACGGGGCTGGTGGACGGGTTTGGTGGAAGCTGAAGTAGGTCGGGACTTTGACGCAGAGGGAGCTCGTCGCTGGCGTTGCAGCAGCTTCTCGATGCCTGGGGAGACTGCGCTCGTGGCCCAGTACGGCTTGGACCTGGATCTAGAGCGTTGGTTGTTGTCGCTGCCGGGCTTGACTCGGGGGACGAAGTGAGACGGCGAGTCTTGGTTCGAGACCACCTGCTGCACGAACTCGCTCATGAAAAGTTGCTGTTGCAGACGCAGCGCACGATCCATTTCAGTCTCAGCGTTCAGGTCCTGGAGGTCGCCACCATCGGATCTCTCGTCGGGGGCTTCATGTGCGTCCCCTGCGCCGTAGTGAGGAGGGAGGTCGCTCAGCAAGTCCTCGCTGCGACTGGTATGGAGATGGCTGTCGTCGCATTGGGACGCAACATGAACGCGGACTGATTCGTGGTCTTCTCCCTGCCCCTCCTCCTCTTCTGGTGGTCGAAGCATTGGAGGCGCAAACGCCAACGATGACTTCATCCGCTGGCGTAGCGTCGGGCGAGCACTTGGCTTTCGAGCGCTACCGTTTGATACCGAAGCGTTTGCGTCGGAACGCGGAGCCGCTTGCACTTTGCTTGGGGTTTCTCCAGTTGGCCCGAATGAATAACTCGGTCTTTGCTCGAACGTGAGCTTCTCGCCTCGCTGGATGTTGTACGCACCCACGCCTACGAGTCGACATTTGAAGTGTGAGTCAGGTTATCATCATGTTGTTCAAATACTACGAGAAAGGAGCTTCTTACCAGGCAAATCCCTCGACATGAAATGGCTGCGGAGGTCGGCAGTTGCGTGTGATTTGTTGCTTGGGGACTTACTCGCGAGTTTGGCGATGCTGGACTTGGGCTTAGGAATTGACGGAGCGAAGGTCCAGTACGATGGCGCTGTCATAGCGTACGGAGGGGGGAACTGGGTCTGCACGGTGCCACTTTCGCTCTGATCGTCGTTTTCTTCTGGAACGGACGACTCTGGGTATGGAGGTGGGAACTTCGGTGCGTCTTGTGGCGGATCGTTCACCTGGTCATCTCTAGATGGTGGCAGGGTTTGAGTTATGTAAACTTGATCACCAGATTGGAGCTGGATCGCTGTCAGCGCCTCGACGAAGTGCCTCAGCTTGTCCGACATCGCGGAGTCAACGTCGATGTTGTTGTCGAGCTAAGCACAGAGCAAGTCACGCATCAGATCACGTGGTGCAATTCAAACCAGGGATGTCTACGCACCATGATAAGCACACTTTGTTGACAAGCAACGGCGGCGAGGTATGTGGCACGAATCGCCGGGTTTACAGCATAAATCTTCGCGTCTTGGTCCAGCTCCGAGTCGATGGTCGGTAGAGTTTGCCGGAGTTGCGTAATTGCTGCTTCGAGCTGTTGCTGCAACTGGCTTGCAGGTTTCTCGCATTCGTCCCCAGCCTGCTCTATGGGCGATTCAAATGGGTCGATCGTTTCTCCTGAAGGTTCGTTAACTTCTGCCTCAGATGTACTGGGTACGCTTCCGTGAGCTGCGTGGATCGACGTGACCTCTTCGCCACCTGGGGGGTTGTCGGTGGGCTCGGCAGGGTCCTGAGGGGTATCGTCGGATCCCGAATCTCGCTTTGTCGTTGATTTCGAGGAACTTCTTCTCTTAACCATCGTCTTTCGCTTTACTTGTGTTGAGCTTGAAGTACGGTCGCTTATTACACGAGGAAGCGATTCTGTAGACTGTGAATGGAGTCGTGATCTCTCAGCTGCTATGATATCGATCAGGAATCGAAAAAATACAAGTCGTTGCGCACACACCACACTGGAAAGCTGTGTCTTCGCGACAAGCTCGACCTGGACATAATAAAAGTTATACGTCAGTGACAAGATCACCCAAATAAAACACAATTGCCGCACGTACTGGTAGGAAGAGCAGGAAGTTTTGGTAGTCCTCAGCTTGTCGCTCTGTCGACATGACTTCATTAACAGCAATGCACGTCAGCAAATCTTGAGCAAGATCTACCGAAGACCGCAGACGCTGCTTCAGGGGAACATCAGGGGGTTCTTTCATCTGGTAATTCGAAAGCTGTACCACCAAATCTTGCACCTTTGACGATAGAGGCAATAGCGTAAGCTGCTTCTGGAGATGTCGGTTCACAATGGCTAGCTTGTCCTCGTTCAGATGCCTCTTCGTGATCTTCATGACCAAGCTTCGCAATTGCGGCAGCTGCCCGAATGGGATGAACCAGCTCGCCTGTAGCTGCGTATTCATCGGTATCCCTTCAGCAGGCCCAGCATCGTGGGTATTCGTGAAACCTAGAGGTCCAGCTACAGTCCCTCTTCGAGTATTAGAGCTTGAAGACGCTGGCTCATGGGGATCGAAGAGCTCGCGGAGCAGAATCTCGAGCTCCCCCTGCGTTATGTAGACGCCTTGCGTCGGTGGGTTTCCAGGCTCTTCAGGCTCTTCCATCGCAGTCGCGTAAAGATGTCGGAAAAATTTACACGTTTCGTCAAGAGCCTTCTCGGTGCAAAAGCGAACTTGGGTCAATGAAAATCCGGCCCGTTCGAATGGAGAGAGGATCGGGATTTGGGTTTGTGGTCGACGAGAAGCTTTGGTTCGGTCCCGCTTCGTTGCTGCGTTGCTTACCGCGGTATCGCGTAATACGCGCTCTCGATATCGTCTCTGACTGGCTTGGATTTGTTCGTCTAGCTTCCGTTCTCGCGCCAACTTTGCCTTGAACGAAATCCGTGACGACACGGAAGCTGCCGTGGAGTCTGCAACGGATTGATTGTCCGCCTGCGAGTCCGCGTCTTCGTATCCTTCTTCATAGCGCGGCCCGAAGATCTGCGCCCACGCAGCCTTCGTGTCAGCAGCAAACTCCGCGGTGAGTGAATCTAAGAAGCCCGATGGCTTTGCAGGCAAGGAAGCTGAGCTTTGCTGAGATGACAGCTCCGCTTCAACTGGTTCCACACTGTCAACATCTTCAGGTGCTGGAGTTTCATCTTGTGATCCAGCTTCTTCGGTAGTAGGTTGCTGTTCCGTGTTTGCTCCAACTGAGGCAGAAGGATCAGCGGGTGATTCAGGTTTTTCAACGGAGCGTACTTGATTTTCGTTCGCAAGGACAGCGGCAGCTTCACTAGATTCTACCACAACTTTCACCCCGTCGAGTTCTTCTGCTGGCTCCGATGGCAAGACTTCCTGAGCTGCAGCCGCCGCGGGGCCATCAGGAGTACCCGAGGCCGACGATTCATCTTGGTGAGCTACTTCACTGACATCGTTGCAATCTGCAGTTTCGGCTGCTCCGGGGTCAGCAACAGGCACAGCATCAAGAACCGGCTCGTGTTGAAACTGAGCTTCATCGCATTGCTCGGTCGAAGGAGACGCTAGTTGACCGATATCTGTCGCTGCTGGCGGCGACGTCGATTCAGCTTGGGACGCAACTTCAACACTTTGATTCGGTGAACGGGGTGCAGCTTCATCGATAGTTGGAGAGGCCTCATCAGGTTTCAACGAGGTTTGCTCAACCTCCGGGGTTGGCAATGCTTCCGAATTGCCTTCGTCACTCGTGGAAGTTGGTGTCTCCACCTCAACAGCATTGGCGTTGTCGCCATCGATTTTCGCGACTGCATCGGTGCTGGCCCCGCCTTCGTTGTTGTCTACCTCAGCGCTGGTCATCCATTCCTCGTTTTGCGTCGCAGTTCTGCTGCTTTACGGCGTGGGCACAGGAATCGCGCCAAACACCAAGGATAGAAGAGACCCCCCACTCTACAACCCGAAATACGTGAAGCCGTTTCGCGAAAACCACGAAGTCGAATACACTTGTTACTAGTAGTAAATGTATCGTCGCGTTAGCTAAATAATTACTGTGCGCTGGTTGTGAGTCACAACTTGTGACAGACACTCAACACGTCGAAATGGTTCACTTACTGCTTCACCATACCTCGTCTCTCTCTTCACTGTTTGTGCTCTGAAAGATTCCTCCTATACGGTTCATAGTTGTCGTCTGATATTCATTGCAATCAATTGATTGGCCTCCTTTAACCTTCGTCACTCCATCGGGGGCTCCGGGAACGGCTCGTTCGTGAGCAGGTAGCGCCAGATCAGCCAGCCGAAGCACTCGACGTGGAGCGTCACGCGGTGGCCGTTGCCGAACATGATCACCATGGATCCCGCCAGCGGTGGCGTGGACTTGGTGGTCCACGAAATGAAGTAGAGGTTGGAGGTCGGCGAGAAGGGCTGGATGTCGAACTCCGAGAAGCGGTCGCCCGGTGGCAGGCGGAATAGCCACGCCCAGAACGATCGAATCTTGCCCTTGTTGCGCATCCGCAGCGAAGTACGCCAGAAGTCCTTGATGCTCTCAATGCCGTAGTAGCAGCGCGAGGGCATCGACACGGCCAGCACCGAGTTCAGGTCCCAAATTGAGTCGGCGTCCAGAACAAAGTCCTTGGGCAGACTCTGCGTGAAAATCTCCTTGATCTTGAGCAAGATATCCATCTGAATGCCGCGCGTCAACGACGCGCGCTGCTCCTCGTCCAGCTCCGTGTTCTTCACGAGCATCTCGGACAGTGCCTGGTTTTCCGCAGCCAGCGACTCGGCTTTGTGCTGCAGATACTCGAGCTTCAAAGCTTGACGCTGTCGGCACTTCTTCACGGCTGCACGGTTGCGCTCGCGCTTCTGCTCGGACGAGTAGTTCATGCTCTTGCGACCGCAGCGGCGCTTGGGCTGCGAGTCCGAATCCTTTCCTTCCGAAGGCGATGCGACGGCGGCAGTGTCCACTGCGGATTTCTTCTTGGCTCTGGCCTTGGTAGTCTTCGCCGCTGCTCCCGGTACGTCGGTCGTTAACGTGGCTCCAGCAGCAGCGGCAGCAGGCGACGACGTCTCGTCAGATCGTGCTCGCTTCGCCTTGCGCTCGACGGGCAGACTCGGCCGTGGTCGGCCTAACTGGGCGCTGCTACTTTGCTGCAGGCCACGAACAACATCCGAGTCGTTACTTCTCACGCTGGGCGATAGGTTGGCGTAGTCGTTGTTCTGAGAGATGGCGGATCCTGTGGGGGTCGGCACCAGCTCCTCATACACCGCGCGGCTCTCAGGTCCACGGCGATCGCGCGGCAGGTCTGCATCGTGGAATGGCCGTCTAACAGCCAGCAAGGCGTTACTGTCACTGATGCGGTCGGCCGGCTGCGGTCTCCTCGGCATCAGCTGGTTGGGCCGCTGTCGCTGCTGAGGCGGCGGCTGCGCGTACTCGCGGCGTCGTGACATCGGCGCGGCTGAGGTGGGCGGCGTGTCCACTTCATCCGGATACATGTCCAGCATAGCTGACTCCAGCGGCAACTCGTCCATCCTGGCTCCAAACCCGGGGCTGTGGGTAGCTGGCGACGGCGCGTTGAAGCGTCGGTTCTGCATGAGTCTCGAGGCATGGGCCTCCTTCATGCCGCCGCCCGCGCGCATCCCGAAGGACTCGAGCGGCGACGACGTGGACACGCCCGGCGGCGGGGTGCTGCGCGGGATCCGGCGCGGCGGGTCGAAGGGCAGGTCGTCCATGGGGTCGCGGCCCCTCACGTCCCTCGTGTAGAGCTCGTGCTCCGGGTGGCTGGTCGCGCGTCGGTACATGTGCGTGGGGTCTCCGAACTCGCGCTGCATGGCTCTCTGGTACTGGCGCTGCTGGTGGTAGCGCTGCAGCTGGGCCTGGCTGTGGCGCGGCGGCTCCAGGTCGTAGCCCATCTGGAAGGCGCGCGCACGCGCGGCCTCGTAGTCGTCGGCCGAGTCCTGCAGCACGTCCAGGTCGAGCGGGGGGTCTCCCGGGAAGGCACGCGGCCCGCGCATGACGCCGCCGGCCTTGGGCGTTCTGGAGCGGAAGGCGCTTGAGTCTTCGTGGGCGGGCGACCCGTCGAAGGGCCAGTCGTTGAAGCCCAGCGGTGTCTGCGTCTCCAGCGCTGCGCCAACGTCAATAACAATAAATACTGAGTAACTTTACGAAACGACATAGAAACTATTAATTTCTCTCTCTGTCGATGAACGTACGCGGCGGCCAGCGGCGCGGCGCGGAGGGCGCGTGCGGAGGCGGCTCTCGGCCGGCCATGAGGGGGCGGCGGCTCTGGCTGGGGCGGCGCGGCACGGGCTGCAGCGTCTTGACCAGGTCGCTGGCGGACAGGAAGGCGTCGCCCGCGTCCTCGTCCGCGTCCGGGTCCGCGTCCCAGCGCGACAGGTGGCGGTCCGTTGTCGGCGGGGCGGCGCGGAAGCGGCCGGGCGAGTGCATCGATCGGCGGGAGGAAGCGAGGCGAGGGCAACGGGTTGCGGCTGTGGCTGTGGCTGGGATCCGAAGCGAGAATGGCGCTCCGTCGGGGAGTTACAAAAGATTACACGGCTCGCGCTTACTCAGCAGAGAGAAGGTGGTTATTCTTGCACCGCATGCGGTCTGGCGGCGGAGACGGCAATAAAAACGGAAACCTGATCGGGGGCATGAGGGCTATTATGGAATAGACATACAATATCAAGTGCACTGTCCCTTGTGAGAACTGATATTTGGAGATACTGAATGGATCGGGCTGGAGATGGGGAGAATGGGATCTGGGGATCGTATGCGTTGCCATAAGTTGAGTCCAGTTTTCTATGGGGCGGTAAAGACACGAATTCTAAAGCATCGCCGAAAACGGGCGCGTGTGAAGCTGAGGCGCTCGTTGCCGCTGTAAGTGAGCACTTGGCTTGGACATGCTGTGTTCTTGGCAGCGGGACAAAGCTCTCGTTCGCGGCCGCCGCGGCGCTGTCTTCGCTGTTGTCACCTATCGTCTCGTGACACGAGACAATCCATCGTGAAATCGCGTGATTCGCTTACACGTACAGCAGCTCTGACCTGGGGACAAGCCACTACAGACGCATCCCGGGTCCATTCCCTGTGGGCGTCTTTGCGAGGCGGCGCTTTCCATTACCTGGGACTTGGGGCGGTCGTCAGCGGCTGGGACGGGATGCTTGCTGGACGAGGCACCTCCCCCGCAGGCCAAGCTCGGTCAATTGAGCCGGGTGAGTCAAAAATGCAGGGCGGCATGCTATTGCACAGTTCGGCTCCAGCGACGCCACCGGCTGAAGCGCCGCGTGTGAATCGATGTCTGTAAACCCTTACTAAAGCGCTGGGCCCGCGATGTGGTTGCTGCTGTTCCTATGTCTCGCGCGGAAACCTGCTACAGTGTTACATTATTGTCGTACGGCCACGTTGAGTTAGTAGGTCCAAGCGTATTCTTCTTATTTTCGAGAACTAAAGGTTGACTCCCGGTGCGCATTCCTCTGTATTAGTCTTCACTGCAAGGGGGGTCACTTGGTAGGCGCACAGCAATCAGCGCGAGCAAACCACAGCAATCGAAACCGCCCACCCGCTCATTTACACGCGTAAATTGCACTTTGCCAACCTGCGGCTGAACTCAAGTTATACGCCGCGCACCACCTCGAGTGGAAATGCCAAAAAGGGTTTCTGGACCGAGGCGCGTGAAAAGTATTGCGTGACGGAAGTCCCGCGATCGACACAGAAGCATCGGCAGCGAAGGGCGTAGATAATAGTAGGTAAAGCAAGGAAGAGCAGTCTGTGGTCCACACGAATACCTACAGCAAGGCTCGAGGCAGGCAGGGCACACTACAGGTAGGCACACTAATTACACTTTCATGCCAAGACTCACCTTCGAGGTTGCATGGTCATGAAAGAGCAATACTGTAGGCCTCACACGCTGCGACGTTTTCCTGACGGCACAGCATGAGGCTTTGCTGTTGTGTTTCTAACATTTTGGAGAAAACATTACAATGAAATTGTTTTTCCCAGATTTGTTCGCAAACGGGCCTGAATCTCTCCAAACATCTAAAGACAGAGATGTTCCAGTCTGTGTGTGAAAGTCCGTGTGAAGCCATGGCGACAAAATTAGGGTGGTCCACATATCGTACTTAGACTGCCGAGCGAAGCGACGGCGGCCCCGTCGCCGAAGGCGACCCCAATACGATATTGCGGGGCCGCAGGACCCGCCCCAGCCTCTGAATTACTAACCTAACATTGCGAGTAGTGCAGCGAGCCGACGAGGCGAGCGGAACGGGTGCAAAACAACTAACTACAATATAAATTCTATCCGCCGCGCAGCGGCGGCGCTCGGCTAGTCTCTCCAAACATCTAAGACAGAGATCTGTACGTGTGTCCGTAAGTCCGTGTGAAGCCCGTGACAACATAATAAGGTGGTCCACATAATCGTACCTGAGCGAAGCGAAGGCGGCCCCGTCGCCGAAGGCGACCCCAATACGATATTGCGGGGCCGCAGGACCCGCCCCAGCCTCGGTATTTCTAACCTAACATAGCGAGTAGTGCAGCGAGCCGACGAGGCGAGCGGAACGGGTGCATAGCAACTAACAAATATATAAATTCTATCCGCCGCGTAGCGGTGGCGCTCGGCTAGTTCTCCGTCCTCTAACCGAGAATCCTGTCTGTCGGTCATCGCGTCACGCTTTCTGCCTATACAGCCTAGACCTGTCAATTAGTCTACTCTACCGCGGCCTTATTGCATACATTATTCACTCATGCCGCAGCCCACCAACAGGACGGGTGCCGCCTTCGCTACGCTCGGCAGCTTGGGTGGGCCGCCTTCGGCGTCCAAGGCTGTCTATGTACGATTATGTGGACCACCTTATTATGTTGTCACGGGCTTCACACGGACTTACGGACACACGTACAGATCTCTGTCTTAGATGTTTGGAGAGACTAGCCGAGCGCCACCGCTATGCGGCGGTAGTTATGTGGTTAGTTGCAGTAGAGTGGACCGCCCACCTCCGGTGGGCTTTATCCGGTTCAAATGCTTTTAATTTCGATTGTGTGCACGTAAAAAGTGTTGTGTTAGAAGTACTGTTACATAGTAGAGTTACGTAGCTGGCATTAGCTTAACCAATGTTTCCACGTTACAGTTACTGCAAATAGATCTATGTTGTTGTACGGTACGGTGCCGTAAAGCGTGTCCACATCGCCACGATTTATTAACCCGACTACAACGTCGTCTCGTAGTGCATATTTAAATAATTTGTATTTCGTGTAATGTGATCAAAAGAAACGTTGGCATAAGCTTCATGTCGTCGTGGTAGGGTGGCTTGATTTGATATATCTATGTACGATATGTTCACATAAGTCTGTGTACGTCTTGAATTACCAAGTGTATCACTACTATAGTTTTCTGTTAATTGGTTCGTAGGTGTAGCTATGCATTCTGTACCCGGGCAATTAGCCCAAATCACAATTAAAATGTCGCTATTCTTCTACTTAACATTCTACTTAGTGCCTCTGTTGTTATAAAACACCGTTTCCGTATTTTGCTATATCGTTTGGGCATTATCTCCGCTCCAAAAAAATGTATTCAGCTCCGGGCTACGTTAGCTTCTACGTGGATCGCTTCAAAACTCAGGAATTCACCAGTTTCTTGTTCTACTACACACCGAAGATTAGCATTTTAGTGTACCACGTTCTACTACACGGCGAACGTTAGCATTTTAGTGTACCACCTGCAGTACAATAGCTAAGATTTTAAAAGTATGAAGTTCGCACCCCGAAACTATGCACGTTTCCGTTATGCTGATTCCGTTTCCTGAATGTATATCCGTCCAATAACACGGTTATTGAAGGAATCTCAGCGTAAACTATGATAAGAATCTCCCGCTCAGTGAATGTCAGAATACATGTATCTTCGACCCCACTAACGCATTATCCTACCGCTACACACTGTACCTGCAATATATAAACGGGCTTCAGCCAATGTAGCTATATGCCCTCGTAACATGAACACTAAGCACCGAAAGTATTACAGTAAAAGTGTTCTGCACGTGTTAGTAATAATCTGTGCACTCCTTCCACTACGTGTACTCGCACTGGTATCGCTTACTTCCCGCTGTTATCACTTACTGCACACTGGTTTCGCTTACTACACCATACTACCACTTACTACGCGTTGCTATCGCATACTACGTACTGTTATCGCTTACTACGCTCGTGACAGTTACTTTTACAGCAAACCTCGTTAGGGCTATTATTCTAAGTAGAAGTGCGGGCCCAGCTATCGCTGCTACGCCGTGGGCCAAATTTAATTAATATCAGATGGTCCGAAAAGTATTAGGCAGCGGGGGTGATACATGTTTATCGCCCCCGTTCCGCTCGCTTCGTCGGCTCGCTGCACTACTCGCAGCGTTATTAGTAACTTTGAAGTTGGGCGGGCCCTGCGGCCCGCTACAATGCGCGCGGATGCCGCCTCCGCTGCGCTCGGCAGCGTTGGGGTGGGGCGTCCAAGGCTGTCTATGTACGATTATGTGGACCACCTTTAAACTGGACAACCGGCTTCACACGGACTTTCACACGGACAGATAGATCTCTCTATTAGTTGTTGTAGACTAGCGCTCTGGGCGCCCGCTACGCGGACGCTAGGGCTTGATTTGTTAGATTGCCCGCCTCCACTTCGCTGCGGCGGGTAAGTCTTGACGCATTTGGAGTTTACCTACTTATCTACTCAGTCAAACGTTTATATAATTACGTGTATAATTATTTGTGTACTCACTTGCTTTTTCTCAGATTGGTAACATGTATTTGAGTTAATTATGTGTCTCAAATATCTCGCGATACACTATGTTTTGTGTGTGAACATTCCCTTCCTCGTCGATTGCCTCCGGGTCCACTGCAATCTTGATCGCCTTCCTTGATGTAACTCTCGACAGCGCCACGTAGAGTTGTCCGTGAGCAAAGACGGGTGACTCTAAGTAAATTTCCACGTGATGGATAGACTGTCCTTGGGCCTTGTTAATAGTCATCGCGAAAGCTGGTACAACTGGAAATTGCTTGCGCTTGAGCTTGAACGGGAACTCTATCGTCATTTTCTGTGTAGAAGATGATCCGCGGAATGAAGACCTTTTTCCCCTTTCCCCTTGAAAGGTCCCGACATTACAATTGCTTCGATGCTTTTCTCGCGCAGAGACAACACGCGAAGCCGTGTTCCGTTGCACAATCCAGCATCGCTGTTCAGGTTTCGAATCATGATGATGGGAGCGCCAACCTTTAGAACTATCCTGTGCGGGGGGATGCCAGAAAAGTTTAGCGAGTTTAAGAACTCTTGCTCAAACATATTCGGGTCCGCAACTCCCTCCAGCGAATCATTGGAGAGATACTCCCTTGTGTCTCCCGAAAGACGCCCAGACACCATGTCATTGATACGCCTGACACTTGCGTTCGTAGGTGCTAGAATGGCTCGTTCAACGAAGTAC